AAATTATATAATGCTTTTAAATAATAATTAAAAACTGGCTTAGTTTTAAAGCTAATAGGCCCACCTTCCTAATTAAGCTAAATACCGCCCGAATAGTAAAAAAGTACTGCCCGAATAGCAATACTTAATATTTATTATTAAGCACATTATATAATTACTTAATTAATAAATAAAGTTTAACTTATATTTAATATTATTATATTATTAATAATTAACTATTTAAGCTATTTAATAAGTATATATATTATTAACTTATATAGTAAATTATTTTATAAGGACTAATATAGTCTATTAATTTATTATCTTAAGGACCGCTTATATATATTAATTTAATATATAAAACCGCTAGCTTATTATTAATCTTTCTTTAATTAATCATATATTTTAAGGTTATCTTAGGGTATATATTATATTATATTCCTTAAGAGGTTAAGTTATAATATAGTACTTTTTTCTTAAAGGTTTTATCCTTAAGGCTTATTATATAATATTTATTATTATATCTTATAATAGTATATTTTTATTAATAAGTAATTTTCTTTTTTATATTTTTATTTTATTATTTCCTTTAGCCTTTATTAAAAAGTATTATAAAGCCTTTTCTTTAATTAAGTATATTTTAAGTATAAGTATAGCAGGGTTGCCAATTAGTAACGATTCGTTTCTTCTTTCGTTAATGAATTTCTTTTCGTTTCGTTAGTGCGCTGAAGAAAACGAAACGAATTGGTTTTATTATTTGTTACTAAAATCCTGAAGAAAACGAATAACGAAAGAAGAAACGAATCGTTACTAATTTCGTTATTTAATAATACACTAACTTATTATAGTTAGCCTATAATAAATAAAATAATAAAAATATAAAATTTTAGCAATTTTAGGAAATATTTTTAATTTATTTAATTTAAGCTAGCTAAATTAGGAATAGTGTATTAACAAATAATGAAATTAGTAACGATTTGTTTCTTCTTTCGTTAACGATTTTATTTTTGTTTCGTTAGTGCGCTGAAGAAAACGAAGCAAATTCGTTATTTGTTAACGATTAACGAATGAAGATTTGTTAATGAAATTAGTAATGAAAATTCGTTAATGAATGTGGCAACCCTGAAGTATAGTAATTAATATACTATATACTTGTTACTATTATTTAAAATTAACTTATACTATATTTAATATATTTAATTATTATATTAACTATATATAGCTAAAGAAGTTATATAATAAATTCGCAATAGCTTGGCGGGAGTGTCAGCTGTCAAAAGACTTCAAAGTTTAGTTCAATTGGGTTGTCTCCTTTGATTACTCAGGGGCGCTGGGCATTTTCTTGGCCTGTCCCCACGGCGCTGACATGCCCGTGCCGCCTTTTCTGACTTATTTCACTCAACTTTCAGCTCGAGTCAAGGAGAGGCAAATTGTCTCTCTACATTCTAAATGTGTGTATTTTACAAGTAGCCAATGGGGAATGTAATAGCTCACGATGCTACCAAGCTGGAGCATAGCATAGCACTAATCCCCAAAACATAGCTCAGCATCCAGAAGCAGTAACATGAACTATCCAAAACAATAGAGTCCTTCAGCCCCTAACGATACTCGCTTAGTTTATCTCTTCAAGCCACGCGTTAACAAACCCAGCTCTCTCTCTCTCTATCTCTCTCTTCTTTCGGCTCCGTGTTTGACAATCCGCTGGTCCCGAGCTTCGCGTTTCACCATCTCAGCCTCCCCCTGTCCATTTCAAACTCCACAGGCCTCCTAGCACAAAAGCCAAGCCCAGCAAAAAAGAAAAAAAGCAATGCAAAAAATGACAGCTCCTACAGGCCGACGCATAGAGCAGTGAAATTCCTCATTTACTAGCGTCCAATCTCCATGTTCTCTGTTCACTTGGCAGCTCCATAGCTTCGGGTATTTTGTGCCACTAATAATAACCTCTCCATGCACCTTGTCTTTTCCGCCCCTCGTATTATTTTCACGACAAGCCTCTCACCCCCGGGCTTCGTCATCAACCTAGATAGCAGTCTTTTTACTCTTGGCTTCGCGTTTCGTTAATTCCATCTTATCCTCTAGCGAGTAATGTCTTTACCGTCTTTTTAGAAGTTCTTCCCTCTTCTCTGCTTTTGCCGCAACCTCTATAATTTCTTTTCTTTCATCACCCGCTTTTCTTTGTATATTTTCTACATTCGGGAACTGGCTTCTCTCTCTCTCTCTCTTTTATTCGAATAATTACAGACGGCCTTGACGGCTGCTTGTTGATTGCGATTGTCATTCTTTATTGAGCGTCGCCGTTCCTCTAATAATCATATCCGATAATATCCCCATCTATTCCCTTTCATTTATAACGCATATATACATACAGATATATAAAAGCAGCGTTCTCATTGAGCGAAACAGCAGCACCAGTCACAAACACACATCATGGCCATCCGGTCCTTTCTCACCCTCTCTCTAGCCCTGCTCGCACAGGCACGGCCAAGACACGTATTCGACCCGGAAGACGTGGGCAGCAAAATCACCCTGCCGGTCATCTCAGCGCCTCGAGCAGTGGAAGCAGTAGCAGGACAAAGTGCCAGTGACGACGAAGACAAGCCATTTCACATTTTGCCGTTTCCGTATACAGGCAATGGCAAGCGGGCGATTCTGGAGGATGATGACGGAGCAGCCGGCGCGGTGACGCTCCCCGTGCCTCGACCGGCGTCCAGGAGAAGTGCCGAGGATGAAGAAGATGAAGAAGACAAGCCTTTCCACATCCTCCCCTTCAACGAGAAGCGGAAGCTCCCCGTTGAAGAGGGCCCTATAGGAACCATTACGCTGCCAATCATTCACGCCGCACGCCCTGTATTAGACAAGCGAGTCGTTGAAGTGCAAGTCGAGAACCGCTCCGACGTCTCATACTATGCTCAGCGTAAGTATCCAATGCCTATCTATATATGACGATACTAACACAAACAGTCAACATCGGAACTCCCCCCCAGACCGTCTACGCCCAAATCGACACCGGCTCCTTCGAGCTCTGGGTCAACCCCGACTGCACCAACGTCGCCTCCTCAGACCGCCGCTTCTGCCAGGCCATCGGCTTCTACAACCCGCGCACCTCGTCCTCCTCCGCCACCACCGACGAGTTCGCCATGCTCCGCTACGGCATCGGCTCCGCCAACGTCTCCTACTTCAAGGACACCATCGCGCTGCCCGGCGCCCCGGCCATGAAGCAGGTCCAGTTTGGCGTCGCGTCCGCCAGCGTCGACGAGTTCTCCGGCATCCTCGGCATCGGCGCCGGCGAGGGCGTCAACACCGACTACCCCAACTTCGTTGACCAACTCGCCGCCCAGGGGGTCACCAAGACCAAGGCCTTTAGTCTCGCGCTGGGCAGCAAGGCCGAGGAAGAGGGCGTCATCATCTTTGGCGGCGTCGACACGGCCAAGTTCCAGGGCAAGCTCGCAACACTGCCCATCGTGCCCGCCAAGGAGTCGCCCGACGGCGTGGCGCGCTACTGGGTCAAGATGAACTCGATTGGGATGTCGCCGGCGCAGGGCAAATCGACAACGTTCAGCCAGACGGACATGACGGTGTTCTTGGATAGTGGCTCGACGCTGACGCTGCTGCCGGAGCAGGTGGTGGAGGAGATTGCAAAGGGGCTTGGGACGAGCGGCATGGACACGAGTGGATTTTATAGCATCGACTGCGACTTGGCGAACCAGAAGGGGACAATCGACTTTGCCTTTGACGGCGTGACCATCTCCGTGCCGTATAGCGAGGTGATTCGACAGGTCAGCGCCTCGCCGCCGCAGTGCTCCCTGGGCATGATGGGCAGCACCGAGTTTGCGCTCCTGGGCGATACCTTTTTGCGATCTGCCTATGGTAAGTTACTTTATACCCTTCATACACCTTTGATAATGAAAGTTGAATACTAACACCAAAACGCAGCCGTCTTCGACCTCACCGGCAACAGCATCCACCTCGCCCAATACGCCAACTGCGGCACCAAAGTCCTCACCATTGCATCAAACTCCGGGCTCCAAGGCCTCGCCAGCAGCTGCGGCGGAGGCAGCGAGTCTCCTGCAAACCCTCCCGCCAGCCCTGCTTCCTCATCAGCTGCCCCAGCGGCACCCTCAAAGTCCGCTGCTGCGTCCAAGCTCGATGTCCCTGCTTCAAGCAGCGTCCAGCCAGTACACAGCCCAACACCAGCAGTATCCAAGCCCGCTGTTCAGGCACCTCCCGCTACAACTACGGCTGCAAGCACGCCGAAGAGTACTCCTTCAAGCGTGTCTGATGCTGCTGGTAAGAGCAGTGCCGGTAGGGTTGATGTCCAGGCTGTGGGTTGGAGCATGGTGTTTGCAGCAATGGGACTGCTATTGATTTAGGAAAAGGGCATGAATCAGGAGAGAAAAAAATAAGGGAAAGAAAACGGAGCTCGCTACTTTTTTAGCATAATATTTGTGTAGACTGCCATGTTGGACAAAGCTACAACGTTTATATATAGATGAATTATATCGGATACTTATTATTACTATCAAATATTCTTACACAACCTCCAACACAAACATAGGTCCCCTCTCATCTCCGCCCGGCTTCACAAGCTCATCCATCCTAATCCCCGCCACAGGTTTCTCTTCCAACGTCCCATCATCTCTCCTCTTCAAAACTACAACCGCCCACTCACCTTCCTGATTACCCACAAACAGCTCCCCTCCATCTCTACTTACACTAAACATACGCGGATGTTTCCCTCCCGTCGACGTCTCCCCCACAAGCTCCAGTGACACCCCTTCTTCACCCTGAAGCACCTTAAAGTGAGCAATCGTCTCCGTCGGAGCGTTCAACAACCTATTCGACGTATAAACATGCTTCCCATCCCTCGACAGAGCAATCTCCCCCGCCGCAGCACCCTCCGTCCTCTCAACCTCAGCATCACCCTCCACAAACGTAGAATACGTCCCCGACGGCAAAAATGCAATGCTCTCATCCATGTACTTTAAATCATAGACAATAACCCGATTTGTCTTCTCACAAAGAAGCATGTAGTGCGTTGCCGCGGCACCATCATCGTCATCTCTCGGTGGATAAAACACCCCATGCCGAGGCCCCCATCCATTAGGCACTATGGCCCGCTTCACAAGCGGCATATCAGCCGAAGCCAAGTCCAGCACCAGGAGAGAGTCCGTGCCGAGATCATTGACGACAAACCAGCGGCCCGTGGGATCGAGCACGGCCTGATGAGCACGAGCCACTTTTCCGGCGTCGAGCTGGGGATGTTTCGACGGCATCGTCTTGACGAAATCCAAAGAGCCGTTGCTCGTGTTCCAAATGTCCACCGTGCCAGAGGCCCAGGAGCTGCCCACCATGATGCCGCTGTCTTTGCTGAGGCCGAGATGGCAGACGCCCTCGCTGCCATCATTTCGCTCAGCTGCCTTTGTGAGAGTATTTGCCGCAAGATCAAGCTTATACAGGAACGTTGTCGCTGCATTCTCGTCAAAGGTGTACAGTAGACTTGAGTCTGTAGGCGAGATGGCGAACCAGGAGGGATTGCCGGCGACGGGGAGGTCGAGGTCGATGCTGATGCTGGGAGAAGCGGGGCTGTAAGTTGCGAGATAGATGTGGCCTGGTCGGGCAATGAGCAGGCGGCGAGACATGATTCTTTTGGAATGTTGTGGTTTTGCGTGTGTGTATCTACATCTGAGATTGCATGTTCTGAAAGCGAAGTTGAGAGTTTCAAGAGGTGGGGTTGAACAATGATAACTGAGGTGAGATGTTGGGCGCAGAACTGCAACAGACGCTTTCCGCTATAGACGTATTTTCAAAGAAGAGGATTAAGCTGAGACTAGTTGTTTGAAGAGATAAAAGGGACATAGAAAGTTTAAATCCAGGTCTCGGAGTAATTGCAGCTTGACAGGCGGGGGCGTTTATAAGTGCAATTGTTGCATAGATTTGTGTGGGGGTCATTCAAGATGGGCTCTATTGTTACATGCACTCCATGCGCAAAATCATCAATCCTGTCGATCCCGACTTTAGCACTCGCCCAGTCATCTCACAGCTTGTCTTAAGCAATGATACTCATACACGGGCTATAAAGTCTGTTGGTTGATATACCTAGCAGTTGTAGCGTCATGGTAAGCATCTTACAACAACCATTCTCAAGACATACCGTCACTAACTGGCAACCTCGCACTTACATGATAAGCAGTGACAACAGCACTTAATACTCACCAATCAAGCACAAGCACATTGATACAATAGACTCAGACAATCCCGTAAATACAATTGTCTCTTCTCCTAAATACAACACAGCCTCTCCCACCCAATATTAAGGGCCTCCGCCCACTCATAACCTCTCATCCTCTTCATTCTCATTATCATTCGCACATCTTCAAAGTAAAGCATAAAACACGTCAAAAACACCAACGAATGAGGTGTGTATCTTGGAAAAATAAATTATGGACCCTGCAAAGAGAAAAAAAAAAAGAAAATGACAACAAAACATCCAGAGCCTTTCAAACTACCTACTTTAAATTAGTACCGTATTTCCCTACTTAAAACAAAAACAGCGCAGCACCGGCCAGGACCATGGCCAAGGAGCTCACGCCAGTCTGAGAACCAGCATTCTTGCCGCTCTTGGTATTGCTGCTGCTGCTGTCGCTGCAGTCTTGGTTAAAGCTGGAGGACGAGCAGCTAGAAGTGTCAGCAGGAGCAGTGCCGCCGGAACCGCTGCCGGAACCGCTGCCGGAGCCACTGCCGCCAGAGCTGCCTCCGCTGCCACCGCTGCTGCTGCCGCTGTTGCTACCACTGTTGCTGCCGCTGGATCCATCATCACCACCGGGAACCGTGCCAGAGGAGCCGTTACTTCCACCTGGAATCTGGGCCTGGGTGTTCTTGGGGCTGCTGCTAGACTTGGTGGCGGAGCTCTTGGCGGACGAAGCAGCCGAGGAGGTGTCGGGCTTGCCGGCGTCCATGTCGGTACCGGTGCCCTCGAGAGAAGCCAGGTTGGTGCGCTTGTTGCCATCGATGACGGTGTTGTTGGTGCCGGTACTGCTGCTGTAGGTGTAGCTGGTTCCGCTGCTGGATCCAAGTCCCGAGGTGGCGTTGTAGCAGTCGACGGTGACGGACTCAAAGGTGGCGTAGAAGTAACCGGCCTTTTGGATATCTTGAGCGTTCCAGTCAATCTCACCGCCGGCCCAAGCAATGGTTCCGGGGGCGTTGCTGGCGAGGCCACCGGGCCAGATGGAGATTTGGACACGGGAGGGAGTCTGGGGGAAGGACCACTGGTTGGAGGTGGCGTTCCAGTGGTCCTTGCGGTTGACGGTGCGGCCGACCTTGCCATCGACGAGCCACTGGATGTTGTCGGGGGTCCACCTGATTTCGTAGTCGTGGAAGTTGTTGAAGGTGTCTGAGAGGGAGGTGATGTTGCCGGAGTTGTCGTCTAAGTAAGTAGCCATGTTAGCATCCAGATTACCTTGATCACAAATTCATAGAGACTCACAGTCCGGAATGCCCTGGAAATACCAGTTGGTCTGCGCGGTGCCCAGGTCGACGCCCACAAACTCGTAGTCAATCTCGTCCTTGACGTCGGAGAGCAGGATAAAGGCCGTGACGACGCCCTTGCCGCGGCTTGTCTTGAAGCGCGCCTTGACGTTTCCGTACCACATGTACTCGGTGGTGGCCATGACGGTGCCGACGCTGTTCTTGGGCATGGTCAGCAGCACGTTGCCGTCAAAGTAGGCGGGCTCGCCCTGGGCCACCCAGTCGGCGGTGGACGGGTCGCCGAGGTATTTGCTGATGTCGGAGATGCTGGACAGCTTGGAGTCGAAGGTGAGCGTCTTGGACTTGCACACGGGCTCGGGCGTGCACGAGTCGAGCGAAAAGGACATTCGGGGGTCGCAGCCGCCGAGGCAGTAGGCGCCAACGCCGCATTCGCCATATTCTAGCCAATCGTCAGATGCTGAACAACAGAAAGAAAGACACAGAGTGAGAGAACTCACGCGAGCAGCAGGGACTCTCCTCCGGGCACTTGTTGGTGAGCGAGCACGTCTGCGTCGTGCTACCCGCCAAGGCAGCCCCAGCGCCCAGCAGCGCAGCCAACGCAGCAGACTGCAGCATTTTCGAGTCGGATTGAATTGAAGTCGATTTGATTAAAGGTCGTGTTCTTGCGGTCCGAGAGCGAGCGATATCGGATTATTTCTTATATTGGGTGTGTAACACCGAGGAGCGATTGTAAGGGAAGATGGATTGGATGCAATCAATCAATCTGCGAGCGCGTAGCTCTTTTTCCTCTCCTCGCACCAAAAAAAAACGATTGGATTGAAAGGAAGCGAGTTTTCAAGACGGACGACGAGATGCGATGAACGAGTGACGCACCCGCGGAGGCGACAAACAGAAACACGAAACAAAAAAACACACGCAGGAAGCGAGAGAGTCGTCTTCTGTTTTGTTTGCCGTGCGGAAAGGAAGCGGGCTGGAATGCAGCGGAGGGATTGCCGTTATAAAAGGTCAACTGGTCAGCCTGGAGTCGCTGTCTTGCGCTATGGCCAGGCCAGGGGCTTGGGCCGGGCTGGACTGGGCTGGAGATTCTTGCTTGGAATCCCTGGATCGGGCAGGTCAGATGCTGCATCGCGGGCTATTTTCTGGTTGCGATGACTTGTTGCCGCTGCTGAATTCAGTAATTGATTACTTGCTAACGTGTATTACTGAATACATGATATCACCAATTCCTGTCCGTCTCATTGTTTGTTGTCTGTGCTTGTGTTCGCTGAACCCGCAAACTGCTTCCCTCTTCAGCTCTTCCTCTAGTCAGTACCCCGGACCTGCAAAGCAGCGCCACCACGCCACCCATCAGGGGAAAAAATCAGCAAAAAGAGCGACACGAGCCAACCGCCTAGCCGCAAGGGAAATCCCGCTGCGCCCTCAGCACTAGAAGCAAAAAGACACTCTCTCTCTCCTTTCAATCGAAGCATTCTCCCTCTATAAGACGGACAAAACACAAAATGCTCATCTTCACTCTTCTTCTCAACTCCAACACACAGTCTCAAAAAGGCCGCCTCGTATAAATTGCTCCATGCCCGATCCCCTCCCCACTAACAAACAAAAAGCCCCATCCCCGTTTTCTGTTTTCTTCTCTCTTCCAGACACGAGGTGCGAGTGGAACCCCCTTTTTTAGCTCCCAACGCCTTTCTTTCTCCCATTTCAGCCGACCATCCGGACGGTTCCCTCCAGTTCTGCTAATGGCCGATACGAGCTGGCGCTGCATTCGCACTAAGACGCTGAAAATCACTTACAAACTGGGTATTTCATGTGCTCGGATCTTTATACATGCAGCCAGCACAGCGCATCTATGCACAGCTATTGAAGCTACAGCCACCAAGCCATCACAGTCTAGCTCAAGCCTCCCCCTCTGCAAGAAACAGCCACGCAAAATGACATGGAAGCCCACGCGCTTAAAGAGACCTGACAGAGAGCACAGCCCAAGCCTCCAGTTGCATCGAACCCACTGTAGACGGAGAAATCGGCGCTCCCGGAAAAGCGGCAAGCATCTCATGCATTGAAACCACCCTTTATTCTAAATACGTGTAATACTTGCAGTGGTCGTATTGGTGTGGACTGCATGCTGCTCGAAAAGATATCATCTTTAAGAGAAAAATTCTTATCTTTTCCCAGCATTTGATTCTAAGCATCCATTCACATGTAAGACTCCGTCTCACCCGATCATCGCGATCGACACGAGCCCCCAATCCGGGGTAAAAACTGGTTCGGGCCTCGCTTAACGCGCTGCTGCCATTGTTTCGTTTTTATCATGCGGAGTTGTGCTAGCCATCGTTGATTTGCACATCCAATTTACAGCCGCATATCCAAGAAAAAAGAGCTCAAATCTCCGAATTTGAAGACCACAATTTGGAAAATTGTCTTTGTTAGCCAAGCTAACAGTATATAAGATGACAAGACCAAGTAGTATAGGGACCTTTTAATCGAAATTTGCTGCAATTGCACAATCGCAAAGACGCATCAGCAGGGCTAGATTTCCAACTGAACAAGTCAAGGGACAAGTTATCCAGCTACAGCTATATAGACCATTTAGACCAAGTATAAAGTCCATTCATGTTATTTTAATTCGGTAGTTAATATATGCACCTAGATCAGTAGCCCATCAAATGCTATAAATAGAGTGCTGGAAACCCTTTTCTAAATTAATTGTTGCGCCTGCATGAGCTTCCGTCATATCAGCATCTTCTATACACCAAAGCATCCATCGTTTGAGCCGACACATCAGTAGAGCATCCACCAGTAAAGTGCTCCAATTCTCATTCAAAAATTGGCTCAGGGCTTCCCTTTATCACGTCCATCAGAATCAACATTGTTCAGTCATTCAGACTTACTCGTCCTGCCATAGCCAATAGGACATGCACATTCAGGATCCATATCCCTACTTACAAAAGTAGTATCTATTATCTATCGTCTTAGTTAACACATTGCAAACAGCTTTCACAAGTAGAATGCTTCAACTTTCCTTTACACATGCTCAGGACTGCCCTACTCACTTCCATCACTATCTACACAGCTCAATATTGAACATGACTCAATATACTCTCAATATACACCAGCATCAATACATCCAGCCTCTCACAACACATCATTCCATTCCCTTCAATCACTTCATCGCCCCCATAACCAGAAAACATTCTCTCAAAGCAATATGTATATGTATTATGTAAAACCGCATTATATACACAGCCACTGCCGCACCGCCAGCACAAAATAAAGACCCAACACTCATATTAAGAAGCTCGCACGCTCAACCCTTCACTTTCCTCACTTCGTCTTCCGTCTCGCCTTAAACGTCTTCAATGGGTCCCCCTTCCGCGCACCCACTTTCCTCTTGCCACCACCTTTCCTCTTCGTTCCCGCGCGTCTATCGTGCTTCTTCAGCGGCACGAAGCCAATATCCCCCGCCGCAATGCCCTGTCGGCCCTCCTTGGGCAAAAGGTAGTCCGGCACGTGCTTCAGATGGGCCTGCTGTCTGGCCGTTCTTAACTCGCCGTCGTGGCGGAGATGATTCATCTCTGTGGGGTTCTCTTCAAAGTATCTATCCGAAAAAAAGTTAGCATTATGTCCTCTTGTAGTCAACCGTCGAAGATTATCATCAAACTCACCTCTTCAGCTTCTCGCTCTTCAACAGCTCCTGACGCAGCTCCCTCGTCCGCGCCTCTCGAATAGCCACCTTTGTCACCGCACGCAGCGCATCGTTCATTCGGTATCTGAAGGCATCCACCTGGTCCTTGTTGAAGTCGTACGGGTTCAGCTCTTTGCCCTTCTTCGCCTGCTGCTTTGTGATTCTCGCCAGAATCTTCTCGTCATTCTCCGCGCTGGGGATGGACGTGTAAATGTGCTTTTTGTAGAGATCCTTGGGGACAACAAAAGAGAGCGCCATGCCTGTCCGGCCAGCCCGTGCTGTACGGCCTATTCTGTGTGTATACGACGAGGCGGATGTGGGAAGGTCAAAGTTGATGACGGCTGCGACGTTCTTGAAGTCAATGCCTAAAACCAAGCAGTCAGTAAGAAGAAATTCCAGACGCATATACAGCAGGTATACACACCTCGAGAAACACCATATTCCACATCTCCCTTGGCAGCCTTCCGCTTCTTCTTGGGCCGAGACTCCTCCTTGGACTGGCCCGCATTTTCTTCGTCCTCTTGCTCTTCCTCTGCCTTTTCCTCGTTACCAAGAACTTCCTTTTCGTCAGAGGCGATGATGATGTCGTAGACATTGCGGTTAAACTCTTCCACCACGTGGATTCTAGAGTTCACCGGCAGCTCCGAGTTCAGAATACAGCTTCGAATGCCAAACTGCTCAAAGTAGAGCTTCAGGCGGTAGCACCGGTCGATATCGGCGACGAAAATGATGCATTTGCCCTTGACCAGCTGAAGCTTGAAGATGACGTAAATCAGTAGAAACTTTTCGTCCTCACCACACCTGTAGTCAACGTTAGTATCGCACATAACCTGTCAGAGAGTATAAAAGAGAATAGACTCACTTCGTCACCAATTGCGTAACCCCCTCGCCCTCCGCATCCGGCTCCTCCAAATCCAACAACTCAGGCTGCTGCTCGCGATAAAAAATCTTCTTCAGCGAATCCACCTCCGTTGTCAACGTCGCACTCATCATCGTCGTCTGAATGCTCTTGGGAATCGACCACGACAGGTTCTCCAAATCCTCGCTATACCCATACGACAAAAGTAAATCCGCCTCGTCCAGCACCAGATACGCCAGCTTGTCCAGCGCCAGGGCCGACGAGTTGCCATTGACGTTGTGCCAGGCCCGCGCGGGCGTCGAGATGACAATGTCGGGAGAAGTCGATAGCAGAGATCGCTGCACAGCGTCGGTGAGCTTGTCCGTCAGCTTCACGGCACGCACGTCTTTTGCGCAGAAGACGGAGAAGAGCTCAATGGCCTTGAAGACTTGGTCGGCGAGTTCTCGCGTAGGCACCAGTATCAGAGCCGTCGTGGCAGCCGTGGAATCGACCTGTAGCAACCGAGAATTAGCGACCCTCTTAAAACGTTAAACTCAGATTTTCCCACATACACTCTTCTTCTTCAGAATGCCAGCCAGCACAGGCAGCACATACGCCGCCGTCTTGCCCGACCCCGTCTTCGCCTTGCACAGCACATCCTTTCCATCCAGCGCCAGCGGAATCGCCCTGCGCTGCACCAGCGTGGGCTTCAGGAATCCCTGCTCCGCAACAGCCTGCACCAGTCGAGCATCGAGTCCAAGGTCTGCAAACGTCGCTTCTTCAGCCGCCGCTGCTGTCGTCGTCGTCGTCGTCGTCGTCGTCGTCGCTGTCTCGGCCTGCTTCTCAGCCTCAGATGCAGCAGCAGCCGAGGTTGGCACGTCGTTTTCGTTGAGCTTGCGCTTCATGTTTGCCGTCTGTAATGACAATTGTTCAATTGTCTAAACGGCAAGTCTCAAAAAGTTAAAAGGTGTTGGTAGGTTTGTATGTATGTAAACACTACCTCTGCTTTATCGCCTTATCACTACAAAAAGTTCGAAGAAGGAAGAAAAAAATTCCCATGCCTTATCTTATCGCCAAAGCTCCAGTAAAAAAAACCAAAGAGTCCACCCACTGTCACTGTCAGTGCCAATACGCCCCCCTACAGAAGGTACCTTGCGCCTTGACGTTAGCGCGTGGAGGGGTTCTTCTCGCCAAACCAGCAACAAACACCTGAAAATTGCTTTTTTTCCTTCCTCCAGGTACTGTCGCTGTCAGAGGTACTGACGCCCCCTAGCGCTTACCTGGTAGCGTCGTACCCCCTATTTCGTACACGATACCTTTTCCCTCCACCACAGTCTTCCAAGCTCATGTACCCATCTCTCCATTCCGATCCCAAGCGTCCGTCCGATGCAATCCATACAAGGACAAGGGCTCATGATGTACCTTGCCTTTTAGCCTTTCTGGTCCCCTTCTTTGCCGCTTGGATCTCATAGGGCTGAGGCAGACATGGGGCCAGATGATCATCTTTGAGATCGGAAGCACCCTTTCAATGGAAGTTAGTAGAGCAGCTTTGTAGTCACTTTTGAGCTTATACTTCAAGCTGTAAGTCTCAGTCCTATACACGAACACACGTGGTAGTACAGACATTGAGGAACTCCACAGTTCCCATCCAGCACATGCACGCTGGCAGATGAAACAAAACTCCCACGGCAATAAAAGACGCCAAGAAATAATACCGTATCACAAAGATATTTCAATTTTCAATATATGTCTACCAAATATTCATCATCTGCGTAACCAGCTCTCCCTGATCTACACGCGTAGACGCCTAGTAAGAGATACCTGCCTAACCTGTAAGCAGGGCCATGTGCTCCAGCCCCATCCCGAATAAACCGGAGCAGGGTCCGGCATCTAGTGTCAACCACGCGCGCGTGGCGCTGCGCTACCAGGTACGCAGCGACGGGGTATGCATACCAGCGACTTTTCTCTGCTTCTACGAGTCGCCAATGTATCGCCAAACAGGGGTAGGTGAAGTAAGTGAAGCCGCTAACGGCTGTACATCCAGCGGGCGTATCTTGCATTGTACCCTCTATACAGGCCGCTCAAGTACACATCACAAGCTCCATCTGATACACACCGCCTACTCCATACAGAACCTCATATACTGTAGAAAGACTTCTTACAAGTATACATGGACCACCGCAGGTCAATCTTTGCCAATCTTGTCAAGTCCCTATTCTGAATCGTTTGAACGCAACAGATCGAAAAACTTGATATTATAAGTGTAAAAATCGAATTGAGGAAAACTAAAAGGAAAATCATCTGCTTCGGGTATAGCTATCCCCTTCTTATAAGCGACAGTCTTCCGCATCCCCAATCATCAAGGCAAAGGCTGCATTGCTTCACGTCCTCCGTCATCTCCATTCCGGGAATTTCACCTTTGTAAGGCCCCCTTGGCCTCGCCGTATACAATCTTCTCCATCATCTTATCCCGTACAACACCACCGCTCTCATCCATCTGTTAGGTATTGTGGTAGAAGAAAAAGAGACAATGGTGAAAAGAGAAAACGAGGTAGTAACAGCCGAGAGGCTATGGGCCACGGAGCCATACTTTCTCAGAGCGAGTATGAGCAGAGAGAAAAGACGACAACATCCCGTCATCAACGCCAGCCAAGACCCATCCAGTGACTTATTTCCCTCCCATCAAACGCAGAAAGAAACGCACAACATATCTCTAAGCCCGGCGATTATGATAGAAAAAGAAAATTAGAAGAACAGGCAAGAAAATCAAAGGTGTAAAACTAAAGAGAATATAGAGAAAAGAGTTGGGAGGCAAAAGAAAAAAAAAGTAAAGGGGGAGAAAAAGAATAAATAAAGTAAAAACAATGACAAATGCCATGTTTTGCCCATCAACGAAGTAACGGAAAACCCGGCCGTACTCCTTACTGTTCCTTGCTTTTCTTCAGAAACCTGCATCTGGAGTTGATAACTGGAAGCCCTTGCAACATATAAAAGCCCGAATAAGAATAATAAACAAAGATGAACTGATTTCCTCCTTCTGCGTAGAATTGTTTTTTTATGTTGTTTTTTTCTTCTTTTTTTTTCATTGCTCGCCGGAGCCCGTGTCCTATCACAGACCAAAACAAAAGGAAAAGACGACTTCTGGGTAGAAAAATTACAATCGTCGGACAGCCCGGCCGGGAGCGTTGGTCAGGTTAGGGCGTTGGTGAGCGGTCACGTCGAGTTCATCTCACCTTGGGATTGCCAAAGAGATCTGTAGGAGAGTTAGCGGGACCTCGATCGTTGCAAATTAACCCCTACCGGCCGTTGGCTGGAAGCATACCTGGAAAATGCTCCTTTGCATACTGTTCGCAGGCCTGTGGAAGGTTAGTACCCGAGCCTTTGTGCCATGTGTGAAGACTCAACAGGAAGGGGGCGTACCTTTGCTGGCTTTCCGACTTTTTGCCCTATCACTTTCCATTTGTTGTTTTCGTACTCTTTTATAGCATTCAACAGCGCCTGGCTCTGAACAGACTGATCAATCAATGAGGCATCAACCTTGGGACCAGAACAATACTTACTTCGTCCTCGGCAAACTCAGCATAGTGCATATCCTTGTACCAGTGCTTCTTTACGGAGCCTTCTGTTCTAGTAGGGAAAGTCTGCGTTGAAATGTCAGTTGGCAAGCTCTCTCTCTCTCTTTCTTCACTTCTTTTAGGCCTCGTCTCTCATTAGACATACCTTGGCAATCTCAGCCCAGCTGTTTCCGGCATCTCGCATCTGCTTCAATCGCAGCTCTTCCTGTGGGGTCCAGGGCGTGTTGGTGCGGCTCTTCTTGGCAGGAGGAGGCACGGCGGCGGCAGCAGCATTGGCATCCTCGGTCGCGGCGGGCGGCGGCTGCGAAGGAGGAGCGGCTTGAGGAGCGGGTGGCGTGGGCGCCGGAGGCTGACCCTGAACCGGAGGCACGGGAGGTGGAGCGGCGGCCGTAGCGGGCGAAGGGGCAGCGTTTTGAGCCGGTCGCTTCCTGGGACGGGCATTAGGCGGCTGGACAGCGGGCTGCTGAGTCGGCGTCTGCTGCTGGGACGGCGGGCCGTTTGGCGGCTGCTGCGATACACTCATGGGCGGCTGGACTGGCGTTGGGTGGTGTTGCTGCTGCGCAGCCATGTTGGGCTGGGCGCCGTAAGGAAACTCCATGCGCTGCTGCTCGTTGCGACGCATATCGGCCGGGTAAGGATGGTTACTGTTCGAGGCACCCCGGTTAGCAGGCTCGCTGGCGGGGGAGGGGAGTCATCATGGCATGGCATGGAACTATGCATGGCATGGTATAGGAAAAGGCGCCCTCGAGACGGGGGACCGGGGGGGTGGGAAGCGGGGAGAGGGAGAAGAGGGCCGTCGTTGCGCCAGGCACAGCACAGCGGGCCAAGTTATAGCAGGTATCAACAGGAGGCAGACGGTGATACAGCATTTCGTTTGTCTGCCGGCCGGTGATGCCACGACTGGGACTGGGGGAGAGGTGTAAAAATAACAAGACAACAGCAGGAATTGGGTACCAGGCCCCGGCGATCGTCGATGGCGGCGGCGGGAGAGGCGGCGACCCGGGCATTGAGGCCTCGACGGCCATGTACCAGGAACAAGGAGATCGAGTACTTACTGCATGTCGTTGGACGGGTGGGGGGAGTTGGAGTAGACGTAGTCCGGCACGGGGCCGACTTGCCACTGCTGCATGATCTGAGGATAGCGCACGCGAACAAGGTCAGTAACGATCTCGTGTCTCTTTTTAAGCTTTTGGCCGAATTAAATGAGGATTCCGGGATGTAGCAAAGAAGAAGAGGAGGGCCCGCGCGGTGTTTTCTCTGCGCTCAGGACAGAGAGGGCCGTCGCACGCGGCGCGTCCAGGGCTCGACAAGGCTGCCGACGGGAGCAAGAATAATAGAAGAAGAAAACAAAAAAAGGAAAATACAGAGAGGGGTTGTGTCTGTCTGTCTGTCTTTTCTGCTGCTCAAGCACGGCTTACGCGCAGCGCACGCGTAGGGTCAGGGTCAAGCTCCCACTGATGCCGTCTCAGGAATTGCAACGGCACGACGCGACGCAGGCCAAGAAGCAGCAATCCGGCAGCAGCAATGGGAACACACGAGCATCCCCGTCGACGCTGGACGGACGGTTGAGGGCACAAGGTGAAGAAGCCGGCGACGAGGGAGCAAGGGGGGAGAGAGGAGAGGAAGTCCTTACGGGCGAGGCAATCAATGTAGGTCAATGTTGCCTAAAGCATCCGACCTGGACAAGACTGGCTCGGCTTTTTTTTCCCTTGGTCAACAGAGAGCAAAGCTGGGGGCCGAAAGGGTCAGGTTGCACAGCTCGCCAAAGTAGTGCAAGGCCGCTTGGACTTGGATCAACAAAGTACCTGTAGCCGTGGTGGCACCGAAAAGGACGAATTGGGGGAGAGCAGAAAAACAATATATTATTTATAATGGAAAATGGAGGCTTGGACGGGGACGCGAGGTGGACTGACGGCCTGGCAAGTAGGATGGAGCTCGCAAAGTACAAGACAAGCAAGCTTTGCAGTGCGAGCACAGAGGCAGCAGAGTTGCGGCTTGGTGGTGGGGGGCAGCCAGCCAGAGGCGTTGGCTAGGGGCAGATCCGAAGCCGAGGCGACGGCGGGCTTGGGTTTGGGTTACTGCTGTGACGGGTGCGGAACGGCGAATTGGCCAGCCAAGAGGGATTAATCGGGCTCAGTCACGGCGAGTTGGGGGGGTCGATGACTGAGTCTGCGAGGAGACTCCGTGAGGATGGATGCATGTGCTGACAAGGCTCAGCTTGGCTCTGGGCCAATGCCCGCAGCTGGCTGGGCTTTGGGCCCGGGCCTTGACTCGACGCAACTCGCTGAAGTGCAGAACCGCTGCTGGGTGGGAGTGACAAGAGAGGGATAGAGAGAGAGGGTGGCTAGAGATGGCTGAGGACGTGGATGGGAAGTACAGACGGCCACACAGACAGCTGTATAGGTAGAGACAGCTGATAGAGAGACAGACAGAGTCTAGACGGACAGACAGTAGACAGACAGATAGTAGATAGCAGACATGAAAGTAGCAAAGAAAAATTCGACAAAAAATCAAAAGAGAAAACAAACAAATGAAAAAAAAGAAGGCTTCAACGTACGACGGATGGTGGTTGGCGCGGCGCTGAGAGCGGCAGGGCGAATGATGCAGTGGTACTGCCCGGTACTCCGGCGAGAGAGCTGCGAAGACGCGGATCGGCCAGGGTTTCGTCGAGCGGATAAGTGCAAGATAGTTCGTTGTTGGAGTAGGTGGTGGTGGCCGCAGTATCAGAGGCCAAGGTGGACGGCAAGTTGGAATGTTACTGGACGAGCAGCAGATGCGTGGGATCCGAAAAGCTGTGCGGTGCGACTGGAGCAAGCAGCGGTAGCGTGGCGGCAGGTCAGTCAGCCTGCAAATGGCGTGTAGCCGGTACAGTACGTAAGTCGCCCCAGTGTGTTTTTTTTTTCCCTCTCGGCGGAACACGCAACGCACGCAGCTCGTTACGCACGCGATATGCCTCGTCTGCTCGTGGCGGCAGACTGCAGCTCAGGTCGCAGCAAACAGACCGGACGGCGAGCAGCTGTTGCAGTTGCAGGCTGTGGATCCGCGGGCCAGACGTGCAGCGCAAGCTCGAGATGGCCAGGTGTCTGCGCAGGTATCGGGGTTCAGCTTCAGGTTCTCGCAGAGTCCCAAGCTTGGGGGTGGAAGGTCGAGCAGTACTTGGAGCCCAAGTAACTCGGTTGGGTTTTTTTCTTTTTTTGCTCCTGGGGGGGAGAAGTAGATGTTTTGGAGCGACTGGGACTGGGTCTGTTTTGGGGAGGGAGAAGGGAGAAGGGCGGCCGGAGCGCAGAGACTGGAAGAAAAGCTTGGCCTTGTGGGTGGGAGGGTCCACTGCGAGTGCAAGTACCCCGTTGGGCATGTCGCTGTACCTGCTGCTGCAGCTGTCCGCGTGGGAATTAGGCGACAGGTAGAGGGGGGTGTAAGTACCGGTACCGCGCTGCTGGGCTGCGATGAAGACCGGGGCGCAGGGAGGGGCGTGACAGTGCATCACCCACAGCTCGCTCCTCAGATCCGCACGGTCCTCATCAGGCATCGCGTTGCACAGCATACAGTGCCCGGTTTCAGACAGCAACGGTGGGCTGCCTTGTCGCAGCTCGCACGGGAGTCCGCAGCAGTGCGGCGAAGCACGGGCCCCAGAGCTGCTCCCTGCTCGGCAACGCACGGTACAGGCTACAGTACAGGCAGGATACGAGAGTACACGGCCGCGATGCGACTACTACTACTAGTAGTAGCAGTCGGCCGGAGTAGACGGTACACAGCACCCGATGCTGCGAGTACATTGCCTAAGGTAGCAGGCACTCTATCATTCATGCAGCTCCATCACTAGCACTACATCCAAGTGTCTGCATCTGCTCACCTTGAAGAGACAGAGCCCGGGCTCCGGCCAGCAGCAGCTCGTACCGGTTCTTCCCTCTTGTCCCCGTCCCTTCCGGTACTTGCACGTACCTGTACTAGCGGCCCTGCTGCTGGTCTCGCACAGTCACGGTTACAGTCAGAAGTGCGCAGCACCTGCATACGGTGAGGAGCCCAGCTTCCGATAAAAGAAATTGGAAGAGCGCAGCAGCTGTTGGGAACTGCTGGGGCATCCGGCGCCATCCAATCAGCGGCGGCGAACGCCTACGCGTCCCCCTCTGCAGATTGGGCGGCGCACCGTCCGCTCCAGCCACTCATTTCGCCGCGCAGCCAATGGGCGGGTCGGGGCCACAAATTGGGTGCGTTCATGTGCAACGCAGCGACGAGGACAGGACAGAGGACGCGGGCGGGTGCAGGGGGCCAGGCTAGGTACTAGTAGTAGTAGTAGTATGCAGTACTTTGCGCGGGAGTACTTGGAGTTGCAGCCAGGCGGGTACAAGGTACGAGGGAGTCAGTGCCATTGAACCCGATCTACAATGGGAGTTGGCCAAATAGCGGCAGTATTAGCGGTTGTTGGACATGCAAGCAGTGAGAAAATGGCCATGGTGACACAGCATTGTAGTAAAGTCGGAGTCATAATCAATAAATTACTGGAAATTAATCGCCCAAGGCAGCAGCGCAAATCCGATATTGTCTGCAAATTGCCAACCTTTGAGATTATGGCTTCAAGGTTGTCGTATTCGGCGCCTTTATTTAGTAGTACCGGATACTTTTGCACTACCCGCTTTAGGAGGGAAAGGTGCCTGGAATCAAGATTCGCAGCAGCTTCTTTTGGCCTTCTTTCTATTTTTATTTTCCACAACTGGAGCAAAACCTACACAATCAATCCAAACCTCGCAGCCTCTTAGGCCTATTCAATTCATCGAATTTCACCGAACCTCTGCTTCCTCTCCCTCCGCCACTCGCTTACGCAACCAAGGCTTTCCCTGTCTCTAGATATGTAGAAAAGGGCTCGAGCAAAAAGCGGAGCCTGCGGCGATTGCGTCGAATTGGTTGGCCGCACTCTTCTGGCCAGGCCTGCCATGCTACAGTATGCCATGCATCAACAAGCGCAAAAGCAACGCTCCGGTGATGTGATGTGATACGCGATGGCCTCGTCTCCGGGGAACCTGGGACCAGGCAGCGACGAGAACCGGCGGCCAGCCTTGCTCCTTTCCGAGCACAGCCTTGCGTGCAATCGGCCCCTGTGCGAGCTGCCAGCAGCAGCCTCGACGTGCTCCAGCACCGCAGGATCCACGACAGTTCGCGATAAACAGCAAACAACAGGCGTGATATCTATACCGAGCCGGGACAGGCTCCTTGTGCTGCACATCTTCCAGAATGCGCCCATCCCGCCCAACCCCTGCAGCGCCGCCGCTCGCGCGAACTGCAAATCGCCAGGCCATACCTCGCCGCCTTGTACTCGATACCTTTGGGGCTGGAGAGGCTAGGGCCGCATCGCTGGCCACGGCCGCGGCTCCACCTTGTTTGTACATGCCTTGTCCAGATCGAGGTGTCGAGACCTCATCAGGAGCTTGGGGTGACTTGTGGCGACTGTACCTCGCCCTTGGGGTGGAGGACGCGAGTGCTTTGGCAGTTAATGTGGCTACGTTTGCATGGGAATAAAATCCGATTCGTTCTAGGGGAGATCAAGCGCTTCGATTCATTCATGGGTTTATCGTGCTGAAAGGCCATGGTACGACGGGGAAGACGAGGCCGCAGTGATACCTCGCACGGATTTGCTACCTGGATTTCGGTACGAGCTCTCTGGGAGACTTGTCTTTTCGACATACGGGGCTTTACGCACCCCTCGTCTGCTCCGTAGGGCCTTCCGCGCAAGGTACGGAGCGAGCGAGCGAGCTGATGAATCTCCCAATCTCCACACTGGCAATATACTTGTACTACACCCACGGGAGAACCATGTGTGCATCCATCTTTAATTACAGCATGCCTCTGGGGTTGGACTTGGGCAGTTGGACACTGTTCTCTGGGGAAAGGTATTTACCCGGAGGGAGACCTGCTCCAGTTGCTGTCCTGAGCAGAGCAGAGTACAAAGCGAGCTTGGGGCAGATGTGCCCCTTGCCAATGCCAATGCAATACGGAGATGCAGGTGCAGATCCAAATGCAGCATCGAGGTACTCACCCAATATTGGCCTCCTGCTGCATCCCGTCTGCAAAATGCTTCAGCCAACACGCAGATACACGCATATTATAGGGTAAGCTACTGCACATGGCAGCGTTTTAGGCAAAGCACAGATCGAGCGGCCTTATCAAATGGGCATCGCCAAGAGGGTGCTATGCCAAATACTCAACATGCCACAGGCGATATCGCTTACTCTCAACGGTTGTCGGCCAATCGAAGAGGCTGAGCGGAACACTCAAAAAGACATGCAGATGCTCTAATAACTCAGACATGAGCAAATGGAGCGTTCCTCTTGCGTTATTGGACGAAGCCCAGCAGATGCTAAGGGGGCGGCTGGAGTGATTAATCATATCGAACGTGTCGCTGGGTGAGTTCCAGCCACGCCACGCCGCGCCGAGCCGCTCTGCCTGATTCATGAGCTGCTCAGTTGTGCTCCTATCGGTCTGCCTGTCTTGATATCTGCCCGTCTATTCGCATCCTCCCAGGCAGTGCAGTGGTGTCCAATCCATTAAAGGGGAGCATGCTTGGCAAAGATCTGCAAGTAAGATGTCGAAAGGGTGCATTATCCGCTGGAAGAACATGACGAGCCGGACAAGTTAGCCGAGATGCAATGCACGCTTCCCAATGGGTTCATTTCGTTAGAACTAGTTGTTAATTGCCTGTGACAGTACAACACTCTTGCAGATATTGCATAAACTTTCACAAAATGGACTTGTACCAGCACGGTCAATCGCTTCGAGGTGGCAGGGAGGAAAAGCGAGAACGGCAAGAGAAGATATCCTTCTCATGGGGAAAGTGGAAATTCGAAGAGAGATTGGAACCAGAAAAGCAGCCGATACAACGTGCTTGTCATACGATTCTGGGTGTCTTTTGGCGTCTACTCATTAGCCACACGCGGTCACCGGAGAATCCCCTTGTTAGCTTTCTCAGGGAGAAACTCGAGATTGAGTGCGATGCAGCAGCCCATGGAAATGAACTGCGCCCGCTTTTCTCCAGATTAATCTAGGCACGGCAGGCGATGATGCTGCGGTGGCCCGTGATGAGAGAACCAGCGGGACAAGACGGCATTTGGTATGAATACGTGTATACGCTGTCTTTGTCTCGAAACAGCAGCCCTACTCCGGATAGCGGTGGCTGGTCTCTTGTTTCGAGCAGATCGTGCTGTCCATGTCAAACCAAGGATGACTAAGTAAAGTTGACAAGCAGCATGGCAATTGTCTCTTCCGGGACAAAGCGTCGAGTTTGACATGAACATGTTTGAATCGATTCTCTGCTCGGGAGAGGAGCAATCCGTATGGCTAATGCTACACTGATCCACACCCGGCAGTTTCTCTTTTGTTTCTCTCTCTTTTTTCACTCTTCGTGTCTCTTCTCTTCTCTCTTCTTCATGCGCCTCCATCTTATAAAACAAAATGCCACAACAGCCGAACATTTGCAAGCGCTGGCGTGAAACAAGAACAAACGGACAAGGGCGCTAACAGCTTGCAAGAAGGGCTGATACTCGTATGAGGAGCGCCAGGCGGTGTTAGCGCGTTTCGAGGTACAGGGTTGAAACGCGGCTGCACCAAGGCCCGGCGGCCAAAGTGAAGCAGGGCGGCTAGGATGAGAAGCGAAACGAAACCGATAGCCAGAAGTTGCTGGTTTTTGGTGTGTTTTGTTGTTATTTTTCTATTTTTTTTGCTGCTGGGAGAGTTGCTATTGAGGGTTGCTCGAGATGCGTAGATCATTGGCCACTTCCACGAGGAAATGCGAACCAGTAAACTTATACGCAGTAAAACTGAGCATAGTTTCTTTCAAGCACGTCAAGTCCTCGTGTTAGAGAGAATCCAGAGAATCCACCCAATTGCGCCAGTTCTTTATCATTGTTTACTTCTTGTTTTCTTGTGTATTATTTACTCATATGGGCGTATCATAGCCGAGCAAGGGGTCAAAACCGGCCCTCGAGAAACGGCCGTCCCTGTTTCGACAAGGGAAACAGCCTTCAAACAGCGACGTCTGCCTCCTTGCATGATTGATCTGCTACGATGGCGGAGACGATCGTTACGGGTCGAGGTCGGGTCCGAGCTCTTCCTTTATGCCTGGGAGAAAAGCCGGGCGAAGAGAGGAAACAACGAGGGGTCAATGCTCTGGATGAAGCCATTTCCGCTGTGGCTTGGTTGATGCTAGTCGAGATTGAGATTTCTGGAGGAAGCAGAGGCAACAAAAGACAAGTCGAGTTGGAATCCCCATCGGTTCCTAGTTCCTCTCGTTTGCTGCTGGATAGAGAACAATACATGTATAACCGCTGGCATAGCCCATAACGTCGGCTCCCACTAACAAGGCTCGCCTACCAAGCAAACAATCTTCACACAACCTGCACTGCCCCACACGCCACTCTATCGGAATCCAAACACGCCGTTTGCCCAACGCTGCCAGAAGCCATGCATGAATGTTTGAAATGCGTTTCCTAGTGCCGTCCCGAGACCCTGACCTGGACTCTGGGACCGGGGGCCGCATAAGAAACATCGCCCCCTTCCACTGGGGCCAGAACGTTATGCTTATGTTGAAAATCTGTTACAGGACTCGTCTCCTCCAAAACGTGTCACAGGCTAATACTTCAGATCTCACAGAGCGCGCGGACCAGGGGGGGGGACCCCTGCTCCAAAAGAGCCGCCCTGTTTCGTGGGGACACTAGACGAATGGGAAGCGTTTTTTTTTTGTTGTACCATGGTTTAGTTAGTTGGGTATATGCGCGCAGGTTAAGCTCACGGCATGAGACGTGAGCAGGTTTTAATACTTGCTCAATTCCCCCTCGCCTGGGTTCATTTTCGCTCTTCTCTTTTTCTTTTCTGTTGTTGAGTTGATATAATCTTTTTTTTTATTTGGTTGCATCCCTCGGCGTTCGGGTCAACTTCCTTTTTCTCTTCTCTTTTCGCTTCTTTTCAGCTCCTATATTCTAATTTTTGTTCTTTTGTGGCTGGTTCACAAAGTTCATTCATCTTTTTCCATTTTTGGCTTCAAACTAGCTTGGCACTGGGCGCCATTGTTCGAGATACCCTCATACTTCTATTTGTTATTCTGAGACGAAGTTTTTTTTTGCTTGGACTCTGAAGAAAAAGAATTCAATTTATACTTTTTCTTTTTCGGAAAAAAGCTTGCATCGGGTTTGGTTGGTTGTATACTGCCACGAGTTCTGTGGGGATCGCTATCTACGCGGTAAAGCTTAAGTTTGGTATAAGACGGGGTTGTGGTAACCTTATATCGTGGAAGCGACTATATCTTTGAGGAACCTATTTCTTCGAGGAACCTATTTCTTGGACGCAACACTATTTTCCATCACAAACAATGGCAGCGACACTGCCTTCTGGAAACCAAAGAATGACTCGCGGAGGACGCGCATGGAGTGAACAGGAGGTAAGTTGAACGCAATCACCGTCATACGAAATAAAAAGTAGCATGAAACTGACTTTGATACTCCAGGATGCATTCCTCATGCAGACTCGTGAAAACAAGATGCCGTACAAGCAGATTGCCCATCAGCTCAAGAAGACAGAGCTGGCTTGTCGGCTGCATTTTCACCAGCTAGTCCGCAACAGTGCCCGTGGCCGTCGAAACCGCGGATCAGTGTCTTCCATGTCAGATCTGTCGCCTGAAATGGATGCCGCGGCCTCTGCTTCGACGTTCCGCAGAAGACGGGCACCTCACCGAAGAGCTGATAGTGAAAGCTCAATGTCTACCACGTCCAGCCGCGAATACTACCTTCCACGGATCACAGAGTCCAGTGCCGACTCTGCCAGACAGCACATCATCCTGCCGAGACCCGCGGCCATGCCTGATGACACTGCGTACACCAGCCGAGCGTCTTGGCGGCCTCACAGCGTGGCCGAGGAGTTTGCACCACTTCATGATCAGCATTACCAGCACTACCACCACAGAACGCCGTCTCTGCCACCGCAACGAGAGATGATGCCTCTCCCCCTGCCGTCGACTGCGGCTGAAATGCCGGCGCACGTCGACCTCCCGCGTCTCCATGCCATCTACGACGCTCACCGTGGCGCCTTTTGGAACCACATTGCGAGCGAGTACGGCTACAACACGCCGCCGGAGATGTTGGAGGATGCGTGGAAAGCTGGTGTGTATGGCGGCGTGCATCAGTATCCTTGTCCTTCGTTTAATCGGCCCATGACGCCTGTGAGCAGCCCTGAGGCCGAGAGGAGGCATCATGGCGTGGACAGGACGAGGATTTCGTCGATTATATCTGGGGATGATGATGCTGATAGACGGTAAAAGGGCGAAGAAGGAAAAAAAAAGAAAGTTTAAAAAAAAAAAAAGTTATAGGAGCGGTCTTTTTTTTCCTTGGGAAGCGCTATTTTACTATCTAATTATTTTTCTCCTCTAATCATGAAGGAATGCGGTTTTTGATGAGGTTTTTTCCCCTAACGCACTTGTTCTTGATACTTTCGGTTTCCCTTGTATTTCACTCTATTTGAGATGATGTTACTAGTGGGACGCAATACCCGGACAAGGCTTCTTTTACTAGATTCTCCTTGTTTCTCTTATTCCGTAATCTCTTTGTTTTCTACAATGGAGTTTGGGGTTGGTGGAGTCTGCAGTGGAAACAAGCAGCTCCGTGGACAGTACAGAGGAGCTACTAGTAGTGAGACTAGAGAAATATGGTGTTTGGAGGAATTGTTTTCTTTTTCGGGTTGATTACTGAATCTTTTTAGAAATAAAAGTATCTGTCTCTATAATGGTTTTCTTTCTATTCGCAAGTGAATTTTTGTGATCGTCTTGGTAGTATGAGCTTGTAGCAGTACATAGTAGTAGTAGTATGCTGGGTTTGTCATTCTGATGTATACCTACGGAAGATGGGCATGGTTGACGGTAACATCTCGGAAACAAAATTTGCTTCTTTCCCCTTTACTCAACAGTATTCTCTTTAGCTTTTTGGAAATGATTATGTACTCGCCAATCTGTTATTGTAGGTATGATTGTGTTTTTTGGGCTCAAAAGCATGTTTGCATAGGGTAGACTGCAGCACCAACAGTAGACCCAGCGGTAGACTTGTCAAATAGAGTTAGGGACTGACTTTCCTCCCACGTGGTTGTGGAGGCGAAGACGAAGGGCTTCAATACTCTAAACGTCTGGTGATGCGAGAATTGAAGCGTTCCCAGATGAACCCTTGGTCGATTTTCAATAATTTCCACACAGAATACCAACAACCCCCCTTTCTATACTGAACGTCTCTTGGCGCTCAAGCTCCAGGTAGTTTAAAGCCCAAAATGGACCATGAGTAAAACCAGCGCTACGATTCGGGGACGCTCCGAACGTCCCCGCAAAAAATGTCCCGAGTCCCTCGCACTACCGCTATTAGGCTGAGTTGGGTATGTACAAGCCTGTAGCTAGAAACGAACGATGACGGAGGGGTGGAGCTCAAGGAAGCTGGAGACGAATGATGGAGAAGTGAGGGGGCAGAAAGATGAAAGCCGTGATGCTATTCTTTCTTCTTTTGCATCTTTTTTGACTATCTGGTGCTCTCTTTTGGATTGAGTACAATCTTGAAAGTCAAGGGGAGACCTAATTGGTGAGTAACTGAATACTTCTTCTCATCTCCTGTTTGCTCCTTTCTATCCCGTGTATAAGCTGTTTGTCGATCACAGCTTTCCCATTCACAGCATGAGCTCATCGTCAGACCCTTTCCTTTCATTTGCCGCTTCCCAAGCTTCAATTGCCGCTGCATCGACATCGGTTAAGCTTAGCTTTTCTCCGCTCTCCGGACCGGAATCGCTCTGCTAGTTTGACCATTCACTTGATTCTTAGTAAAACCGGGTGATTTGATAATAGTCGTACGGGGATGCCAAGCATTGGGAGCTTCCTCGACGATGTGGGGTAAACAAGATCACAAGCTGTTTTTTCTTGGCCCTTTTATAAATTGGCTTTCTCCTGTTGGCTGCTCTGCTTTTTAACTTCTCCTATCTGAACCATGTTAGGCACATTATAGCTGATATCATACCAGATAAAATCCAACACAGACAATGGCATCGCAGACATCTAGCACTGCCGAGCCGGCACACGACCCCAAGTCGTCGAGCGACTACATCCAGTTCCAGTGTCTTCCTCCCGGAGGAGCGCTGAATCGCTGGTCGGCGCGCCTTACTAAAGACCATGACTTTCCCGGAGCGCAGGTGTGTTATTATACACTTATTGAAATTACTCTATGTATATATCAGTTGAGCTGACGTGGTTGGCAAAAAGGCCATGCTCTACGGAGCTGGAGTTCCGGATCGAGAGACGATGAAGAATGCGCCGCAAGTGGGCATTGCGAGCGTATGGTGGGAGGGCAATCCGTGCAAGTATGCAGATCTTCTCAATTTGTACAAGTTTTTTTGTTATTCGGAAGGCTAACTGAGTATCATAGCACACATTGTAAGTGCTAGGCATGAATTACTACTTCACATCCTCGGGATGAGATGCAAGTATGCCACCAGCTAACTAACACGCACCACAGTGCTAGAATTCGGCCAAATCGTCAAACGCTCCGTCGAGAAACAAGGCATGCTCGGCTGGCAATTCAACACCGTCGGCGTCTCAGACGCAATCACCATGGGCGGCGACGGCATGCGCTTCTCCCTCCAGACCCGCGAAATCATCGCCGACTCCATCGAGTCCGTCACCTGCGCCCAGCACCACGACGCAAACATCTCCATCCCCGGCTGCGACAAGAACATGCCCGGCGTCGTCATGGCCGCCGCGCGCCACAACCGGCCCTTCATCATGATCTACGGCGGCACCATCCGAAAGGGCCATTCGAGCCTGCTGGAGCGCCAGATCAACATTTCCACCTGCTACGAGGCGTCTGGCGCGTACGCCTACGGCTCGCTCAAGGCAAAGAGCGACCCCGATGCCCCCGGGCGCTCCAGCTCCGACGTCATGGACGACATTGAGCGCCATGCGTGTCCCGGCGCCGGCGCCTGCGGAGGCATGTACACGGCAAACACCATGGCCACGGCCATTGAAGCCATGGGCCTCACTCTGCCGGGCTCGTCGTCGTATCCGGCCGTCTCGCCGGAAAAGTCCCGCGAGTGCGAGCGCGTCGCCGAGGTCATCAAAGTCACCATGGAAAAGGACATTCGCCCCCGCGACATCATGACCCGCGCCGCCTTTGAAAACGCCCTCGTCCTGACCATGATCCTCGGCGGCTCGACAAACGGCGTGCTGCACTTCCTCGCCATGGCCAACACTGCCGGCGTGCCCCTCACTCTGGACGACATCCAGCGCACGAGCGACCGCACGCCCTTCCTGGCGGATCTCGCCCCCAGCGGAAAGTATCTCATGGAGGACCTGTACAAGGTTGGCGGAACGCCCTCGGTGCTCAAGATGCTCATCGCAAAGGGCCTCATTGACGGATCCATCCTCACCGTGACTGGCAAGACGCTCGCCGAGAACGTCGCCGACTGGCCTTCCCTCGACCCGGGCCAGCAAATCATCCGCCCCCTCGAAGACCCCATCAAGTCCAGCGGCCACATCCGCATCCTCAAGGGCAACTTCGCGCCCGGCGGCGCAGTGGCCAAGATCACCGGCAAGGAGGGCCTCTCCTTCACCGGCAAGGCCCGCGTGTTCAACAAGGAGCACGAGCTCAACACCGCCCTGACAAAGGGCCAGATCAAGCGCGACGACGGCAATCTCGTGCTGATTGTGCGATACGAGGGACCCAAGGGCGGCCCAGGCATGCCGGAGCAGCTGCGAGCGTCGGCAATCATCATGGGCGCGGGGTTGAGCAACGTTGCGCTCGTGACGGACGGTCGGTACAGCGGTGCCTCTCACGGCTTCATCGTAGGCCACGTAACGCCCGAGGCAGTAGTAGGAGGGCCGATTGCGCTGGTTCAGGACGGAGATGAAATCACCATCGACGCTGAGACGAATAGAATCGACGTTGCCATATCAGACGAGGAGATGGAAGAGCGAAGGAAGAAGTGGACGCCACCGGAACCAAAGATCAAGAGAGGCGTGCTGGCCAAGTATGCGCGGTTGGTAGGCGATGCGAGCCACGGAGCTGTAACAGACGGATGGTGAGCGTCTTCACTCTGTGTGCGTCATGTAACTTGTATCAAGAGGAATATAATGAAAGATGGAATGCTGCTCAAGACAGTTCGCTTTATGATAGTATGACAAACGATGAGAATCATAATGACCACTCGCCCACTCATTCTAGAAAAAGAAGGGGACAAGAAAGGAGATTCGTTTTCAAGCTCGTACGTAAAGCAAAAACAAATGAGGCAAAATAAAAGTAAAAGAAAAAAATCGAAGGGTATCGTGCCTCGACTGCCGCCTTCTCTAAAACCGATCAATCGACCCAATCTCATGATATTTGCACATCACTGCTCTCCTTCGCTCCTATATCAATGCATGGACACATATATACATATAGACATGTTGTTCGTCTCCCCTCACATTCGTTGCGTTTAATCGCCCAGAGGCATGCCCTCCAGAGCATCCAATAGGCGGCGCCAGTTATCCGCCAGCATCTCCGCATACTTGACGCGCTCGCCAGCCCAGTCTTGGTTCCATTTGCTGACGTGGTACTGGGTTGACTGGAAAGTGATGAGCTCGTCTCGGAGACACTCCTTGACAAAGATGGAACGGTTGTGCTGTTGCACAATAGACTCCTTATCCTGTTTCCCGCATTGTCAGCTCTAAAATATAAGACATCATCGAGTAAGGGACAAACGTACCTTGATGATGGCCTCTGCCACCTTTTCAATCTCCCCCGGCTTGACGAGACCCTCTGGCTTGGACCGCAGGTTGGCCAGCTTGGTCTCATTGGCCTGTATTCTCCTTTCCAAATACGGGATGTTATCCTTGTCCAATCGCTCTCTTCGGTCGAACAGCTCGCGGAGGCTAACCAGAGCATCTCGCTGTCGCTTCAGATCCTCAAGCACACCTTCTTCCCATCCCCGGCTCTCGTCCTCGAGTAAAGTCTGGCAATTACTCAAGTGCCTGCTCATTGCTGTCAAACCGTCGTTGAGTAGCGGAACTTCGCTCGTATCGGTGGCGTAGGTATCGGCAGAGGCTTCGGTGAGCGAAATGAGCGACATGGCAACCCGCGCATGGTCTGCTGCGACGCCCTCTGTTCTTTTGACGAGACGATCCATGATGTTGCAGGAAGTAATGTATAGCTCGGAAGAACGACGAACTCCGTTGCTTGTTCGGGTGAAGAGATCCTCCAAAGTTGGCGGAAGTGAATCTTCCAGACCGGGGGGCAGCGTCCGGTCAGTGAATTCGTCTTGGACAGAAAGGTTTGCTTGCTTTCGCCAAACGGCAAGTTCCTGCATTGTAGTTAGCAATCTACTTGGTCCCCCTTTCATCTCCTATTGTTTAGTATAGAAACTGGGAAGCTTACTGTAGGAACAGTCAAGAACATGACAACTAGCTGCTCTTGGCTCAGCACTGGATGCCGTACGAGGGCGTTTAGGAATCTAGCCAGCCCTCGACGTCGTTTTTCAATAAAAGCACCGTCGTTGGATAGATGATTGCCATTGACAGCCACACGCTTGGGAGGTAGCAGCGGCAGCATCCTAAACGGATATCTCTTGTGCAAGCAATCCAACAGCCAGACAAAGTCGCTGTACCGGCGAACGACTTTGCTGCCTCGTCGATGGCTCGTAACCTCGTAGTTGTGGTGCTGAAACATGAAGATACCCTCCTTTCCCGGCATGAGCGTGACTACGACATTTTCCTCTGCGTTGTTTCCCACGCGGCCGCCCAAGCTTCGGGGCGGTGCCATGGTAGGCGGAGCTCCAGGCACTGAACCAGCGCCATCCGCTCCAAATAAGTTCTGCATGGTGGGCATCGGCGGGTTCTGAATTTGAGGAGGCACATCATTGAAACCACCACCAGGTGAGCTGCCGTAGAAACCACCTCCCCAGCCCCCTTGGCCAGTCAAAGAGCTACTCGAGACTTGCCTTGGGCGGTTGGATGGGCGGGCGTTCTCGGGCGGAGCACTGTAGTTGTTTGCGAGACGTGATTCGAACGGCGGAGGCGCATTCTGGTTGAAATCGTGGCTGTTTCCATTGACCGCAGGGGCGTGAATCTCCGAACCATTTGAGCGGGAATGGGAGTGGCCCTTGTGCAGGTCTGGCGCGTTCCATGGATCGTCTTCGGGGTCAACCAAGGTTGATCTGGTTAAGGTGGTAGTAGGAGGCTGTGGCTCCGCGGGAAGCTGTGGCTGGGGTTGCGGCTGGGGTTGCGGCTCAGGCTCATACGGCTCGGGTTCTGATTCATTTTTGGAAGGGACCTGTGGTGGTTTCGCCGCAAGTTCACTAATGGGAGGCATGACGGGTTCGGCGGTAAGTCCTGGTAAGTTGGGCTGAGGTATGTCTAAGCAAGAGGACGAAGCGTTAGCCTGCTGCCCAGTATGGAAAAAAAGAGAGTGTGTTAGTGATGTCTAGTTGCTGTAGGACACGCCAGGTCAGATGGCGACCATCAATCGGGCTCTGATCGTTTTTGGCGCGAGTGCGACTGAATCGCAGCTGACGATATAGGCCGGGAGTTGAGCTAAATTATGTGACATTGTGACATTGAAGAAGACTCCATGATGTAATGCTCCCGTACAGAGGGTGACGTATGTTCACAGCCAGAACGAAACAGAAAAAAAGCAAACAAAAGCTGTATTTAAAGGCGTTCCACTCACTTCGTCGTCGTTCATCAACTCCGTCGAGGCTGATGATGTCGCCCTCTTGCGCCAGCCCAATCAGCGCGAGCACCACGTTGAACTCGTTGCGCGACAGCAAGACGTCGGACCCTTGGCCAGGAGCCACCAGCGCCATGATGCGCGCCTGGGCATCGGCGTCCAGCCTCGCCACGGCGAACAGCTTGGCGATGCCAGCAGCTGTGACCTGGCCATCACGGCCGTCCTCGCCCACGACGGCGTCAAAGGCCCCGACGTAGCTCTCGGGCACGTCCGCGGCCGGCAGCAGGGTGCGGATCATCTCGGAGCGGCTGCGCTGCTTGCGCGGCGTGGGCATGTCCCAGGGCGACGAGGCGCCGCTGTTGTCGTCGAAGAGGCTGGACGAGTTGCGGCCCGACGCGGGCTCGTCGTCGAAAAGCCCGCCTCGATTGGCCGGCGGCGAGCCCATGGCTGGGCCATTGTCGGTGGGCTCGTCTCCAAAGAGCGACATGCTGCGATGGCCGGCCGGTGGTGGATGACGAAGCTCGCTGTGTGTCTCTTGTGATGATTGACAAGGCAAAAGCAAGACGAACGAGAAGCCAGACAGCAGGAGAGGCGAGGGAGTCTGTTGCGGTCGCGGGGTTGCGCAGTCGGAAAGAGGCGAGGTTGGCTGTCGCAGTATTAATGATGAAGCAAGGATGGCTAGCCCGGGCCTTAGTGTTGCGTTGCGTCTTTGTTTAGCTCGGCGTGCGTAATGGCGCTGCTGTAGCGCCCGGCTGGCTGGCTGGAGGACGACGATATGGGTCAAGGGAGGAACTACAGCTGACGTAGCAATTAATAATGATAATACAGAGCGGGAAAAGGAAATATATGAAAGTAAAGAATTAAAGAGTTCTCAAAGCTGTGATCAAAAGGAGAAAAGAGAAGAGAAGCCATGTCCGCAGACATACGGTGTGAGACGCCGAGTGTAGTATAGACGTTGGAGAAGCTAGACTGCCAGGAGTCAAGGCCCCGTCATAGATGCAGGGCAGATAGGCGAAGGACGAGAGCTGACTCCCTAGCTACTACGTCTAAGAATAAAATACGACTCGAATGCCATGCACTTTTATGATTTATTTTAAGAGTAAATCGGTGTGAGTTAGTGGATGTATGCTCAACGCACTTGCAGCTTAATACTACTACTTCCTGGGTACTCTGTGATAGCACTTTGGTTACAGTACCCATGGCGACAATGACGCGGCTGATGCATGCATAATTTCCATGCCCGTGTTTACATATACAAATATACTATACAGTTTTCCCTTTGCCCTGCATCGTCCTCTATCATTGAAGCAGGTAGCTTTCCCCCTCCATATCTCTCGCTCGATCTATGCGCAGCAAGATCAAAATACAGCCATCATTCATAACGCAATTCACCCATCCTACCACAACGTCTCCTCCGCCTTTTTCTTGTCCTTCTTCACTTCGCTCTTCACCTTGTGCACACCAGGCACCCTAAAGTACAAACTGGGTGACTGGCCTGGGGCAACCTGGTGGCTCAGGTATCCCCTGTGCGCAGGGTCTCGGTAGTACTCGATGTCGGCACGGCTTGTAGGGTCCGGTAATCTGTATCGGAATGGACCCTTTCTCGCCTCGGCCAAGATTGACTCCACATGCTCGGCGCCAACTGGTAGGGGCCGGTCGGTGTTGACGGACTCGCCGGTAAGCAGTCGCTGGATGGCCAGTCTCGTGTAGTATCTGGTGAGCACCTTGCCTCCCGTGGCTTCAATGGCAGCAATTGCGCCTGCTGAGACTCTTGACACCATGACGTTGATGGGTTGTTTGAGAACCTCGTCGCCGCGAGAGAGAATCTTGACGCCGTCTTTGACGCTGCCAATCAGCTTGCTTTCGATCAGCTCCTTCGGCGTGATTTGCTTCGAGGGGTCGAGTCGGCCTTGGTCGATCCAGTTCTGAATCTGGTCCAGGTTCACTTCGGAGATCTTGGGTGCTCGGCTGAGAAATGGTCAGTATCACGCTGTCTCTTGAGAATTTGACGGGGCGCAAAAAGGTTATTGCCCCGCCTCCAGAGGCGCTCACAAGTTGTCGAAACCCTTCCGGCCGTGCTTGACGATCAAAGGTGTCTGACCGCCCTGGAACCAGGGCTTGACTTTTCCGTGCTGTCGCTGACCCTTGTGGCCTCGTCCGGAAGTCTTGCCGTGGCCTGAGGAGGGACCGCGACCAACTCGTTTTCTGTTTTTGATGGCGCCGGCATTGTTGGCCAGGCTGCCTAGGATCGAAGCATTGCGGGTTTGGGTCTGCTGGAGGGTGAGCCTGGCAAGACAGGCTGTCAATGAGGTGGCGGGAGTGTTGACGGCGACTCGGCAGCACGACGCTGTGCTGAGAAACGGTATTCGGGGAGGCATCGTGGTATAGCTGGGTCTTTTGTCGCAGCGCGGGCAGTTTTGCTTGTCTGCATCCTGAAGATTTTGGACTGGTACCATCTGGGGTGTGGTGGTGCCTGAGGCCTAAACCAGGACTAGTTTGGCGGTACGTACCCGCTCCTCAAAAGCCATCCAGTATTACGGCGTACTCATTGACGGCTTTAAAATGGTTCGAACGATGGTATTTAGATCGAATTAATAAAGATTATAGTACGTTTATTCTGTTTACTTCAAGTTATTGAACTGTATCCGTGACGTCTTGTCATATTTTGCCTTCAAAATTCCAGAAAGATGTGCAGATGGGACCGAAGCTTTTCATTCCTTTATTGTTAGCTTGGAGAAATAGAGACTGGCCATTCAGCGAGAGGAGAAAAGAAAGTCATGATTGTTTTTGCCAAATCAACCAAGGTGCAACATCTATAGTCTTTGCAATTGAGCTGTACAGTTGATTGCAGAGTAAATATCCCTTTACCAGATGCATGCTACCCCACATCGCAGCTCTTACTTGAAAGCAAGAGCAAAATACATGTATAGAGCGTAATTCTGCCGAGGTGCCTGCATATTACCAATTTCTGCATGGATCGATGCTGCTTATAATTGCTCCTTTGCCGCATCAGGTGCAGCAGACTATCACTTTCTTGTGTCTAATCAGCTAGAATGAACTGAGCTGAGCAGCGACTATTTACAAACTATTGGAAAACAACCTTGGGGGCTACCGAATTGGGCGGCATGCCGTCTCAGCTCTACCTTCATGTGAAACTAGGCCAATTACAGCTCACAGAACAAATAGCTGTCGATGGATTTGAGTGGCAAAAGCCTGGGGTTGAATTGGATTGGTGAAAACATGCATGATTCAAGCCGAGTATATGTGCCTGATGACCTGTAGCCGCAATTATGTACTATGAGGCAGGTTTATCTGGTGTCTGTTATGATGCTGCCGCATTCTTACATGTATATAATAGATGACTCTCCAAGAGCCGGTGGAAATACTCCCATGGTACTATAGAAGATTGACCAAACGATGTCTCAACCAATTACAGGACCTTCACTTTCCATGGATAAAGTCAACGACATTATTCAGTTCTTCAAAGATGAAGAAATACCAGTCTACGCAGTTGGCGAATCGCAGTATGAACGGTCGGTAGCAACGGCCAACTTCCTCTACCGATTCGAAAGACCCGACTGTGTTGTGCAACCCAAGCGAATTTCACAGGTCCAGACAATCGTTCGAGAAGCTAAAGAAAGGAAGATACCCATTACGATTAAGAATGGTGGTCATTCTTACGCGGGCGCATCCACCGCTGCGACGGGCATCTCATTGGACTTGTGCAAAATGAACAATGTCAAGCTCGATACCGATTCAAAGATTATGACGCTACAGGGCGGCGCATTATGGGGGCACGCATATAAAGAGTTTGTCAACAAGAAGCTCAACCAATATGTTGTTAATGGCGGGCGATGTCCAACTGTGGGCGTAAGCGGCTTCCTTCTGGGAGGCGGCCTCAGCCCTTTTACGAGAAGTTTCGGCATGGGCTGCGACACTCTCAAGGAAATCACCATAGTCACCGCGGATGGAGCAAAAGTCACCGTGAAAGAGAGCGGCAATGACGACCCCAAGAAAGATTTGCTCTTTTGGGCGCTCTGCGGAGCGGGTGGCGGCAACTTTGGAGTCGTGGTGGAGATGAAGCTGCAAGTTCAAAAGCTACGATGCGACAACGTCGTGGCCGGCAGATATACTTGGTGGCCACAGAAGGATCCGTGCAAGATGGAGAGTTTTATGGAGACGATGCGGAACTTTTACACGACTGCTTGGCCAAAACAGCTCACCATTGATAGCTCTTGGCTGTGCGATCTTTCACAGAGCAACATTGGTGTCAGGTTTCTCGTCTACCATAATGGCGACAAAGCCGAGTTCGAAAAGCTTATCAAAGAAAACATCACTGACGAGGATTTATCGAAACCACTCATAAAACGATCCCTGGAAGAGCCGTCTTCCTTATTCCTTCACGAGACGCTGGTTGCTCAGTGGTCAGAAGAGACTGAGAAATCATTCCCTCAGAACCCATCTTACATGATTTATTCTTCATTTGTCTTCAAGAATAATGCAGACGATGTAAAAGCCATTACAGACATCATCAGAGAAAACATGACACAATTCAGGGAAAAGTTTCCAGGAGAACGTGGCTTGCTGCAGGTAACTTGGATTCATGCGGGCGGCGAAGCAGCTTCCAAAGACTCATCAGCTACAGCATATCATTGGCGCGACTGTGTGTATCACACATACATAATGGTGCAATGGTATGAAAAATTCTTGGAGCAAGATATGTGGAACTTTCTCGATCGTTTCAAGGGAGAGTTGAGGCGATACTCCATCAATGGGCAAGCGGCATTCATCAATTTTCCGGATGGGAGATTGGCACCGGACATTCATGAGCGAGCATATTATGGAGAAAATCGCCATGCATTGCAGCAAATAAAAAACGTCTGGGATGAGGGTGATTTCTTCCATTGGGATCAAGGCGTGCGCCGTCCGGCTGAAGAGCTGAAGACCGAGACCACAGCATTGCGATTGGGATTGGAAGATTCGCTGTTTACTGAGTCGCTGGAGAGCAATATCGTTAGTGAAAAGGACTTTTATGCCTCTAGGATATCGTCGTTCAATATGGCCATGTCGAATCTTGAAGATGTTCCAGATAATGGGTACAGGTGGGATAAGCCACCTCTGGCAAATCAGCTGGCATCAAGGCAGTGGGAGACTGTTACACTTCCTTCGGAGAAGATATTTGATAGAGGCATCTACAACTTGAACGATTTGGGATTCTAACGTCTTGGAAGCATTTCTGCGATAGGGGAGAAAGGCAAGAGGCTTATAAGCATAGATGGAGGAGAACTATAAAGGCAGATATTACATATGTAATAACTTCCGTACTACCACTACTACATTTACTACCGCTACTACTGCTATCGCATCTACAGGTACAACTAAATTGGCCCTGTCGCGCATTCATTGTAATAATAGTATGCCATTGTACGAGATTAAAAATGCTGTGAAGCAGCTTCCGTAAGTAGGTAAGAAAGTATTGCCCCCCTGCTCAAAGCACACATTATGTATAACTGTAAGGCGTCGTGTGAAGTTAAAAAAGCTGTGAAGTCCCGATTCGGATTGTCGGCAGACTTAGCTATAGGGCGCATGCAAAGCTAATGAAGACTGCCTAAGCAACGTAGGCACCTTCGGATTTAGTGTGATATTTATGAAATTGTTTTGAGACAGAAGTCGTTATAGGCGACTGATTGCGGTTAATATAGCAGCTTCTGTCTCAAAACACAGTGCGCAGGATCTTGCTTCCAGAGTCTGATTCTTGATCGTGTGACTACATATATGTAGGGCTCTGATCAGGTTTAGATGAAAGAATTCGATTAGTATTAATTCATGATACCTATCTCGATTCTTATGCTGCCGTACAGAGAGTATAGCGTCCGCTGGCTGATCCGCTAATACCTCTACAGCCATGCCGAAAGTCTCTTGTGGGCTAGGTTTTGGCGACCAATTAAGCGTGTAATTCATTCAACTTTAAAAAAACAGCTACTTGTAAGGTTCTATGGCCGCGGGAGAAGACAAAGTCTTTATGCCAGATACCAACCAAGTCAGGTTCAAGACCTAGTTCCACAGAGACAAACCTCAGTCTCCTGTGTATAACATCATGTTTGTGCGTAAGAAACATGATTGCTGCTTACTCTCTTCTAATTAATCTACCAACACTGCGCTACACCAACAGCCGAAACACGGCCCGCATTAGTCATCCATTCTCGAGCTTCGAATGGCCTGGGCCTGCATCTTGCAAGTAAGCCTCGGAGTTCGCTATAAACATGCTTATACGGGCGCCTCCGACTGGAGACCATCTTATACAGCCTTGCAACTCTTCACCGACTTTGCACTCATTGATGCCAGGCTACGCCGTTTTCGTGCCTAAAAAATGCGCACAACCCTGCGCAGGTCCTGCAACGCATGCGCAAAAGCGAAGCTAGGCTGTGATCTCCGAGTTCCGCAGTGCTCTCGATGCGTCAAGCGCAAGTCAAAGTGCGTTTATGCAAATTCGCCGCTGAATACTCCCCTCGACGTAACAGGGTCATCAGCAGAGACGACCGGGCACAGCTCAATACTTGTAGCTGCTAAGAATGAGAGCAAGTCGTTGTCTGTGGTCTCGCAGGAGAGGGAGATGGTATCGCGACCCTCGGAAAACCCGGGATTGTTGATAAATCCGGCGACGGCGTCTTTTGATCCCTTTGACTCATATCCGTCGACAAGACTCCCTCGACTGCATGTTCAGCGCCTCATCCATCGGTGTAAGTCTTTCTCTTCTAGAGTGACCGTTTTAACCCCATTCACACACTGACATTTCCAGTTCTTTCCAGCATTGCGTTCCAATATTATCCCCTGGATCTCAACATAGAGTCAAATCCATTCATTGTTTCCTGGTGGCCGCTCGCCCTTGCAGATCAGGCCCTGTTCCATGTTTCATTACAGACGGCCTCTCTTTATGAGGAGCTGCAGGCGCAAAAAGGATTTCCAATTTCCGACCTCCTCATGGTGGACTCGATTGCGTTGGTGAGAAGGAGGATCGAAGACTCATCACTGGCGTTTCAAGATGAGACCATTGACTCTGTGGTGACCTTGGCGGCCATTGAGGTAAGATGCCATTACATAGCGAAAGCATGAACATTGCTTACTAACACGAGATGAATAGCATGGCAAGGGAAACATCGAAGCCAGCAAAACGCATATCGATGGAGTCAAGAGGATGGTTACCTTTAGAGGAGGGATCAATGAAGTAAAGCGCCGAAGTCCCCTAACGGCGCGCATGGTGTCATGGTGAGCGTTACAGATACTGATGATGAAAATGGCTGCTAAAGACTGACGCAGGGTATCCATGTTGGTCATGGGAGCTCCTCAATTCTCAGCTAAAGACGACTTTGGCCACGGAGATGGCATCAGTCCAATACCGCAGTGGCAACTTCTCTCAACCGATGCAGAGCCCCCGCGGGGAATCTTTGACAATTTAAATATAGATCCGGCCCTGGGAAATATTTTATCACGTCTAAAAACCATCTTCCAGGACCCACGGCATTCAAATCTCACAAATACAGCACTGCACGATCTGACAAATTATGTCATACACAGGCTGCTATTGCTCCCTCCACTCATAGATGGAAATCCAATGCAGTCAGCTGCTTCTGAGTGCCTTCGATATGCGGCAGCCCTCTATATGCTAATTATACACGGCACCACATACTATTCCCATGCCGGCCTGGCACATATCATAATCCTCCAACTTCGGTATCATCTGATGGTCTTGGCTGGAACTAGCTACATGCATGAGCCACACATAATCTGGGCTCTTTCCGTTGGCATGGTGTCGACGATGGGGGGAGAGGGCTACCACTGGTTTTTGAATGAAACCACCGCGGCTGCAGAAACTCTCGACCTCAAAGCTTGGGAGGTTGTGCTCATGCAGCTGCAGAGCATACTTTGGATAAGAGTGCCGCAGGAAGAACTTTTCCACCAGACATGGAATGAAGTATTTGACGCTGCTACGAAACGCGGGCAACAAGTCCCTTTGCTTTCATCGCAATCACCCAATTAGGCAATAGACCTTGTTCAATACCCAAGACCGCTGGCTCATCAAAGTTGACGGAGGAGAGACCCTTTTATACCACGATTGCTTTGTATACGTGAATAAAGATTATCTGACAAGGGGTAATTTATGTCAGCCGGGAAGAACAAGACTTTGTCTACAACCCTGCGGCTATAAGCAGCGTTTCGATGCGAGAATCTTGCTCAGGCAGAAATAAGCCATGATCACTCCCATCGCCATGTTCCGCATCCGAGCGCAGTCGCATGTTTTTCCGAGCAAACGTCCAACAAAAGAGTGGACTCTGGTCGATGCTAATGATGACAGGCCAATCGAATCTCTGCCCTGAGCCAGGATTAATGCGAAAAGTCCGCCGGGCTGCCCCATATCGAGGTCTATAAGATTCGGGGTCTAGAACTAATCAGGACTAGACTCCGAATGTCTTGATCGCGATGGTAATTCGGAGCAATCAGGCTTCATCGTATGGCATACCAACACAATGATATTTCCGGGTCAGTACACCCTTTGTTTTCGGAGTCTAGCACGTAAACGGCTACTCAATGCTGGGAGACAGAGTCAGATTGGAAAAAAGATCGCAGGTATACGAATACGAGGCGTCTCAGATAATTCGTAGATGCAAAACGAATGCGCAAACCGTCTGCTTGGTGTTATCAAATCTGGCCACTTTCCACTTTGGTTAAAATTGGCTGCAGCAAGCTACTAACCCAGTGTGCTTATGTATGTCAAGGCAGGAAGATGTTGATTGTCTGTATATATTTGATCGAGTTGCCGCTCTTTCAAACGCTTTTCCGTATAATACCCATTCGTGTATCCTCTGCATGATACGTTCTTGTAGCTGCCTCCGAAATCATCATGGCCACTATCATCGAAAGTGGCCTTCCAGCCACTGTCGAAGTCTTCACGAACGGTACCCAGAATGACGTTCCGAGTCAAGCGAGTGGTATCCTTTCAGCATATCTGCCCAGTTCGAACTGGCAGATAGCTGTAACGGCGTTATTGATTCTAATCGCATACGACCAGTGTATGTCGTCAAATTATCTCAAGAATTACAATAAGAGCTGCTACAATTGCTGACATATTGATAGTTTCATATATAAAACAGAAAGGATCAATAGCAGGGCCCATGTTCAAGATTCCATTCATGGGACCGTTCTTGCAAGCAATCTACCCAAAGTTCGATGCCTATCTTAAGCAGTTCGCCAGTGGCCCCTTGAGTTGCGTATCTGTTTTTCACAAGTAAGTTCCTCACATTTTCCTTGATCCATGGCTAGATATGCCTGTTTCCTGCTATTTAATAGACGTTGGACTGACTTCTTTATAGGTTTGTCGTCTTAGCCACGGACCGCGATCTCGCACACAAAGTTTTCAAATCCCCAACATTTACAAGACCATGCCTTGTGCCGATGGCAATAGAAATAATGCGTCCTACAGCATGGGTTTTTCTCAATGGAAAAGCACACGCTGAATTCCGCAGAGGATTGACCGGCCTATTCACAAACAAAGCTTTGAGCACGTATCTGCCAGTTCAAGAAAAAGTCTACGGAGACTACTTCAAGAAGTTCGTTCAAGCTAGTAAAGAGAACAAGGGAAAGCCAGACGTGTTCATGGGCTGGTTCAGAGAAATCAACTGCGCGTTATCATGCCGAACATTCTTTGGAGATTACATCTCTCAGGAGGCAGTCAAGAGAATCGCAGACGATTTCTACCTCGTTACCGATGCTCTCGACCTTGTCAACGTCCCACTCTCTATTTACATCCCATTCACCAAGTGCTGGAGAGGTAAGCGTACAGCAGACGCCGTACTAGCAGAGTTCACAAAGGCCGCTGCTGCATGCAAGGCCAACATGGCTTCCGGTGCCAGCCCTACATGCATAGTCGACCAGTGGGTTGAGCACATGTACGAGTCAAAAAAGTACAACGAAGCACTTGCTGCGGGTGCCGAGGGACTCGAGAAGCCAACCAATCTTATTCGCGAGTTCTCATTAGAAGAGATTGCCCAGACACTATTCACATTCCTCTTTGCGGCTCAGGATGCATCCAGCAGCGCTACCATATGGCTGTTCCAGATTTTGGCTGATAGACCGGATGTTTTGGACCGCTTACGAGAAGAGAACTTGGCTGTGCGAGGTGGCGATAAAACCCGACCGTTTGAACTTGGCATGTTCGAGTCAATGACTTATACGCACGCCGTGATCAAAGAAGTCCTCCGCTATCGCCCGCCTGTTATCTTTGTGCCTTACCTCGCCACCAAGGCATTCCCGGTTACTCCAAACTACACGGTTCCCAAGAACGCAATGATTATCCCCTCTTGTTACCCGGCTCTTCATGATCCAGTAGCTTATCCTAGCCCAGATGTGTTCGACCCAGAACGATGGATCACAGGTGATGCGGAGACAAAGACTAAAAACTGGCTGGTATTTGGCGCTGGCGCACACGATTGTATTGCACGACGATACGTGCCGCTTACTCTTGCTCATATGATTGGCAAAGCTTCACTAGAGGTTGATTGGGTACACCACACAACCCCTCGCTCGGAAGAGATTCGAGTTTTTGCTACCTTGTTTCCTATGGTATGTTAAATATTCATGGAGACCCAGCCTCGTCCTGGCTCTTTGCAGATTGTATGGCTAACTATATGCGCAGGATGAATGCCCACTTGTTTTTACAGAGCGAAAATAATTTAGATCCCAACATCAGAGTAGGGGTTAATAGTTAGTACCTAATCGTATAGAGAGCGTTAAATGCTCAGATAGATGACAGAAGGCATTCTGATAATAAATGAAGTGATAATAAATCCAACTTATATGAAATCTATCTATATCTCTTGTTGAAGATGGCTGTCTATAATGTAATAAAAAATTGTGTGTATATCCAGGTACGTGAACAACTATCTACTAAATCTACTGTATCTATGAAAAACCCCCAGCGCAGAAACAAAAGCCAAAACTATGCCCCATGTATGTAAATACATTCCAATATTTAGATTGTAAAAGAAGTTATTAAGTAAAACAGCGCCAAAAAACAACTATTGGTATCTTCAAGAGCATGGAAGCTATATGATTCAAGCAAGCTTGGCATGCTCTTGTTCTAGTTTCTTGGCAAATGGCTTCATACTTTGGCAAAGTTTGTCCTGTGATTTCACTATTAGCAACAATACAAATCGAGCTGCCCATGGTCCAAAGGAAAACTTACAATAGCACCTTGAGGCATCAACCACAAGCCAAAGCGAGCTACACCAGCGCCACCACCGACCCATTGCTTACCAGTCGCCCCCCTCTCAACTCGTTGTAGAACATCCTGTGCAAATGCATCCGGCTTCTGGCCATAGGGATTCTCCTCTGGGTTTTCCTCAATGATATCCTTTATGGGCTTATAGTAAGAGTTTTCAGGGAAGATGAGAGTTTGCATGTTGACGAAGAAGTTTGTTGCAATGCCGCCGGTGACGAGAGTCATGACGCGAACCCCAAGAGGTGCCATTTCAAGGCGCCAAGTTTCGCCTCCATGAATCAATGCCGCTTTGCTGGCGTTGTAGATGCCTGTTTCAAAGAAAAATAAGGCCAAGACTATATGGAGTGAAGTTTGTGAAAGAGTTGCATGTACGTACTTGAGAAAGGAAAATTGAAGACACCGCCCACAGAAGAGTTATTTACCACACAACCCTTGGCTGCGACCAACAAAGGACCAAAAGCTTGCATCATAGCCATAGCTCCGAAGAAGTTGAGATCAAACAAACTCTTGGCTTCCTCGAGTGATGTGTCGAGGCCCGGCATATTGAGCCCCAGCCCAGCGTTGTTGATGAGGACGTCGAGTTTGCTCGTTTTCTTTTGAACTTCCACAAGGGCCGCTGCAATTGATTCCGCGGACGTCACATCGAGTGCGAGAACAGTAACATTAGGGGCGTCATGGAGAGGTTGCGGTATCTTGGAGGGCGAGCGTGCTGTTGCAAAGACGTGATAGCCCTTGTTCTTGAAGGCTTCAACGAATGCGGCGCCAACTCCACCGGCGGAGCAGCCTGTGACGAGGCAAGTCCTTTGTACGGCCATTGTTCAGTATAAGAATTTTGTTGTTTCGGTTTGTAGAATATGGAAGTGAAGGATTAGAATCATGAGATGTAGACACAAAGAATATTCCTGACTACTCATAGGGCTGCACTTGCTTCTTATATCTCTTTTTCTCTTCCATTCATACAATTCAAGCTCCCGCTCTTAGTTTCTTGTCGCCTATCTCAGCGCATCTTAGCATAGGCGCTCCGCCACTACTTCATCGTCTAAGTCAGATTATGGCTGACAACGATCTTACCCACTTCGCTATGATTGGCTGCAAACTCCGGCAGCGACAGCTTATTGGCCTACAACTCCGGAGATGCTTTAGGAATCTTGCAAGTTCAGCTAAAGGGGTCTGTCAAGCAGCTTCAAATCTCCGTTGTTTTTGCATTTCCATTATTCTATTTCCAAAATCTTTTGCCTGATTTGGTACAAGTACCGAACTTCTGGATGCCTAATACCCGAGCCAAATCTTGCGACAACTGCCGCGTGGCCAAATCGCGATGCTCCTTGTCATCTCCTTGTTCGCGGTGCGCAAAGCGTTGCCTCCAGTGCCACTATCCGCAGAGCCGTATACGCGACGCAGGTAATCAGCAACGCAGGAAGGATTTCAGGCCAATATTGCCTGTGACAACTGCTCCGATAGCCAGTGACAAGATTGCAAACAATGGACGTCTACCTACGGAGAACTCAGTTTCTGTCGCCGAGATCTCAGATGCTGTAGCAGCAGACGCAGGAAACTACTTTGCCAGTTCAGACGCAAATTCAAAAGAAAATTCGTTTGACGCTATGACTACGTTACTCGAAACTGGTATCAAGATGCCAGACTTAGCTATCTATCCGAGCGATACATTTTCACCTTTTGACATTTCTGTGACACCAGCATTTCCTCATGAGACAACTTCATCGCCGGATAGACAGGGAGATTCTGATAATAGCTCTGTATCTCGATACTTTGCTGATTCTTTGCCAACATCGGATCCTCTCTCTCTTCCATACTCTATCTCGGGGTTTGGACTCAGCACCACATCATCTCCCATGCCGACCAGCATCAGTTTCAACAGCTCCGATTTCCTCATGACGGCGATGAGCTCTGTTGATATCCCAGACAAACCCCCTCTTTCGATACGCGAGAGATCATTTCAGCAAGGCTCTTTGACAGCCAAGATGATATTAAGCCAGCTATTTGACTATACCCGCCGAATGGCAGAGGGCAAAAACTTGCCGCCTTTCATACATCCTCCCTGTTTCCTTAGCCAAAATGATGAATGCCCTTCAGAAGCACCACATGGTTGTTTGCCTCAGTCTTTGGCTATTTGCAGGAGTTTAACCCAAATGTTTTATTCTCGAACCTCAGAAAGCACATCTTTCATTTGGCGGCAGATATTCATCCACTTGCGCGAAATGCGCGCAGAGGTACGTTCGCCGATAACGACGTAACAAGAAGAAGTACTTATGGACTGTTTTGATAGTATAACAATTATGATACGAAAAGCCTGCTAGAAGCTTCACAAGCGACCTTGATATACGGCCTGTTATGCTCACAGTCCACAGAGTCTGTACCAAAGGAGGATATCGACTGGTTAATTTCAACAACCGAGGTATGGGCTGTGCCATAACTAAACCTTGCATCACCTGGCCATCATACTTAAATCGCTATACTTGAACAGATTTTTGCTCGCCGACTATACAGCATCAGCTCATACGACCAGGGGTTAGACTACGCATCCTTGTCTCGAGGCAAATGGGTCTTTGTGGAGAGTCAAAGAAGGTATTGAGTCCAAACATGACAAACGCATCGCCTATAATACTGACAATTACTCAGAATGGCCTGTCTTATGTACCTAATGGACTTGTTACTTCATGTAAAAGGCGAAACTCCTTCGAAGGGGAGATGCCCGGAGTTTGTCGATCTACCTTTGCCCTGTACCCGAGAACTCTGGCAGCCAATATCCGACAGAGACTGGAGAAGAAGATATAACGAGGAGAACAACTCAAAGTTGATGAAGGGAAATCGGGGTCTGACAATGGGAAACTTATTTCTACTGAGACAGTCATTGTCTCGTGGCGAAAACTTTCTCAAGGCAGCCAAAGCAGACCTTGCGAGAGAACTGGCCGAGTGGGTTGAGAAGGTGGACGATTTGTCCATGCTTTTGTGGATGGCGGTTGCGCTGGAGGGGGATGGACAAGCCAAGATGATACAAGGAACGTTGACGATGGAATGAGAGCGAAAACATGCTGCTCTAGAAGCTGCTTTAGGAGTATGGTGTTTCATTATTTTTGTGTATGAACTTGATGTGCTATTGCTGCATTAAGTGCTCATGGCACAATCACAATCACCTGAGGTTTTATTATACATTATCAATTAGGCTATGACTGACAGATAATCTGGCTCAAGATATCATCCAGCTATATAGTGTAGATACTTTTCTGGTCTTTGTATAGGACATAAGTCTGATGACGCGACCACCACCATTCCAGTCTCCCATCACAAGAAAGCTCAAGAACTGTTTCAAGGTCTAATTCAGAGCTGCACGGAGTGGTAGTAATCGCAGCAACATAAGGATGCTTGTCGCTTCTTCTCTTAAAGCCTAGAAACCATGGCGTAGAACTTTCCAAGTGTATTGGAGAACACAAACAGTCCAATCGTACTTGACCAACGCTTTCTCGATGGCCATTCGAGAAAAGCAAGAGCATACCTGAGTAGCCTGGTTGGTCTGAAAACTTACAAGGAGTAACTGTCGATAGTCCAGTCAAGTCGTGGTCTGAGTAAAAATAATCTTCTATGACGGAAGGAGACGAGCCCCCTGACGGCTTGGGCATAGAGAGAGGAAATTCTGGGGGCGCAGGCTTGTCGCCCTCGAACGCTAACGACATAATTTCCATTCCTGAACAATCGAAGAGAATTTCTCCCATCTGGCTCGGTCTACTTACTAAAGACCAGCTTGTACACCGACTAGAGTATATGCCGGCAATGAAGACTCTTCCCGTGTTTGTTTTGATCTAGAAAATTATCTCAGCGGGATTTCTCTCGAATGCGATTCTTCAAATTACCCCTAGAGCTCTCTCGCGACGTCTTAAACTCTGGCGCAGCCAGACTTCAGTGATAACCTCGCCAGGATCGACTGGCATATGTAGCCAGGATTTATAGGCGCTGGACTGGTACTTGAATCCAGCTTCACCTCTCCGGTGAGCATGAAATTTGGTCAATCCTACATCCCAGAGAATAGTATAACCAACGATTGAAGGGCGGTTGCAAGCGAGCGATGCCATTCGATCTGGAAGCTTGATGAAATAACTGGGGGTAAGATGCTCGAATCGGACGCTATTGGATTTCGGGACGCTCCATGCAGTAACATCGTTCTCTACATCCAACAGACGACGAAGTTTAATGCCCTAATAAGATAGTTAGACCAGTATTAACTGTAAACAAAAGGTAAGAGATGGCACACATCTGAGGATCCGCGAATACTCAATCTTTCTTCATTGACACGACTTTTGCGCCACCAGATTCCTTCAGCCTCATCGACATTTGGCGAGTTATCGGGGGTAGAGAAGAGTAATTTTGTGATGCCGAAGTGGTTCTCCGCCGCATATACGTCGACAACTCGTTCACGAGAAGGTTGGAATATCAGCTCCCAATCATCACTGCCGGGTCTATTGGAGAATGCTGATATATATCGAGTACCCTCAAAATCAACGTACTTGCACCATATGCCCCTTGATAGGCTGGCATAGCTGGGCTCCGGTCTAGGTTCCCACTGACTTTGTAGGTTCGCCGACGTAAAGTGCGGTATTAGATAATGTGCAACAATGTCCCAGAGCTCTAATGGCAAATTCCGTTCTAAATGCGCATAATGTTTCAATAGCTCTGTACTCATAAGGGACCTAAGTTTGCGTTGGCGAATTTCCAGCTGCCGAGGACTAGGCATGTACTCATATTTCGTCGCTTCTGCGATATCCCAGATACAGTACCGACCTGGCAGACTTATCATATTCAGGCACTGTCGATGACAGCGTTTTAAGCAATGGAGCTCCCAGATAGCTTGGAAATATGAATAGCTAGGGGAAGAGCATATCACTCCGCCGTATCTGGTTTCTTCGTGATCTGGTGGTCACAAGGTCAGCCTTTATGACTACCCAATACAAAATGGCGCAACAAACCTTCGATGATATCTTCTTCAGAGATTGCAAATTGGCAGATGGTGCATCGCTGTGCTCCCGCCATCATGAATTCTGTCCAAAGGAATGCGATAGTCGTGAAGCAGGATGACAGCCTTGGTGAGCATGTATCGTGGTGTTGTAAGAGATGAAAAGGCGCACGATTAAAGGGTAGAAAGGACACCGTTGCAAAAGGTGGCTGATGTGTGCCGAGAAGATTCTGCAGATTTGTAGATACCCTTATCGTTGATGCAAGTAGTTCATAGGTAGGTACGTCAGGTACGTGTAGGTGTATACATGTACAGATGAAGTCATTGGAAGAGGCGCCACGTGCCCCGCCTCTTCCTCCAACTGCGAGGTATGGATCTCCGAGGAGGGAAATCGGCGCTTCTGGAGCGTCTTTCGTGAGAATGATCAATTTATGAGAGAAGACTCATGGAATAGGATCAAAAATCTCTGCGTGCTGTTAATAGGCCAGTACCAGACAGTCTTTGATGCTCGTGCTGTAGATCTCCGAATATCCTCACCCAAGCATGACAATGAATTCCTTCAGCTTATGATGCAATGGACGAACAATTGGCAACTCTAGATTGTTAAAAAGCTCTCTAGCATGTATAATGACGCATTTTCATGACGAGAGAAAAGCGATTGTGTGAATTTAGGCCAAGTCAAGAACAGTTTGCTCATGTCCTGCAAACGTTCAGCAGGGCATTCTATCTTCTTTGGAAAACCCAGTATCGGTGCCTGAATATGGGGCCAGATAATATGAACCCACCAATCCAGATACCCATCGACCTGACCCAGGTATCTTGTGGTGAAGTGGTAGGTGTGGGGATTACAAGACTTCTAGAAGTAAGTCGGCGCGAATAAGCTACCTGAGCAAGACTGTAGTAAGGTATAAAACTAAATATAGGAGCAGAAAGCGCCATCAATATGAGCCACAAAGTGGAAAAAGCCTACGTATGCGAAAAGTCTATGAGACCGGGTGGTTTGAGTGGCGCTATACGAAAGTATTTATTGCTGTTCGCAGAAGGTACAGGCCATCGCTCACCACTTCTACATGCATAGCCTGAGCTGGCAAGAAATGATTAGAATCTTGGTTAGCTGCTTATCTGAATATGCAGCCAGAAACTTCATGTAAATATTGGTAATGCTCATGAGACCAATATATGAGCATGTGTGACATGCTAATGGCTTCATCTATACACCACTTCCATCCAGTGGTCAGGACGCGCCGCGATCCGCATTCCAATCTACCTGTAGTATCAAGATAGAAGTCAGCTGTAGCGAATGATAATTTAGCTACTTCAGTGTTCTACAGTGAGGCATAAGTAGGTACCTGAAGATGCCGGAAACAGAAGTCCTCAAACGCGGGGATACACGTAATACGGTACGTAAGTGTATCTTCAGCCCTGTTATTTACATGCTGCAGAGGTTTCCTTATACTTGCTGTTAATGCTGCGTAAATTTGGCCTGCTGTTTGCACTCGTATACGCATGGCCCACGTTAAGTCGCCGCCCAGTTTGACCATAAACGCACGCAGTGTCAAAAGAGAAAGCTGGTAAAACCACAACACAATGGGAGTCTTTGCCATTATATTCAATGCTGTCGATTCTTACATTTTGGGGCTCTCAGTTGTAAGTTCCGCAAAGAGTTCATTAATGTAGTGATGAATTAACATTCCGTGGCCTGCCTCATAATCGTTTTAATGAAGCCTACTGCAGTTTTAGCGCCCACGATTTCCTTCCCGAACTACGTGTATGCGGACTAAACAGCCTCCTATAGTAGTTATAGCGCTTCAATACTCCAGTCCATATTATGTTCCACCAAAAGCAAGAACGCAGAGTGTTTTTAATACCACACTTTCTACCATATAGTTGACTGGACCCAAATTTGAATGAATACTTGAGTTTTACTTAAATTGCGATTTTAGCTATGTGTTTTTAAGGCAATAGTACCCGCCGAGGAATGCCCTCCAAGATCGGATTTTGTATACTCTTTCGGGCAAGGCATTTTCTCCTAGCGACATGCAAGCGTGTTCATTTCATCGCCATTTCGAGTTCTACCGAGGCATTTCACACGGCTTAAATCTCATTAGTATGGCCAGACAGTTGCATTCGCCAACTATGGAATTTTTTAGCAGCAAATTCACCATGTAAATAGGGAAGAAACCCCGGCTGTTCACGGCATTGCGGCAGTGGGAGCAACGTCTTATGCTTAAGCGTCAGCAGCCTTTTCTCCACACGAACTCTCCTCAGAAATGATCTGTAGATTACGCCTTTGCCTCGGATGAGCGGAGTAAATAAAGGCTATTTATATAAGCTCATGGTAAACTGAACAGCAATTGCTCTCAATGCGGATGTGGATGTTTTTGCATACCTGTGCGAATTAATCACAGATAATCTTCAGTATACACCAGACCCTTACAATGGCGCCACCAACCGGAGACGAGAACGCCTCTGTGCAAGTTACCAAGACTGCTGACGGCATCACTACAATCACCATTAACAGACATCACCGCAGAAATGCAGTTGACGGCCCTACCGCACGAAAGCTGACGGAAGCTTTTATTGCTTTCGAAGACGATCCCAGCCAAAAGGTATGCGTCTTTCATGGTGCGCATGGATCCTTTTGCGCTGGCTTCGATTTACACGAGGTGGCCAAATGGAACGGCCCCGGAGATATGGACTACATGGGCCCAATTGTTGACGGCGGACATGTCGTGACCGGTGGTCGCCAGATTGGGCCCATCGGTCCCTCTAGGCTTCAGATCAAAAAGCCTGTCATCTGTGCAGTAGCAGGATATGCTGTTGCAGGAGGCATGGAGCTGTCTCTCCTGGGCGATATTCGTGTCGTTGAAGAGGATGCTGTTTTCGGCATCTTTTGTCGACGCTTTGGCGTGCCCCTCATCGACGGCGGCACAGTTCGGCTCCAAGCAATTGTTGGTCTCGGCCGTGCCTTGGATCTGATCCTCACCGGCAGACCGGTTGGCGCTCAAGAGGCTCTTCAGATGGGTCTTGCAAACCGCGTTGTCCCCAAAGGACAGTCTTTGGAGGAGGCGACGAAGATTGCTAGACAGCTGCTTGGCTTCCCCCAGGAATGCATGAACGTGGACCGATCAAACTGCTACTACTCGGCTTACAACGCGACGTCGTTTGTGGATGCGCTGAGGAAAGAGTTTGCGAATGGATCACAGGTCATTACTACGGAGAGCGTCAAGGGCGCGGCTCAGTTTAGTGCCGGAGCTGGGCGACATGGTGTATTTAAAAGCGCAGATAATTCGAATCTTTAGAAGTCTATGCATTAGCATGTATGCATTGTCCAGTCATTACTAGATGAGTCGTTCGCAACCACTCATGTCTGTTCAGTATTTGTTACGAGTGATACTCTCTTCCACTCTACTCAAGTTGAACGTAGATTCGAATGAAAATGTCAACTTGGACCGACGTCTGAAGCAATCCAGTAGGCATTTCCTAACTGTATGCGGCTATAGTAAATTGCCATGTACGAATAGGCGCGCCTTACATTTTGCGGAGATGATAGCGCTTATGTAACTGGCCTGTATAAAAGAACATGAGAACTTTGCATTTCATGAGCTGCTTCATACACGCAAACATATGGCCTGGTGCTATTTGTATTCATAACTCAACCGAACATATTCGCAAGACTGGTTAATATAAAACACTAATCATGTCGAAGCTCACAAGCGACCCTGGCGAGAAATCGCTTACCAAGCTCTTGGCCACTCTCACAACCACCTTGCATGACACAACTTACGTCTTCGCAACTCTTAACGACCACTCGAATCTTCCACCATTGACGGAAACCCAGCTTTTCTTCAAAGAAACAGAAGGAATCACAGTCATCGTCAGCCAGGAATACGCGGAAGCACACAAGATTGATTTCTTCTTTCCTTGCAAAATGATTACGCTGAACGTGACGTCAAGCCTGGAGGCTGTCGGGTTCATGGCGGTAATAGCGACGAGATTGGCGGAGCACAAAATGGGCGTTAATCCGGTCAGCGGGTTTTATCATGATCATTGTTTTGTACCGCTGGGGAGAGAGCAGGAAGCAGTGGAAGTCTTACATCGATTGGCAGAAGAATATAAGCAAAAGGCGCTGGCAGACAGTTAGTTGCGGCCCATGAGTAGAGATATTTAGTACATATATATTTTCTCTCTTTTAAAAGAGGACTACAACCTGTTGATAAGATAAATGTGTGTATCTCACCATTCTAAGATGCTTAGCATATAGAGACACAACGCTTGAATGGACAAGGTAACAAGTGAAAGCAGTCTTTACAGGTATAATCAGCACTCTGGACCTGCGCTGTTTTTCTTTTTCTCTCCCTTGAGCTATAATAATGGATCAGTAGCATGGCATCTCCACAAATGATCATCTGGTTTCAGATTCATCACGGAAGGCACCCAGACGGTTTGCAAAACAACCGAGACTGCAAAATGAATCCACGTACAAAACATGATTAAGCACGCCATTAAATTAGGCTGATCTTATCCTTCGTCTGTGTATAGTTACTACTTTATGTGTCCAAATCTCTAGTTTCGCATTCTTGTAGACCGCTTGGCACATCAACGTCCATGACATCTCGAAGATAAATAAAGCTTATTGCGTGTATAACAAACTATCAAGCTATCAACCTATACAACAATAAGAACACTTCACTGTTGCGCCATTTGAATCCAAAAAAATGTCAGGAGTGCAATCATAATAATAACCGTCGAGGGGTATAAGGGTGCGGCCAGCCGCATCATGCCAATATGCTACCATGTATTTCGTACAGCCCTTTCTACCTTCTAGGCTCGTTTGCACATAAGAACTCATGCAGCAATTTCCAGGCGTTTTCGTAGACGGGAAGGTTGACAAAAGCGCGATTCTGCGAGACGCTATGGAAGAAACGCTTCAAAAATGCCTTGTCCGCATGAACGTTTCGCGTATTGGCCGCCTGGCCCAGAATCAGAGCGCAGCTGAAAGTAATGTGAACGAAGAACCAAAGCCTCTGGAAAGCCCCGTTCAAATCAAGCAGCTCCATGTATGTTTGTAAAGCAGATCGGCATCGGTTTAGGTAGTACTCTGTTATGTCGCTGTCTTGTGTTTCATCGCCCGTCATGGCGGGCCTGTAAAGGCAGACCATGACAGAGTCTGAGAAGAGTCGGAATATATAGTGTTGGATATAATCATTCTTCGACTGGCATTTGGATAAATCTTGTAGATGAGGAACCGATCGAGTCTCAATGACGTTGACAATCTTTCGGAAATCAAGAATCGCTTCGTTGGGTAGCCGCTCTCCTGAGAATTTCGCTTGGTTCTGAGAGTGGCCGATTTTGTTTGCCGTCACAAATAGATGGTGACAACTGTCGAAGAATGAATAGAATCGCGGAGAAGAGGTTGTCGATGGAATGGATTCAAGGACAGTAATTCCGGACGGTCGATCGTAGCAAAGGGAAGAAAGAGTGTCCTGCCAGACTAGAGATCGCCTGCAGATTGTGAATTGTATTAGTCATATATCCACAAACAAATCGATGACAAAGGCTCTTACCATATGGATGATTTGATAATGGCTTCTTCTCTTCTCTGAGTATTGCTGATGGTGTTGGGATCAGGCGTGCAGTGAATGCCCAAGGCTTGGGCAAGTCGTATTGCTAAGCCTATTATGGCACACCGTGTGTCAGAAAATGACTCTTGAAAGCTGTCATATATGCGGGATTACTCACCCAACATCGACCACGACGCCCCTGCGTCTCCCTGATTCCTCAGATAATTTACCAGCATTATCAAGGTCTGAACAACCTCCAGATTTGGGTACGAAGTGAAATTGCATGATCGTAAGCATTGAAAAGAACAGCATGCTGTATACCGGTATAAGAATCAAGATCCCAGAATTAGTAAAGGTTTTTACATCAGACACTTACCAAAAACCCATGCTTTCGTAATATCAAGCTCCCCTTCTATCGAAGCAAGTTGGGCACCGCATGCCAGCATTCCGAATAGCAATCCAAACCACGAGATCGGATATACAGAAAGGGGTTCTAGGAAAGCATCGGGGGCAGTATTTCTTCGCTTTTGAAGAAACTCCAAGAGTGAAGTTTCAAAGTTTCGTAGGTTTACAATCGAGGACTCGAGATGAAATAGAGATTCTTGGTATAATCGAAAGTGGCTTGAGATTGAAACAGTTAGCTTAAAGTCTATCATGTGAGGGCAAGAAACAAATCAGGGCTGTATATACCTCAAGATAACATTGTCTTCTGGCAAAGCACTGTAGACTTTTTCAATGCCATCGCCTGGCATCCACAAATTCGTAAAGGGAAACGTCGTGCTCGAGTCTTGAAGGCACAGCAATTCGAATATTACCTTTGGGTCCATCGACAGTTTCAACGAAGAGTCTTTTCCCTTTTGGCCTGCCATTGAGAAGACACTGGGTAGAGACTCTGAGCCCAGATGCACCTTTGTACCGTACGGCAACGTCTGGTCAACAAAGACCCCCTGAGCCATGGCAGAAGCCGTAAAGGTCACATTGGCAGCCCCTGATTGTTGCTGCTCCCTGATATTCGGGCTCTGCTCGGAGGTGGATGGATCCGCCCCAGCAAAAGTATTGGTTGTGTAGTCACACAAATCGGGATGCTCCCGACTGATGCAAGTCCCGCATGGCTGATTAAGGTCACATTTGACTTTTCGCCGTCGACACGGATAACAAGCCTTCGCGGTTCGGAATCGACGTCGTCTAAACAGCAGCAAGTCGAAGTCCCCCGCAGGTATGTTTTCGGTTGAGTCGCCTCCAGACATTTTGACTGGAAAGCAGCGTGCAAACGAGTTTCGCCTGTGAAGCATGAAGCTGAAGATATCGAGTCGTCTTGAAGATGTCGAGTTGAGTTGTTATTTGTTTTTGGTTTTCTCTCCCGAGTTACCTCGTTGCTGCAAGCAATTGGTCTTTATTTACCTCCCTTTGTATCTTCCCCTTTTGATCACATCTTTGGTGAGCACGTTCGACTAGTGCAGCCCTCTCGTGTTTCGTATCATGTCGAGCTGTTTATAAGTCCATGGTGCCTCGACTATATCCCAAGCGAAGGCATCACCACCAATAAGCTAGGCCCCCCCGAGCGGCTGACAAGGCACACGCCGAAGGGTGTCCTCGCTAGTCTCCACTGATTAACCGAATCAATGACAGCTAGCACAGACGCCGAAAGCCACATTTCCACTGGTGGGAAGTTAACAGGCTAGGCTTTCCGAGTTGGAGGCGTAATACCGAGCCTCAATCCTCCTCGTGTAGAGGAGAGCTTCTGGCATGGGTCACGTGAATATCCCGAGAATTGTCGCTTCAGCTGCAGGTGCACAATTGGCGGGGATCGCCGAAGAACCTCCTATGCTTGCCGAGTTCCTTGTTTTTGCTTGTTACTTCTATTTTTGAAGCTGAGAAATCGTCACGTTTATGTAGTTTCTTTTTTTGCCTCCAGTAAAACTTTTTCCGCTGGTACAGGGCAGCCAACGGGATCTTCCGGACTTTGCCGTCTTGAGTGCTCAACTAACTAGAGGTTACCGTGTCGATATCTGGAGTTTTGGTGTTGAGTCTTGGTTTCCTAGCCTTGCCGTGACTCGAGCTCCCGCAAGCTAGTCAACCAATTCTATTTCCATTCAATCCCCGTGAGTCCATGGGCGGTCAGAGTTGCATTTTTCCAGCCCTGTAGTGGGTCGGTATCTCTATAAACATCCTGTGGTTCACTAGCCATCATCTTATCGCCGCGCTTAAGCACTGGCCCAGTACGTGATCCCGGGGCTCTGGGTGCCACCAGGGGGTGGCAACGTGGCGATATAGGTTTGGAAATGGATAAAGGGACTACAGCACAATCTTGAAAGTGAAAGTCTATGTAGACATAAGCGGGAACCTGTACGCCTTGCGATCGAGCGACAAAGGAGCAGCTGATGGGAAACAATACGAGCATGTTTCATTGTGTATCTATTGCCTAGTCCTATATGGTATAGTTCCTTGCATCTATTTTTGATGGATAGATTATATAGATCTGACTATCTAGTATACAAAAAGGAATGCGTGCCAACTAACCGATTATATCTTCTCGTATATGATATTCTTTTCTAAATCAAACCACTGCTACAAAGTAGAAAGGGGCTAGCTTCGTAAGAGCGAGAGCCGTAAACTAAGACGAAAACTGATACTGACAAAATCCGGAATAGCTATCTCTTTTGGCTGAACGGATGTCTCTTGCCGGTCTGCACAAGGGGAAAAGATGCCTTGACCTATCTAGGGTGACGGTATTGTGTTGTGAGGGCAGAGGAGTGAGTAAAGCTGGCTAGTTTACCCGCAACGCCTCATCTCTTCATCTAACGATAAAACTTTTTGAATGCTTTCCCAAAGTAGCTGGCGGACAAGCTATGGCGCAATAAGAACATACATGGTATGGGTACACTGTAATCGCCGAGTGGCGGTAGTTCTGACGGCGATAGAAGGCGGGAGGATCTAGTTTGCCAGAAGCTCGCATCAACACCCTTGCACTCAAATTATAACGGCTATCGGATCTTTCGATATCGAGCTTGTACATAAGAGCCGGCTGTTTTTCCAAATTCGCTACTTTTATCATATTTTCTTGCATGAATGGTTTCGCTCGACCCTGCAGCTTGGACCTTTGGGCTGACTGTCCGGACGAGTCGGACGAGGTAAACTCTTTCCGTTCATACCCGCCACCAACTAGACATGGCATTGCTCTTGAACTATGACGATTGTTGTCCAGCCTCTGCCAAGAAAATACTGATGGCACGTTGTTGCCATTAGTTGTCCATGCCAAACAGGTTCTCCGCAGTTCCTCAAACAAGTTGTCTCTTGTCAACGACCCCAAAATGGTCCACTGATACCCTCTCCACGGCTAATGCCGAAGCGCAAGCGACAGGCGCGGTGATCAGAAGGCGACGGTGCCCGCGGCCCCACAAACACCCCCGAGTTGATGGCGAGACCGCCCCGATTAGTGGCACAACTAAGTTTTATATGAAGGAGCCTATCAGAGCGCCGGTGAGCTTCGGTGATCCACTTATAGCCCGCCGAGATTAGAGCTGAGTTCCACCAGTATTGCCGAATTGTCTGCGAGAGCTGATCATATTGCCTAGTTTGGAGGGCATAGTTATCGGGGATTAGCTGGGATTATGGAAGCAACCCAAAATCCCATGGCTGTGGGCTGTGGCGTGAACCCGATCTGCCTGATCTTGAACAGACAAAGATTTTGAGACAAAAGTAAAGGGTTCCACATTGAATTGAAGGATTCACTTGCCATCAAACCCGAGCGCAGAAAAGGAAAATTATGGAGATTTTACATTTTTACAATCTTACTCAGCCCTACAGACGCTTGAAGTCTTATCAAGACAATGCGAGTATATGCGTACAAATCTGTAAGATAGACATTTCCTGTACAGTTAAACGCTCGATGTTGTATGTGTACAATCTTGTCGTGTGTGATGAAAATTATTGGGTTCCCTGTTCTTCAGTCGCCTGCTTGATTGTACATGGATTTACTATGGGAGCAACTGTAGAGAATCTCGCCGTAAAGCCTTTCCCTGGACAACCCATCCGTGCGAATTTCCCCGAAGCAGAGCAAGGAGATATACACCGATCTTGGCTCTTCCACTAGAAGCTAGGGTTGTGCGCACTATTGTCTCACCTCCCGGAAGGGTAGCTTTAGGATCAATCGTGCATGAAGTTTGCCAGCCTTATGGCTCCAGCTCGGGTAGGGCTAAAAGATTCGTCCCAGTCGAGTCATTTCGCGCCGAGTCTTGATAGTGGTTGGCATGGTTTCCTGGCTGCAAATACAAGCCAGGGCGGGTAAGGTGTTTCTCTAGTAGTTCGGTGCAATTTCGATAGGCCCGTAGAGATTTGCTCGCTTCCATTAATAGATGCTTATTGAAGGCCGCTAGGACCTCACATTTCGCAAGGATCGTCCAGTTTAGGAGAAAGGATTGTTCAAACAGAAGTTACAGTACAATCCGATAGGCTAGAAAACGATAGACAACAATCTATTTTGATATACAACATCAAAAAGGAAATATTTCGAGACACGAGCTTGTGAGCTGACATACATCGAGTCCAATGACTGCAACCTCGTGCTAAACTACCCGGCGGGTATTCAACTCTGCCGTTTAGCTGGGATAGGAATGTGGTCCTTGACACCCTTGTTTAACAAAGATTCATGACAGGGGTGTCGGAACTTTTACCAGAAGCCTTGATGAGCAGCAGCAGAGGTGGATTAACCCACGATGGGAGAAATGATCCAGGGCTAAGGTGGAGGTGTGCGGCTGAGAACAAATGCACATTGAGATACGGCCGAGTGGTGATGGGGCCCGGGGGAACCTCTTCTTCATGGGGTACCGGCCGAGAAGAATGTCAGGGATCCCCAGAAGATATGGCATCCTTGTGTGTGTAAAGGTGCATCTCTGTCAGCCCTACCTGTTTCACAAGCGCATCAATGACAACCTCCCTGAATAGTCGATACGTGGATAGTCACTCCACGAAGATGTTCTAGACTGCGCCCCAACCAGCTATTTTCATGCGTCTCATAAATTAAAGCGTAATAAAACAGGCTAGTTCTATCTTGTTTCTCGGTAAATCTTGCGTATCCCATGCATCTGTTTCTACTAACAATCGCGTGATGTTCATTCTGCCTTGTTCACGATGGTAGGACACAGAATGCCTGTTGCCCCCAATCGGGCGATTAGAGCCTAAAGTGCTGCATTAGCTCTTATGACCACTAAGCTCATCGTGTTTCTGACAAAAATGATACCTGCTCAAAGTTCAGAAAGCGGCAGTAGTTAAACAAGAATATCAGCCCTAGTGGGCCGTTAGAAATCGTTATTGTAGAAATCCCGCGAGTAGGATAAAATTAGACTGCGCTTGGTTCAAGGAGGGAGTACGAATACGAAGAGTAATACCTACCCATACATCGTGGTATGCCATGCTTAGTACATGGAGTGATTGTGGATGATCAATGCCACAGAATTTCATAATGATTCATACCACTATACTCCTGTCGTTAATACCTACGTCATTCCTTATGAGACTGAGATTGCCCGACGTCTTTTGCTCATTATAATATTAACATCTATATCTACACACTTAGTAAGCGTTCAACTCTGCCTGATATCTATCATTTCCAAGCATTATCTCATTCCTCTCCATCATTGCGTATAGGGTATCAAGCTCATGCTTATCAAAGTCCACCTTGTCCTCACCCAAGCGCCCATCCGCGGTATTTCCCGTTAGGGTCACTTCTTTTAGAAAGGGAAAGTCAGCGATCGAGTCCATTAGGCGGATCATATTCGCAACAGACTCGTATTGCGCGTCTATGAGCTGAAAATGACGTATGGATCTGGGCAATAGATTAACGAGAATGTTTGTGTGGTAGTCCGGTTTTGTAATTTCCGGAAATAAGATTAGCGTTCCGTCAATTTTAAATGTTTCAAGTCGTGAAAATTCTCTGAGAGATAGAATCTGATCACCATCTTCACAAACGCCGGAGAAACAGAAACTGTCTGTCTTGTGCCTTTCTCGTTGACCAAGGTCAACTGAGATAGAGAGAAGAGAATGTCTGTGCCGCGCCAGGATCTCAATCAACTCTCTTGGCGTGACACTAATCTCCTCAAGGCCAGCGTATATAGTGTGGTGTTTGAACTCGAAACTTTCTAGCCGTCCACAAAGACTCACTATCGACTCCAACTGAGGCTTGGATATGTGACCGCCATCAATCGTTAGCTTTGTCACATTGCTGAGAGAGACTCGAGTATTTTTAGGCTCCTCGTCGCAATATAGGCCGTAGCATGGGCTTATAGTGAGTTCTCGTATGTGAGGCGCAAGCTCAATAATTCCGCCAAAGTATCCAACAGATATTCTCCTGATATCACTATGGCCTATTGCGAGCTGTTGTAGCTGGCTTAAAGACACCCTTTTTGGAACTTGAGCGGCCAATTGCTCTAGTAGTGTGAAGGCCCCGATACCCTCGTCGGCACAGACCTCATGCGTAGAAACATCCATGATCTTCACATTGGGTATCTGTGCGATGATGAGCTGCGTCATGGCCTCGTATGGGTATTCTTCCAGCCAACCCCCAAGGTCTATGCCCAGTCTAGTCGCCAAATCAGCAAAGATGCTGAGATGGTCTTCTGTAAGCTCAAACCAGTAGAATCGGTTGAATACGATTTCCTGCACATATCCACCAAGCTCAGGCCGCAGACTAATAGACCTCAGAAAGCTGGCCATCTTCTCCATCTTTTCTCGCGAATTAAAGTAGGAGTATAGAACAGGCGTCGCAATGCGATTCAGAGCTTTCGATGCTCGGCAGACAAAAGACAATGCTTGAGAGTCGAGATACCCGTACTTCATGAGCTGCCGACAGACGAGCTGGACAATCTCCTCAGGGAGGGACATTAGCGGGAATGGCTGCGCCATGGCGTGTAGAGCAGGGAGAGGCTGAATAAACGCTGAGAACTTGTTGTGCTGCCTCTATGCGTGATAGATAATATGGTCAAGGATACAGTCCTTCGATATGACAATACAAGAGGAAGACTTGATGCGTCATGCGGCGGCCAGATACGAAAGTCAGCCCTATAAGAACGCGGCAAAAGCGGCATGACTCGTACATAGGCCCTTGTACGAACAAGGCGCAGCATCAACAGAGCTGATTTGACTAACTAAGGCGAAGTAAGCAAGCGCTATGCCAAGTAACGCGCTTCGAATCACTTTGGAGAATGCCTAAGTGGTTTCGCGCTTGTTACACAGCTCATAGTCAATCTCTGTTATGGAGGCTTGACTTAAGCGAATGCGAACATTTGAAGAGAAAACAACATCTCAAGTCCATGCACAGTTGTCTTATTACTTAGCTCTGTTAAAAGCTGACAGCCTGGGGTTGTCGGTCCCACTTCTATGCTGAACTCCGTAAACTCCCCGGACTTGTCCATAGTTGTTTCAGACTGTTCGCGAGAGAGAGCCGCACAAAGAATCATCACATGTGTATTTTCTCACCGTTGAGCGTTGTGTGGAATATTCCGTCCATGTATAGTTGGATCCACGCCAATGAGCCTCTGCTGACGCCGTAATATTTACCTACATGTAGTGTAAACTGTAAGCTTTGCCAAGAACCGTCACAATGTCCACCTCCCGATAGTGCACTGCGCTGGATTCGGAAACAGCCAAGTCTAGTCAGCAACCCAGATGCCGTACGATCTCTGGAGTATGCTGCTAAGTACCCACCTCTTCGTCTCCAAGCTTCCCCCGGGCTCTTCCCCCGGGCTCGTATATCGACCAAAGAACTGCTTACAGTTGACAGGGATCTTTGCCGATGCGCCTGTTACTGGGGAATGTTCCATATGCAGTAGGCGACAGCCGAATTGAAGGATCAAGATGCAACACTCGACTTAAATCCCACGTCGGTAGAGCCGCGTCTTCCCAAATGGAGAGTGAATCTTCGAAAAAGGGATACTGTACATCTCAATAGGGGCTTCATTGGTTGTTAAGATTTCCTCAGCTGATGATCTGCATTTGTCACACGTTTAACTATCAACTTACTGTTTAGAGTTATTGGGTATAGATGATGCCTGTCAACTTCTGGCATTTTGGAGTTTACGTTTGTTTTATTGGAGCAAAATTTACGGAACCCTTGCTAAATAATACGCCATGAAATACAGAAAAGGCCCGGTTACAAGGCCCGGTTGTGACTGAGCTACAGAAGTTCATCAGGGTCATTTCTATTCCAATATGGCAAAAGCTTTGGCCGCTCAACCGCTAAATTTAAACACACCCTAGTAAATAGCCGAGCGGGTATGCATGGTCGGCTTTTCTCTCAGGGTCAAGCCGCTGCTACAGAACTTTTGCGCGGGGAATTGGAGAGTGAACTAAGCAACCGACGCACAACTAATACACAACTAACACACAACTAACACATGTAATTCTCTATACCAGGAGGCTCAGCAAAGCCAATAGACCGCTAACAGAACAACATACAGCACGTTTTTTTCTTCTTCTCGATTTTAGGTTCAATAGGCTCAAGATATTGTTTATTCGAGGGAGTGTATTGGTAGGAAGCTACCTAAGGCTAGACTTTGCATTTTCATCGTGATACCTAATATTACAATGACTGAATGATGGTGTTTTTTTCTCTTCTTTTTTGTGAATCTACGCAAAACACTCTCCAAATCTCCGTCCCCTCTACCAAATCGAATTAGTACATCCTTATGATCAGCCTTGATCATATCGGCGCCCTTTTCAGCCACTGCGTACACAGAGTGCTGGATACGGCAGTCAGGAATCAGTGGGATGGCAGAAGCATCGATAACGCGGAGATTATGAACTCCATGAACCTTGAGCGCGGGATCAACCACACCCTGCTCGATATTCTTGCTAAGTCGGGCAGTTCCAACGGGATGGAAGGCGGTCTGGCAGCGATCCAAGACCGCACGCTTCATCTCTGAGTTGGAATAAAGCGGCATCGGCCACGGCGACTCTGATATAACCTGGTCCTTGAAGCCGTCAACCTTGGTCAATACATCATAGGTGAAGCGGATACCCTCGCGCATGGCAATGATATCAAGTTCATCAGCGAAGAAATTCAGGTTGATGTAGGGTTGCTCGAGCGGATCGGCACTCTTCAAGGTAACCTCGCCGGGGCCTGAGATGGGACGGATAAGATCCACGACGGCAGTGGTGTGTTCGCCTTCCGGAGGAGGTGGGAAGTGCCACTGGAATGCGCTGCCCCAAAGGCACACAAAATCGAGCTCAACATGTGGCTGTCCCTCAGGAGAGAAAGGATCCCTTCCCCCGTTGGCCTTCTTGGCCTTCTGATAGTCAGGATCATTCTCCAGATATTCATCAATTCGCGGGAAGCCCACGACTTCCAAGAAGCCTGAATCGGCAAGACCGGAATGGTCTCTCTTATACTGGGCATGCATCTTCTCATTCTCAGGGCCCTTCCTGAGAACAGCAGTATCCATACCAAGCTCCAGTTTAACACGCAGGACAAAAGGTACAGCCGGATGATTCATAAGATTCTGACCAACATGACGCGAGTCAACAATTACATCAATGTCGAATTCTTTGAGCTCACGTGCAGGACCAACACCACTAAGCATCAAGAGCTTAGGGCTTTCAAACACGCCCTCTGAAAGAATAACTTCAAGTCTGAGTAAAGCTTGGCATCCTTGCCGTTTAGAAGAACGACGTGCACGTTGCGGCAAACTCGATCGGCGTAGCTGATGAGTAGCTTCTTAGCGTGAGCCTCAGCTGGAACCGTGATATTAGGCTTGTCCTTGAGGAAGAGGTAACTTCCGGAGCGCACTCCTTTGCAAATAGTATCACAACCATGATAGAGACCATTTATCTCGCCATCGTAGATGCTTTCCGTGACAGGCTTTCCAGTTGACTTCCAAGCCTTGAAGATGTTGTCACGGAAGGGCTTCATCTCGTCAATGAGCTCAGCGTGAGAGATATAAATGGGGCCTCCACCGCCAATCTTCTTAAGCTCTGGCAGATACAACTTTGCAAAAACAAGGCCGTGCTTTGAATCGGCATTCTTGATTATACCGACCGCTCGTCATAGACCCGGAATAAATCGTCGACAAGTTGTCTATCTTATTTAGTACGATGATCTTATAGATGGTGTTGCCAATTACGGCGATGCCGCAAACTATACCAACCCCTAGCTTCGCCAATCACTGAGAAACAACTGGGTAGTGGCAAGCAAGTCCACTAGCGTAACGGCTACTACTGTAGAGAGCGAAAAATGAGCGAACGGAGACCGAAAGTCTACGGGTAGCCTACATTAGTCTGGGAGCTATTCAAAGATCTGTTGATGATATGGCTGAACGGGCGTCTGGGCTGAGCTTTCTCCATCTCAGATGAAACATTGACGGTGAAACACACAAATCTTGCATACAGAGCGCTATAGCAAGATGAGTAGCGATTCTTGAGACATTGTTGGCTTCGTGTTTCTCCATTTTAGGAATCCGATTTTCAAGAACTGTGGTGGCGCTTTTCTAAAGCAAAAGAGAAACCACACTCAACAAAAGAGTAGCAACTTACATCTAAAAGATCTCTTTTACTGATTGAATTATATTGGGCTATCAACTTGATCCATTAGACTTGATATCTAAAATCTTCGTGTGGCTGGGAGCTGAGCTATAGCTTAGCCCAGCTTGGCCATCCTTGCCATCTTTTGCCGCTTTTTGGACTAAAATGCCAGGTCGACTCTCCCTCATAAGAAATAACCACTCAGCTAAAGCCAATGGCCTACCCCTCTTGTTGTTGATAGATCAGATGAGGCTCTCAAGAGGCGTCCCATTCATGTACCTGACTCGCAGAGCTGTGACTATTCGCTTTGCATTTCGAAGGATCTGGGGACAGTGCTCGTTTCCCCCCACCCCTTCAGGGCTGACAAGCCAACAAGGCCTCAAAGAGGCATTTGTGAGGTTGGCAGCCAAGAGACTCTCTATTGGCCCCGACAAATCCTACGGGGGATACCTAGCGGGTTTAGTGCTCGACCAAATCGTTGACTCGCTCGAGATGACCACATTAGAGGAGAAACTGGCGGCTATTCGAAACCTGGAGTTCCCCAAAACACTCACGAGACTTAAACAACTACTGGGAAGCACAGGATCGCTGCGACTCAACGTAAAGGAATTCGCCATGACTATAGAACCAAACCAACAACGAAAGACCGACCTATTGCGCGTGGCCAGAATAGACAGAAAGAAACCGTCTACTCAAGGGAAGAGAGAAAGAATGGGGACCGCAAACGGAAATACACACGCAAGTCAAAGACATAAAGACTTATCTACCAAGGGAGAAGTCATCTAGCACCCTAGTTCTACTATCTAATACTAGAGCTTGGTAAAGTATATATATGTAATCCATGTACGGAAAATTGAACTATTTCCATATAACCGCAAATATTTTCAACAAGAAGTAGCAGTAGTAATAGCAACAGCAGCCCATGCTATGACTGGTGTGCTGAAGAGGATACTAGAGTTCTTGTAGGTATCTTGGAGAGTATAAAGCTGGGAAGTGTGTACTGATTGTTTGAGAACCCCCCCTTTTTCTTCGAGGGCCTTGCTACTCAAATAACGCTCGACGCGCATACTCATGCACAAGCTGAGTAGCTATCTTCTTTGCCTTTCCGACGCTGCTATCTTTTGAAACCTCGTCGAAATTATGGAGCATGTCTACCACAGGTAGAACAAGCTGGATGTCTGCCATTGACTCATCTGCTAGAGGATTCTTTGCAGCATGAGCAACAAGAACTATTAGAGCCGTAACATGGTGATGCAATGCGGCCCTTTTGTTGTGAGAAGGGTTAGTAAACTGTATTTTTTTTTTTTTTTTTTTTTTTTTTTTTTTTTTTTTTTTTTTTTTTGCTTGCAGTATATCATTGGCGGATATCACTTACAATGAACAAGCTTGATCGAAATCAGCAACGCGGAATAGGTTCAACGAAGCTCTCGCCGATGAAACACAACAGCCTGGCGGTCCTACATCTCCACCTATGGCTTGAACCAAGGGCAACAGCTGGAGAGTGGGTGGTTCAGACGCTTGAATCTGGCAGCGAGGATGGTCCCAGGCTTGCACCCTCAAGGCTCGATAGGAAAACCCATGCAGATTAGTGTGGCAGTTGAGATAGGTGAGATACAAGACTCGTAGCAAATAGATGCCGGCGCCCCCAAAAGTCGTGCGAGGAATTCCATCTGTGTTAGCGCTGTCCAAATTGTCCAGCGTAAAACTCAGGTCAGCGGATGAGGCTTTCCAGCTGCTCAGCTCCAGCTCCAGCTCCTGGATCGCAATTTGGCGTTCTATGGCTGACTGGCGCCTTGCCTTTTCAGATATGAGTCGTCGATGGATATGGCCCTCTATGAGGGCAAGGTGAGCACGCACACGCATAAAATTGATATTGGTGGAGCCATTCTTGGAGGTTATGTAGCCTAGTCCATCGGTAGGGTATAACGGAGGCAGGTCGATACCAATGTCATCCTCGTGTATCAAAGGTGGTCGCTCGAGCCTGCTTGCAAGGTCATGGTCAAGGTAGTATGCTATCCAGAATACACGATTTCGCTGGATTGAGCGACGCGCAGCTTCAAAGTCAAGTTGATCCAGTGGTTGTTCGTCTTTCTGAATATGAAGTCCATGCTGAAGAACCAGCCTTATTGCAGCCGCAAGGATTGTCGATGCCGGATGTGCGTCTGGTGAAGCCTGGAGGAATATGGTCATTCCTAACAGCGCTTGAATAGCCAACAGATCTTCACTACCACGAATCGTGATTTCTACCGCCTTGTCTAGCGCAGCATGTAAGTACTGCCAAGCTTCTTGAGCCCGAGAACGAGGGCAGCCGTGAAGAGGTATCATCACCTCCTGACGTAGAGCAAGAGCACACATAACATTTGTGGCTGTCCAGAGTGCCGCATCTGCTCGAATTTGATCCATTTCGAGTTCAGAAAAGCGTGCAAAGAAGTCATCATGGTCGAATAACGTAACGGTTTGGTTAAAGGTACTGAAGTAGACTCGAATAAGGGTAACGTACTCTTGCCGTCCTTTTAAATTGTTATTGTTATCCTTTGCGTAGTTGATGCTGCAAGACTTTACGAAGGATCTGAATTGCTGCGGAACCCATTCCACAAGCTCTTGTAATAGCGAGGCCCTGACATATCCTGCACTGGCACCGTAGGCAAAATTGAACGGGGGGCTATGTAGAGTCGATGAACCGGCTACAAAACTATGCGCCTTGGGTTTTGTTGATAATACTCGGTTTTCGTTAGGTTGACTGATTGCTGCAGATTCGTGGCTTTTGAGCGCTTGATGTAGGATGCTTTCAAGTTGACTGACTTTCTTTTCTAGAGCTTCCTGTCGCTTGGGTCTATGGAAGATTAGCGAGATCAAAGCCAAACAGCTCGAAGTTTCCTTTCTTTTGATGAAAACCAATAATTTCAACAAAGGGAAACGACCAAGCTCACCTGTGGCGTGTAATCTTTTTCGGCGCTGCGGCCAGAATGTATGTACAATCAACGCCAAACTTGACACACTCAGAGCAGGATGGATTATTCCTGTCGCATTTGACCTTTCGTCTATGGCAAATATCGCAGGCCTAATAGCGTGTTGATCAATACCGCTTCATGCTTGAAGGAGGCAGAGGATGAAAACATTGTACATACTCTGCTCTTCGCCTTTGTAGCTGGAACAGAGTCTACCGTCGCAGTTACGGGGAGACTGTCTTGATTGCTACCAGATCCGCTCTCTTGTCGTTCCATCAAGCTATACCTCCTATTGATTATTCAACAATGATTCGCAACTGTTAATTCCTCTGCGTATCGGACTGACGGTCAGCGCGAGAGGGGCCGAAGGCAGCGAGAAAGCGAGTGTAAGAAAACGCGCGAGGGCTTGACCTATTGAGGAAACAATTGCCGAATTGAAGAATGGTAGCAGGTTTTACCAGCTAACACGAGAAACAATGAGTTGTTTTGTTGTAACTTTCGGTCTGGCTATCTGCCGTCGTAATGTACCCTGGCCGCTCGGCGCCTCTCGGCGCACTGCCGACGCCGAGCTGACAAATGTCCGATTATATGGAGAATTGGACTCCGTAGGCAGCCTGTCAAGCTCGAGACGCGGCGCCGGTCGCTCTCGGTGACAGGAGCTCCTTATCGGGCCTGGAGATATTTACATAATTGGTAATTTCTGTCTCCTGAAGCCTTTACTTTGTCAGAAATGCGACGGCCATGGGGGTTCAGCACAGTACCACTAGGAAAGAAGCAATAGAGATATGGGCTTGAGATGTAGATAAATAGTTGGAGCCCGCGCATGAAGATGGAGAGTGCCAGCAGAGACAATATTCTTCATTTGCAAACTCAAGCTTACTACTTTGAGACTTTTCACTTTAACACTACTTGAATTCACAAAGCGAAAAGGCAAAAAAATACATTTTTCAACATGACGGCCGCAAACAAGACAGTTGTTTTGATCACCGGCGCCAACAGAGGTACGCCTAGCAAGAGCTCTTTCAGCAGGTTACTGTAAAGACGACAGTGCTAATACATGGTAGGCATTGGACTGGAGCTTGTCAAGGCTTTTCTTGCAAGGGACAACACAGTAGTAGTTGCTGCTGTACGAAACCCCGACAACGCCTCGTCCACTCGCTCTTTGTCAGGGCTTTCTCAAGGCGCCGAGAGCTCGCTCCTCATCATCAAGATCGATAGTCTCGACAACTCCAGCGCCATCTCCGGCATCGCGAGTATCTCGGATCGCATCAGCCACCTCGATCTCGTTATTGCCAACGCTGGAGTTCTAACTCATCAAGGCCCCATTTCAGACATTCCTCTGGACCAGCTCACCTCTCATGTTGCCATTAATACCGTGGCCCCAATCGCGCTTTTGCAGGCCACCAAGCCTCTCTTACGAAATGCCGTCAATCCCAAATTTGTCGTGGTTTCATCCTCTATGGGAAGCATCACAGACATTGTGACCAAGTTCTTCGGCGCTTACGGAGCAAGTAAGGCTGCCGTCAATTATCTTATGCGCATGGTCCATCTGGAAGAAGAGTGGCTTACTTCCATGGTAATCTGCCCTGGGTGGACTCAAACTGACATGGGAGATAATGCGGCAAAGTCTCGAAATTTTGGCGAGCGAGCGCCAGTCCCGTTGGATGTCTCCATTAAGGGGGTTGTAGAAGAGGTAAGTTTATTATGAACAAAGGAAATTATACCTCTTCGCATGGTATACTAATCGATGATAGATTGATGGCCTCACAAGAACTGAAAAGTCAAGATTCGCTTCGTACGATCACATTGATCGTCCGTGGTAGAAACTTCAGTTCCAACGATGCGCTGCTTCAACGCTAGTAGCATGGATATCGCGAAGTGAAATTGGAAAGGTTATCATTCATAGAATTCTAGATTTATATGTTTTCCCACCAAAAAAACAGGTTTTGACAATTGCCATGAGCATTGTAATTCTCTTCCAGCACTCAGTTCCTTCCCGGCACAAACTCAATGACAACCTTGCCTTTCCTACCCCGGATCGAAGCACTCTTATGAGCTTGCTCTGCCTTGTCTGGAGAAAACAATTCCACATCGATAGGCTTGATTGTCCCATTATCTACTAACTGCGCAGTCTTTTCCAGCGTTTCTCTCTTTGGACTAACGATAAAGAAGAGCCACTTCACGTTGGGAAACTCGTCCACCTCGATTGGGCGGCCTTTTCCCCACTCCCAAGCAGCTGGCGCTGGCCCCACGGTAATGACATGGCCATGGCTCTTGACTGTCTTCCATGTCTTGGCCAAGATGGGATCGCCAACCGTGTCAATGACGACGTCAACGTCCTTGATCGAATCCTCCCAATTCGGCGTGTTGTAGTCAACGACCTGATTAACGCCAAGTTCCTTCAACGCCTTGTGATTCTGTAGACCGGCAACAGCAATGACCTCAGCACCAGCCAAGCGAGAAAGCATCTGCACAAGAATAACACCGACGGCTCCGTTAGCGCCAGTGACGAGCACCTTCCATCCCTTCTGCACCTTCGCGCGCTCGAAAATGGCCTCCCAAGCAGTCAGCAGAGGAATCGGCAGCGCAGAGGCTTGAGCATGGCTCAGCGTCTTTGGCTTCTTGGCCAGTTCTTCGCCCTCAACAATGACATACTCCGCCTGTCCAAGGCCCCTAAATGTGTGAATCATGGAGTAGACCTCGTCTCCGACCTTGAAATCTCCCATATAGTCCGGTCCCAACTCGGCGATTTCCCCAGAGACGTCGTGACCCGGAATGCGGAGCGGACGAAGCCATAGCTCCTCCCAGGTAAGTTCATCTCTCGTGACAGCCGCAGCGTGAACTTTGATGAGAATCTCAGCCTTTTTCGGAGAAGGTTTGGGAATGTCTGGATTGAGGATGACCTCTGGTTTGGTCTTGCTGCCTAGGACTTCAACGGCTTTCATGGTGGCGATTAGATGCTGTAGAGGCTGGATGTGACTGTGGTTTCACATGTTGAATACAGCTGGGATTCTCAGCTGTTTATATATTTTACTCGATGATATGTATAAAAAGCTTGTTCACCGGGCTGACGGCTGGTTTCGTCATTCGGGTGGTGGGTGGGTTCCCGGGTCGGCGCCCGATGGGGCAATTTTTCGGATCGGATAGCGCCTATTCGGGTCGTGGATATAGAGGCTATCGGGACTCTATCACTCTCTACAGGAAACCGGAGTCTTGAAATATCTTAGCGTTTCAAACATTTTGAGAGACATGGTGTATATGAGCTTTCTACTACATGTGATTTGATTCACACAGGCTCGTAATGGATCTAGGCAGCTACAAACAGGTAACACAGGTCTCATCCATACGACTAGCGAATCACGCAGCTTACATCTCACAACGGCCACTACAAACACCATTACCAGCACATCTGCTCGTATTCAGACAAGCACAGCGCATCATCTACCCAAAGCGCTCAGTTTGAGAGCTCCGAAGTTGTTTCGTTAGAAGTGGCAGGGCGGTGGCTCCGAGCAGACGCTGCACAGCCCTATAAGTTTGGATACAAGATGACTTGCACAGCTATCGCCCCCAACTCTCTATTTAGATCATCCCAAATAGTTCTAAACAACTAGACAGCAACTGCCGCAGTTTAAATCTGTGCGATTGGAAAGAGGGGGAGCTGCGCAATATATCTTCCCGCGGGATTCGTCACCACAGCCCAGCCTCCTCCAGCCGAGACAATCGCTCTCTCCGGCGCTGTGCCTGTATTAGTTCAACGGCCATCCATCCCTGTCAACAAGGAATCGATTCCTTTCGATACAACCCCATCGTATCAGTAGCACTCAGTGACTCCCTGCGCTATCACTCCACGTGTCTCGTGCCCAATGAGCTCGTCCACCAAAAGGCAAAGATCGCTGTCTTACTTGGAGGGAGTGGCTTTGCACAGTTCCCCCCAAATCGAGACGATCCTCCGGATGAATCACCCGCATTCCACTTGCAGCATCAATCTTCATGCACCGCCTAGCTTAATTGCTATCTTCTCTAAATTTCATTTTCCGTCGAAGCAACCCAACGTTGGCTCCCCAACTCCAAACCCATCCATCGTAAAAAAGTAAAGTCCCAAAAGCTGAGCAATGGCAGAGGCAGTAGGACTCGCCCTCAGCGTCCTACCAATCGTCATCTGGGCCCTGGAAAAGTACTCGGAGCCGTTCGAGGCCTACAGCGACTATCACAATGCGATTAGCACGCTACAGGCCAACCTGCAGATCCAGCGGATGCATCTCGAGGCCACTTTTCAGAGCATCGGCCTGCGGCACCCGACGCCTCGCGAGCTGCATGAGTGCCTGCAGCAAAAGTTTCCGCAGAACCACACGGAGCTGTTGTTTATTATTCGGCAGATGGATGCCTTGATGCTGGGGCTGATGGAGAACCTGCAAGTAGACATAAGCCGAAAAGTAAGCGTCTAATCTTGCAGCTATTATTACCCAATAGCGTCCTTTTCCATCCACCACCGTGACTTTGTCTCTTCTTCTCATCCAACCTCAGGCATATACATACATCTACTTACACAAACTCTACTCCCAGCCTCTCTGGACTCACGAGTCTCCCGAAAGAGCAGCATGGGAATGGCGTCGCGTCAAGCGCAGTTTCCGCGCAAAGAAATGCGACAGGATCATCCACGACCTGCGCAACTGGAACGACGACCTGCGGCACCTCATCAACAGCGCAGAAACCTTACCCAATGATGAGAGCCACGCCGTGAGGAGAGTAAGACGTCTATATAATCGAAGCAACTGCGAGTCAGTACGAAACACTCTCAGATCCCTCCACCGGGCTCTGCAGTACGGGCTGAGCGGCGATGGTGCCCAGTGCCATCAAGTCTGCATAGAGCTGAATAGTCTTCATGTAGGAGGCTTTCCGCTACTAACTTTCCGTATCGGGATTCAGCACGAGCCAAATGGACCTCAGGCTTCTTCTCCATGGAAACTCTTCTACGCCGCTGGCGAAGCAGTCAAGGAGACCTCGGGAGCGATATCGCCGCCGCTTACATTATCCAGGCCCTCGACTCTTCGATCACGGCGATCTTCTTATTTGCGGGATAGGGCTCATAGCATATGGAGCAAATCGCGAGATTCATTTGCGTTTGTTAAACAGCTTCCAACGCCCAGAGCAAGTGTGGAGGACGCTTCCATCACATCTGCTACGCCATTCCTACCGGACTGCATCACAACACGCTCTCGACCAATAACGAACCTCTGCGAGAAACTAGAAGCTGCTCCCACCGGAGAAGTATTCGGTTCTATCAAAGATCTCGACGATCCCTCATCGCCTCATGAGCGAACATTCTCATTAAACCACTTATCTCGAAATCATGACACGGTAATTCGAGACGTCTCACTCGAAAAGATTCTCGCTACAGAATCCCAACGAGTAGCTCCAGCCATCCAACCCCTCTCCGCAAAACGAAGATATGGCATCGCCGCATCTCTCGCCTGGGCAGTTTTATATCTCGCAGACAGCCCCTGGCTCACACAAGGGTTAGACAGACGAAGAATCAAGCTATTCCTTCAAAAAAAGCAATCCAGCGGCTACATAAGCCTCTCCGAAAAAGCATATCTCTCATGCCTCATCTCAAAACCAACATCCCTTCCCTCACCAGCATCATCCACCACCTCCTTACGAAAAGGCACCCCCAAAAATCTCATATTCGAACTGGGAATTCTCCTCATAGAGCTCGCCGTCAACCAGTCCTTCAGCGAAGAATCTCTTTCCGCAATCCTCAAAGACGATTTTCGCCCGCTAAAACTACATCTTAACCGCGTAGAGCAAGAGGCCGGGATATATTACTTCAACGCCGCACAACGATGCGTGTACGGCGTCTTTCTGGCGGATCAGGGCCAGATGGACTTTGACTTGGAAAAGTTTCAAAATGAGTTTTATAGTACTGTTGTGGCGCCCTTGCAAGCGACGTACGATTCACGATGATACACAAACAGAAAAGGCTTGAATGATGTCCCCAACTGCTTGCACGATCACGTTTGCTCACTCACTCCTTCATGCATTGACGAAGAGAGAGGTTGCAGCTGCATGGCTGGTTTACGATTGACCTGTATCCGTTTGTATATACTGTACCCTAATAAGTGACGGGAAGAGGCCAAACCATGAAGACTCATAACAGCATCAAATCCATTACTACTGAATATCAAGAGAGTCTATAGTCCAAACTTAATAGAACATATAGTGTCTCATAGCTCCTATAAGCCACAAAGAAAACAAAAAAGCCATCAACATCTCCCCTCTCATACCAAGTAATAAGAGCGATATATTTAACAATGCTTTCTTTTTCACTCATTACTTGCGCAAGCACATTTGACAGAGCCACATGTTGAATTGTCTTTTCGCATAATCATCGCTCTAGTGTATATGTTTTCTTGTTATAAGAATAATTAAGAGGACTTATAGTCGCCGCTTGTGCCTAGCCCGTCATGTATCCTAGATGCAGTAGCGTATAATGTCTGAAAGAAATATAGAGATCAGGAGCCAGCGGGATAGCCTCATGCTTGTACAGAATCGCATGAGAATAGAGAACCATTTTCCACCCTTCCAAAACCCTTCCAAAACCCTCCCAAAATTTGTTACCTCACAAAAGCCCCGTCACCACTGTCTTTCTCTCTCTCTCCTGTGTATAGATAAGGAGTCGTAGCTGTTTCTAACCTCCTTGTGCCTCTTGATGTGTATTATATTCGTGCACTTCATTAATGGCCAATCCCTATAGATGGACGAATCAGGCCGTTCTTTATTCAAATTTCCAAAAGAAGACGAAAAGGACCCAGGCTCCGTTGTCCGTTTATGGCGAGGCCCAGCCACCGGCAACGTCCACCCACTCCGCCAGGCAAGAGCCATCCTTGCCCTCAACGTCAACAATGTCAGTGTCGCATCGGCAACGGCATCCAACACCATTCTCCTTGGCCTCATCCCAGCTCTCCCAGTACTGGTCTTCTTCGACTCGTTTTCGCTCGTCCAAGGTGGTCATCTCAAGGAAAGGGGGTCGAGGAAGCTGTCGAGCGGGAGCATTCGCCGGGCAGTGCTGGATGGTCGTGTGTCGGTATCCAAAGTCTCTGAAGTAGTGAATATCTCGGGGTGCCAAAAGAGCACCGGCGGCCAAAGAGTGGATAGGAGCGTCTCCCCACTAGTAACCGTTAGTTAGCTACGACAAACTCTCCTCTTCACAAGTGAAGAAGATGTATATGAATGACTTACCCGTTCCATCCAGAAACCACCACTGCGATCCATCGTCTGGAAAAAGTCGTTGTACTCTTTGCTGCGGAACCAGCTGAGCTTTGCGATTTCAAAGTTGGACCAGAAATGGCACATGTTGTATTTTTCGCCCTCCATAGCCTCGGGATCGATTGGCTGTTGGCTGCTTGGCTTGGGTTCATCGGGCAGGGCATTGGGGTCGTCATGTTGTTCCTTTGGCTCCTGGGGTTCCACAAACATTTCCCACAGACCCTGTGACGTCAGGTTGTTGTTTCGCTTGTACGCCGAGGCATAACGGAAGATGTTGGGGACGGTCTCGCGAAGCTCCTTTACTGCAATGGTAAAGCCGTACGTCTTGTTGTTCTCAATCATCTTTAGGAATGGATCACTGGTGACCATGTCAGCAACAAAATCTTGACAACGACAAATTCATGAGCCCAATGGGTAACCTACTAGGTAATATCGCAGAAGTAAGTGATTTCGGGCTCCACACGCCAGTACCATTCGTACTTAAGCAGAAGAGGGTGATTGTAGAAGAAGCTAAATCGCAAAGGTCAGTTGAACCGCGTCTTGGCTTTGCACGTTGCCCGAGTTGCTCACCCAGAGTAGAAACGACACATGAAGTGGTAGCTCTCCATGCCACCATACATGACTGCAGCATCGCCCTGCTTGGCAATGCCCTCCTTGGCAACTTTCTCGTCAATCCAGTCCGGGAAGCCCCAGGTGCCTGGCTCGACCTTGCCAAACTCGACGGATCCCGACGTGTAGTTTCGCACAGTCTCCTTGAAATTATCGTCGAATTCGGCGTCGTTGAGGAAGACGTAAGGGTAGTGGTACCATCGGTTGAAATGTCGCTCCATAGACTTGATGGACTGGATCACGCCATCAATCTCCTTGTTCCTGGCCAACACAACAAAGGCAGCGTTGGCTCGCGGTTGTGAGGTATCGGGCTCGAGGCAGCCGGTGACGAAGACCTTGTCATGTTTTTCGCTGATTTTACTATACGCAGAAGATACCACAGTTAGCAGCCTGACGCAGGAAACCGATGCAACAGAGGCAATATTCTAGCATACCGAATAGCTGGCGGCGAACCAGCGGGCATCAATATCCTGCCTGGAGAGCTGGGATGCCTGACGAACAGCACCAGGATGAGCACAACCACCAGCACCGGGAATACGAGCACCACGCCCAACGGGATCGAAACCGCCGAGTTGCCGCGCAGCCGCAGCGGCCTCTGGAAAAACGCCAATCTTGATGCCAGGCCTTTGTTTTTCGGCCGTTTCTCGTCTGAAGTTGGAAGCCCATGAGAGGGTCCCGCAGACCCCTTTCGCCGGAAAATGTCCATGGCGACTAGCAAACAGCCCGCTTATGGCTGCAGACACAGCAACAGCAACAACCCAAAAAAAAAAAAGAGGAGGGGAAGAAGAAAAGGAAAAATTTCGTAGCAATCGGCTCGACAGAGGGGCTGAGTCGTGGCCTATGCTCGCGTCGAATGCGGTGTGGAGAGGCGGCAGTATAGAGAGGCCAGATTGATTAAGGCACGAAATAGTAGACCCTTGGTAATCAGGGGTGGTTTTGGCGTGAGTGTTAGATTAGATTGTCGATACGCCGTCAAGAAACACTCATGCCAATCGAGCAAGTAAAAGACCCGTCTCGTGTGTCTATCGGAGGGCCAAAAAGCAGACACGATCGTGGGTTTCGAAGCACAACGCCGTCTTGCACCCTTGTTTTTTGTCCTCTTTTTTTTTCTTCAGAAAATGAATGCGCCTCTCGCGGGGCAGCCGGCCGCAATCGCACAATCTCCAATCTCCAATCGCAGAGTCTCGCACCAAAAGATAAGGCCCCTCGCAGCGAGAAGCGTCGCGCTCGATCGTCGTCCGTCGGTTGAGGCCAGATCAGGAATGGAGGGAGGTTCCTGGAATTGCTGAATCTTTTTTCTCCTTCCTCGAAAAGGAGGGAGGCAGTTTTTGCTAATTGGAAGGCCTCGCCCTCTAAAGCAGCGCCCTCTAAAGCAGCGCCCAGACCGCTGTTGATTGGGGAATTTGCGTCTGATTTAGCGTGGTCCGGCTAATGAGTCTGGGGCGCGAGGCTTCGATTTTCGGGGACCAGAGGTCAATTGCTAGCACTGCCGTTGGAAGGGTACCTTCACTGCTACGGGGCATTGCACCACGCTGCATGTACAGCATATCAGCAACCCCCAAAGCAAGACTTGCAAGTCAACAACAGTAGCGCTATGGCCCCGTTGCGTCGCCACCACCTAAACAGGAATTTTCCGAGACAACGCCAAACAGACCGGCGGAACATCGATTTTCCCCCCTTTTTTCCACGCGGCACAACGCCCGAGTCTCCGCCGTCCAAAGGGACCAAGACCCGTTTATCCAACTACTGAATCCTCTCTCCACACCGAGATCTGAAGGCGCAAAAAGACAAAAAGTGGTGATCGCGCCCGGGCTCGAACCGGGGACCTTTTCGGTGGTGTCAACAGATGTTGTTAACGAAATGTCATGACCAACTAGACCACGCAACCATCCTATTATCTGATTGGATGATTTCTGGCCGCCGCAAAGAGCTGTATGAAGCAATCGACACAGCTCGACCCTCTGCTAGAGGTGGTTGACCTCAGAGCAGCGACTCACGATTTACTCTTCTGTTCTTACACGGAACGACTCGAATAGCGCGCGTACGCAACAAGCCAGGCCCAGCATGTCACAAAAAATCAACTCAAAGAATCTCTCGTACAACTCTTCCCTCCCGCCCTTTCTCGCTGCTCTCCGCGCCCAGGCATCCGGGGCTTCGGGTCCAGATCCCATCCTTTCAGCACAGCGTCGAGGAGGGAAGAAGAGATCAAGCAGCGAAGAAGCGGAAGATGCCCCACTGATTGTGGACGAAGAGGGCAACGCTGTTGATGACCTGAAAGTCAACAAAGACGGCACCGTCGAGGAATTACCGAATGGCAGCAGCAATGATGCGACAAAGGACGGCGATGCAGACACAGCGCAAAGCAAGACGAACCTGAGCGAGCCTGAAACGGCCAAAGCTTCAATAGGAGGGAGGAAACGCAAGGTTGGCAAGGTGATTGGAGAAAACGCTGAGAACAGTGAGCCCGAGACTTCTACTGCGGACAAGAGGAGTGAGCCAGTGAAGAAGGATCAGAAAGATGCTGAGCAACAGGCTACCAACCGGAAGCCTAAGAAGAAGGCAAAGAAGATCAAGCTGAGCTTTGACGAAGAAGAGGGCTAGCTGATGATTGGACAACAATACGAAAGAAGAAGCATCACGTTTTAGCAGGCGACAATGTCGAGTACCAACAAAGCTCTTCGTGCACTCTCCTAGAGACACTCTCGGAGCAAATAGCAGTCCTCAGATGTTGATACATGCCTATGAGTTACAATTCGTCGAATTGGGGTAAAGGAGCTCTACAAACTCGGCAATTCCGAAACTAGGAGCTCGGTGGAATAGCTTCTATCACTGCAAGAGCTGCATGATACGGCGCATTATTACTGATGATACAAGGCTCTACTGCGACGGCGCAAGAGTCATAACATCACTCTCTAGAACACCAACCAGGCAATGGACGCAACTTCCAGCGTCAGCACTAGATATATCAAAAAAGACAAACAGGCCTCCAGTCTTGTCAATGCTTGTGATACACATTGAAACGAAATCATCGGTATCTACAGAATACACAGCCGCTTCCCAACCTCTCGCGGGCACGGCACTTTCGCCCCTCTTGCCGTCTCTACGCCTTTGATAGTACATCTTTGAATCACCTTCCTCCTCCTGCCATCAGTTTTATATCTTCCCCTTTGTTTTATCGCCATCGTGTGCATTACATTTACTGGTAGCGGTACTCGGGCTTGACGAAGTCGGCGAAGGTCTTGGGCTCGGCAATCTCCTGGGCGTGGTGGCCGTGTCCGTGATCGTGGTGGTCCTCGGGTCCAATGTAGTCCATCTTGTAGACGCCGCCGCACTCGGGGCATCGCTCCAGAGGACGCTCCTTGGAAAGCTGCGCATTTCAGATATCCACCGTTAGCATGTTCCATTCCCACGTTTCACGGCGGCCATATATAAGGATCCAATGATTTCACTTACGCCGAGCCAGACAACGGTGTGGGAGTCGGCGGGGTAGCCGGTGCAGCCAGCAAGCTGCTCGTCGCCGGCGGAGCGCACCAGGATTGGGTTCTCCATGGTTCCCTTACGGCTGGCGTCGAGGGGTCGCATATCGAAAACGTCAACACCCTCCATCTTTCCGAGGATTTCCAGACGCTCAAGACCGGTGGCTTGCTCGAGATCGGTAGGGACGGCGCCGGGCTGGCCACCGGGTCCGATGAGATCTTCGTCGGTCTTGACCTCTGCAACGGCAATCAAGCTCCCGCGTCAGCGATTGTCATGCCACGATGACCAATGCATAGCCATATATATATATATATATATATATATGCATAGGAACAACATACCGGAGATGGTCTTGTAAGTTCCAATCTTCTTCTGGGCAGTGCCGGCAAGAGCAGCAGCCTGCTCACTGGGGGTTGTAGGACCAGCAGAACCTGTATAGAGCCCGACCTTTCACGTCAGCCGCTTATTCCATCGCATCCAAAGCCCAGATTTGCATCCTTCTTCTTCCTCTAACCCAAAACACAACATGTTGAGGAAAAAAAGTCACATACGGCGAGCAATAGAGGTGGTGAAGCCGCGAGCAATGGCCGGAGCGACGGCGGCGCGGCGAGCCGCAGCAATAGCAGTTCGTTGCAAGAACATCTTCGTTTCGAAATTCCCGAGAGGTATTGGTGATTCGGAGGGGGGGGGTTCGGATTCGAGGTTTGGAACGTGGGGGAAAAGAGGCTTCGTTTCGTTCGAGGGATTTGCCGGATGGTCTGATTTGGGAACCCATGATGGAGTAAGAAAGGCCCCAGTTTGGGGCAGGGAATTGGCCAATCAGGAGGAGTGGATTGAAAGCACGTGACTAAGCTGTTTGATTGAGCTGTGCTCTTTTGCTTCAGTAAAGGTGGGATTGCATCATTGTGCCTGCTACAGCTTGGAGAAGTGTTATAAAAGCTATTTTAATACATGATTATCCTCAGCCGCTTTGGTATAATGTATTTTAATCCCTTTATAGCAGCCTCATCAATTTGCATGTTGTAGGCCTATGCTGCCAACCTTCACTACTAGCTCAAGAAGCTATTCCCTTCCTTGTACAGAGCTTCCAAGTAGCTAACCAAGAAAGCACCACCTTGCAAATATAAAACTTTACAAAATTGAAATTGTTGTTAATGAATATTCGATATCTTTTAATCTGAGATAGGGTCCCTCCATAAGCACATCATCTGCATCTCCCAAGAACAGGAGGTGGAAGCGCGCATTCGAAGCCACTCGGAATTCTCACCACCACAGCTTAGCCATGAAGACCATTCTCAAAATCAAGAAAATAAAATTGTCTCACACAATTCCCAGCCCAATACTAACCAAAAGAGCATAGAAAATAAAATAAAACATCGCAGATTCTCCAGTAGTAAGTGCGCCTTACGTTCACCTTTTCCCCCAAAGCATACGTAGCCCTTGCACATTCAATCCTCTGCTGAGCTTCCTTGCCAGATTTCAGGTCCTCCAGGCTGCTAGATCTCATGTAAAGCAATTATTACTCGTTCTCGCGTTGCTGAGCTTGCTGTCTTTGTCGTTGTTGCTGCCTCGCTCGGTAGTCGTTGACGCCGTTATAAACGGAGGGCACTGCATTGCGCCGAGCTCGCTGTGCTCGCTGCGCTTCCTTCCGTCTAGCCTGCGCTGTCGACGCCTTAGGAGCGCTGTTACGCACATCTGCACTCGATAGTCTCGGCGTCTGTCTTTGGACGTTCCGGATGGCGGGCCTGAAGGGCAGATGCGTCTGCCGGCCAACGCTCCCGATAAACTTCTTCTTGGGACCATAGCTGTTGAGGAGGTGCCTTTCGCGAGCCGAAAGAAGAGCCGCCTGCCGCATGACGGTATCCTCGTATCCCTTTCCCTTGAGATCGTTGGTATCATCACCGAGCCTGTAGACGATTGACCGAAGAAAGCTCTTTGGTGTGTCGCCGGGCATGACGAGCATGCTCGCTGCCTTCTTGATCACTCGCCATCTGATAAAGTCAAATGGATCCATGCCAAGTTTGCCCTGATTTTGCAAGCATTGAAGGTCGGATATCTTGCAGGCAAGCTTGTACATGGGCTCCATTTGGCAAAGCCCTTGCGGAGGAAGACATCGCTTCCCGATAATCTGGTTGGGGTGGTATCTGCCACCCTCTCCAAAGATTTCTCGGATTTTCTTAAACTTGCTCGCGTTATCAGACAAGTGCTTCAATTTCTTCGCCAGCGCCTCATTGTTAGGGTCAAGCCGACAGAGAGCTTGTGCTTCTTGCTTCAGTACGGCTTCTGGACCTTCTCTCTCCAGGAAGGCGTTGAGCGAATCCCATGAGCTCTCCTAATACTCATGAGATTCGTTAACTCGCTGCACCGGAGTTCCCCGAAGCAGATGCGGCTCCAGGTAAGTCTTTCCGTCTGGTGAAAGCTTGTATATCTGTTCAAAGGGGGTCTGGAGTACTTTTAGGAGGGTGGCTTGATCCTCTTCATCGTCCAGGCAAAGATGAGTAATGCCCGTTTCTGGATAGAAAGCTGCCATGATGATAGCTGAAGAGGGCGATGATACGTTAAAGTTTTCGGCGGCCGATTGGCAGTGTGTTTTGATGCTGTGATCAAATGCATTAGCACGTGAATCACGTAGAGGCGCGCATAATTCACTCAACATACACTGCGATGAATTCGTCCGACAGTGAATCACAGGGCAACAAGGTATGCGCATAAAGCAGAAGAGCGCCAAAAAATTGCAATCGTCCCTTGAATACTGCCGGGATAGAGCTGCTATCACTGTGCTGTCGCCAGTTGGGGATTTTGAGTTGGGTTGGGCTGAGACAGAAGGCCGTTGCTGTAAAATGTAGTAACGAGGCAGGACGATGGATGGGTTGAATGAGGAAGATGAAAGGTTCAGAAAGAAGAATGGGAAGAAAGCAAGAAATATTTGTGCTTTTATGTTATGCGTGTCCTCACGTGCCTGGCGACTCTATTTGCAGCTGGCGTTTGCATCGACATCAAGTGGCAGGCAGGTGATGGCAGATGACGGTCGATATTCACTTGCATGGGATCAGGGAGCGTTTGGCTTAAGTAAAGTCGGCAGGATAAGACCGTAGATACCTAGCGGGAGAAGTTATTCAGCACCCCAATTCCAATATCCAACACCCCAGGTATAGTTCAACAAAGCAGCTAGACCATATATCACATTAAATTACTAGGTAATCTATACATATACACTCGAGAGTAGTAGATAGAATTGGGGTGCTGGATACTAGTAGGTACCTAGTAGTTTCTTCCAAAGTTTCACATCCCATCCATATCGTACCACCACAGGCCAGGACAATTCAAGAGGCGGCAAACCCGATATGGTGAACATGATTATATATTATATCTATTATTCGACTTGGAAGCCATTAAGCAAATCCATTTCGTTTCCATCCTTCAAGTGTAGCATCAGTTGTTATCAGATAGTACCTAGGTACATGTATTCTTGCATCGATACTCGTCCCCCAAATACAAAGCGCCATCCCCTCTTAGCCACCCAACTTAATCGCCTCTATAAATCAACCTCTCCAGCTAAATATACATTCACATCCTTAGGTCTCATCCCTCACAGCTTCGCCTCAGCCTTCTTCTTCCATTCAAGCCCCTTCTTCGACGGCAGCGCTATCCCGTCCTGGTAGCCGCTCGCCACATGCTTCCCCTCGGGACTCCAGATCCTGCTCTCCAGCAGTCCTCGGCCCGCAGAAGTCCTCGGCCAGCACACCTCCTGAATCCACCACCCATCGCCCTTCATCACGGCCTCTTCCGCGTTGACGTGCACATAAAACGCATACGACAGACTCGCCGCAGATCCGAGAGTGTAGCCCCAGCCAAGATGGTTGGTCAACATGATGAGTCCGTTGCGGTCCGCCTCAAACGCATGCGCCACGATGTGCGCATCGGGGTCGTCTTCGGCAATGGGCTTGTGAGGCCGATACAGGATGAGCTGCCGCCGCTCCGGGGTGTCCTTGTCGGCGTTGTAGGCCGTCATGTCGACTTTGTACATGTCCAGCATCGGAAAGCCCCCGTGGCCAGCGTTGGGAAACAGATCCGTGACGGCCTCGACGTCCAGCTGGGGACTGGCCTCCCATTCGTCTGGCGCTCGCTGCGAGAGGATATCGGCATATCGTTCCTGCGCAGACTTCATCTGCTTCTCTGCGGGAGACGCCATAGGACGCTTGAATGTTGTCAGGCAGGCAAATCGGACGTCTCCCAGTGGCCGATCAGCGTCAGACAGCGGGTAGGGGCCTGTAGGTTGGCTTGATGCCTCTAGAGGCTGCCGCGCCTGGACAAACTTGGTTGTAAATGTGCGACTTGAGTGGACGTCTGTCACGTCATACACAAACGGCCGATCCATGGCGCCGGGTTTTGTGAAGACACCTTGGATAGACTGCTCGGATGTGGGTTAATAATTGTGATATATTCCCGCCAAGAGATGTTGAATCAGAACTACTCAAAGGCTCGTAAACTCACATGGATGCCAAGTTTGCCTGCTCCGTGGCCAGTTTTATCCTCCTCCTGCACCGCCTTCGCCGCAACATAGGGTGCTTGGGCATAAACGTGGCCTCCATACGCCGCGGGCGGGAAATCCGTCATGTTGCCTTTCTTAAATCCCTTCGGATTGAGTTTCGACCAAGGCAGCTCTCCCGCAGGTCTCCAGGCCGGCGTATGGCTCATGAACCTCTTGACACCACTCCTAGAGCTGCTGTCGGGGACGCGCGAGAACTTCATCGTCTCGGAAAAGTCCCTGCGGACAATCGCATCCTCGGCGGCGGCCATTGTGAAATTTGGTTTCTCTGTACCTCTGTAGCGTGGTGTATGTTTGCTCTTGGCCTGCACGGGTATCCCTTTTTCCTATGTATACATTATCCCAGTGTCGTCCGTCCAATCGCGAATCCGCGCGAGTATATGTAAGGGCACAGCCATCGTTATAAGAAGCGCTTACACTGCGTGGGGAACCGAGAACCGGGGTCGATCTGGTCTCAGATGGAGAGTTGCACTGAGCCTCGGCTCACGTTCGTAACCGCTAGCTTGGGAAAACCCGCGAAAGCCCGCACCGCAGAGTTGCAACGGGCGCACCAGTTCAGTGAGCATGTGGATCTTTGCCAAGTGCCGCCAGACTTTGATGAGTTATAGGGGATTTTGCCTCTGATGTGCCTGGAGCGCAGCAGATGGTGCTGTGTTACGCTGCGTCTGGTGAATGCGACTGGCTGCAAGTATGGCAGCACACGACTTTAGTTGCCTAGGGAGTGAGCATCATCGCGATACTGGCTTCGTTGGTAGCACAGCTCAGCTGTTTATTCAAGGCTGGTAAAACGTCAATAAGAAGGCTGCGGTGATTATCTAAGGCTGCGGTGATTTTCTAAGGCTGCGTGTGCAGTGGAATCGACCGCTGTGCTAAAGAGCAAGCAGACGATTCCACTATCTAAAGTCTCACACGGAGCTCGTCAGTCCAGATATTGACCAACTAGGAAATACGTGGGCCAAGCATACAGGAGTCTAGTGTTAGATAACCCACAAACTCGGAGATCACTTTGACAGCAAGTTAAAGTGCACATTCACAAGACTAACTTGACTAGTGGTGAGTGGCCTATAAGGGGCAATATGATGACTTGGTGAGCTGACAACTTATTGCCAAATCGAGCGGCAAAGGCTAGATATGGTATGCGTGGTGATATTGAGCATAATTGTCGAAAGTGACAACTCAAACGCGAATGAATACACGAGTTGCGACCCAACGGATCGACCCAATCGCATCCAGAATTATCCCAATACGGCTAGCAGATAGATAAATGAGCATATCTTCCAATGAATATGCCAAAGATGGAGAATGATCTATGACTTCAATCACTATTTGGAGCACAACTTACCCTAGACCACCGCCTAAAAATGTCGTGCTTTTGTTTTGTTTATTTGCCATTTCCAGACAATGGGGGTCGCAATGACCATGCTATTCATCTATAATTCTAATTCAATGATATCATCCAGCTGAGCAACCTCGCGGTTACAATTGAACTTTATTCCTTGCCACCCCTCCCATGTCTCAATGCCAACGTCAAAGCGTCGTCATAGATTCTCGCGTGCAACCCTTGTTGATTATGAGATGCCTACAAACGCCCACTCCCTCTTGCTCACAACAAACTTTCATCTGAGAACTTCACTTTCACCGCAATTTCCAGGCACATAATCATTAATTTCTGCCTCACACACTGCTTCAGCACAAAATGTTTTCGTGGAAGGCCCTCAGCAGGCCGTCCCAACTCCGCCATGACGAGGAACATCAGCCCCTGCTCCCTCAATACAACGAGGCGACAGCGAGACAGACTCGCCTCCATGAGAAGCTTCACACATACCAGATGCTACGGGCCCTTTCAAATGGCTACATGCCCTCCACCGAACAAATCATCACGCACCTTCGCACCTTGCTGGCGGCCGACGTGCTCAATCCGCAGACGCCTGGCCTGAGTCCCTCGGGCAGGGCGCTGATTCGGACAACGCGCATATGGCTCAGCGAGCTGATTGACCTGATGAAGTCCAAAAATTCAAAGGACCAGATCCAGGATTTTCTCTGGTACTTGACCAAGGCGAGACTGGAAGTAGACGTAGACACGTCGGGAATACAGGCCAGGGCTACGATGGCGAAATGGAAGGCTGATGCGATGGCCGCTGTGGACAGCCTCAAGACTGTTGGATCGCTTTTACTGACTAATTCCGATTTCCGAATTCTCTTGACAGATCTATCTACGGTTTCACGGGAGGTTTTTCGGGATACTGCCTTTTCACTGAGTGACGTGGCCCACGATACAGGCAAAAGGCTCGAGCCAGCAGAGGAAGAACAGCAGGCCCTTAAAAAGCCCGGCGGAGATGAGCAGCCCGCGCCTTCAACGGAGGATCTGCAAGGAGAAGTCATGGAAGTAGCTCAAATCGTCACGAGTGGCGCTGGCGATGTGGTGGGCACCGCGGCCCGCAGTGCTCGGGATCACCTCCAGGGAGAAGAGCAACAGGCCCTGACATATCGCCTCAAGCAAGCCGTGCTGAAGCTTCGCAAAAGGCCAAACTACTCAGACTCCGTGTCTACGATATCGCTTCTCCTCAGGCACTATCTCAAGACTTACGCCCGTGCAGCCGCTACTGCGGCCGATGCCATTGACGCTGATATCAACATCAACCCAGAGGCCAATGAAGCTCTGCGTGATTTCTGGCAGTTGATTACATCATTCGGTAGCAAAGACGCTTGGGATCAAGTTGAAAAGTCGTTTCACGAAGTTGCGGAAATTGGCGAATCCGATCCCGCGTTTGAAGATCTTGTCGACCAGGTCTCTAAACTGGTGCAGGATATCATGATGGACCCAGACTTCTTCGGTAACGCGGAGAAGCGTTTCGAAGAGGTTCGCGATAAATCGAAAGAGCTCGCCACGGAAACTTCCATCAGAGACAAGCTTGACGACCTGCTCCGTAGCTTGAGCTGGGCCTTGCGCTCTGTGAGCGAGGATGCCGAAGTTACTCAGCTCTCGCGTAGTTCAGCTCGCATTGCGCGCCTCATCTCGCCACCGGATCAGTACATCAACAAGGAAATGACGTCTGATTTGATCAACGTGTTCGTCCCAGTGCTGTTACAGGCAATTCAGTACGTGCCAATTCCACGGCTCGAAGTTTCGACTCCGGATGTGGATTTGCTTGTCGAGAATCTAATCCTGGAGCCTGGTCGGACAGTCAACAATTCTTCGTTTTTGCCGTATAGGCTACAGGTTTCGACTCGGAATGACCTCGACATTCGCAAAGCTCGCTTCCAGATCCTGTCAACCGTCACGTCCGTGGCTACGATCAAAATCTCGGGACTGTCTATTGCGGCAGAGGATCTGGGATACTGGGTGCAGCTGCATTCTGGCATCCTAGGATTTTCGGACAAGGGCCTGGCGAGCATCGAATTGGACGAGCGTGGCATTGACCTCATTCTGGATATCGAAATCGGCCGAGACCGACTCGAGAATATAGTCTCGCTGCGCAGAGCCAGTGTTCGCATCCACCACCTCAACTACACCCTCCGCGGATCCAAGTTTTCATTCTTTGGCTGGCTTCTCAAGCCTTTTATCCGACCAATCGTCAAACGGGCCATGGAGAGGAGCATCGCCTCCGCAATCGAAGACGGATTGCACACTCTGAACCGAGAGCTCGTCTTTGCCCGAGAACGTCTGCGCGCAACCCGAATCGCCAGCCCCGAAGATTTATGGACGTTTATCAGAGCCGTGGCCGCTCGACTCGTTCCCAGGCCTCATCCAGATATCGAAGCTCGTATTGGCGTGCGTCCGGATATATTCCGCGGCAAATACGCCCCGGGAAGCCTGGTGGAGCTCTGGGAGCGTGAAGCCCAAGATGCCAGTCAGAAAATCTACGAGTATGAGAGAGGCGGATGGCGCAATGACATTTTCGGTGTGCGGACTCGTCCGGCGTAGCTGGCCTTTGGAAGAAGCAACGAGTAATCAAAGGGCGGGCCTGCGGCTTTGTGTGACTGACTCGTCATATCCGGTTGTGGGTGTACGGCATTGGGAAAAGAAAAACGACCTGCGGCGACGGCACAGCGAACTTTTTGCTTGTACAGAGTAGGTATCCCGAATGGTTACGTGCAGTGCCAGTATTGGCTGACACTGGATTGAAGCAGCGAATGGGAAAGGCTGGTCGTGCGAAATAGCCACCATCCATAATCGGATATAGCGGATTGCTTGAGATGTGGTTTGTTGCTGATCAATCGTCGCCTCATCGGCCCAGATCCCCCAGGAATCGCCGTCCTCGACTCGGGCAGCGAGCAACCCCGCGATTCCCCAAATGTTGGGCCGGAATATTCTTAGGCGGGCGGGCACATGGCCAGATCGGCTTCTCAATAGTCCTGAGCGGCTTCTTGGCCTTTTTCTTTGAATCTGGGGATTGGAGGTAGAGCATGAGGTTAATGCAGCGCTGAGTTGGCGGGAAGAGTTTCGGGTGACACAGCAGCCTTGTTGAGGGAGTGGCTGGATATACTATTGGATGGCGATGCTGGCAGATTCGGGTAACGGCTTGTTAGCTTTGGTCGAGGTCGAGGTCGAAAGAGGCTGCGGGTGCTACAGTAGTAGAAACTACCTACCTAGTAATACTGACTATACTTGTCATTCGGTGACACGATCAATAATATGACGGACGATTAGTCTTGTGAGCGCCATCTTCAGACTTGTGGGTTAAATTAGGGTGTAAAATAAGGTCATACAATGAGGAGAACTAAAACGGGGTAAGAATAAGACAAGAGCCAGAAGAGTGAGAATGTCTGTTGGGACTGGGTTGACAATGTCGACATCCAAGTAGCAAAAGGAAGGTCTAGAAGGATGGAGCCTCGCGGACAAGCAGACGAACCGCGATTCGACAATGGACCATCCACTGTTGAGGACAAGCCACTTCCTCCCCCAAAAAGTGATTTATCACCGAGCCGTCGTCTTTGAGTGGCCAGAAGGCAGTGGTGTGGCATTCACCACTAGCGACTAGCCAGGGTCGTTGTCGCTGGCCTTGTGATGAGCGTGACCACTTTCTCAGCTGCACCGTTGGTTGGATCTGGGGCTGGGCCTGGAAATTTGTCTGTTCTGATGCGAATGAATGAATCCCGTGCTTTTGACGACGAGGGCGATTAGTGGCGAACGGGTTTTGCTGCTGCTGCTGCTGCTGCTGCTGATGTTGGCATAGTAGGTACCTAGGCTGCTAGGCCTGGAACTGTCTCAGTCTGGATATTGCGAGCTTGCCCATGCAATGCAGCGTACGAGCGGCCTATCATGGGGGAGCAATATCCCAGGGCAACGATCCGATTCGACGGCAACGCCTCTGTTGGTGTGCACGATGCAGTAGGTTCAATGCTCGTTACACCCGGTTTCACAGAGGGAGAGGGAGTGAGTCCCTTAAGATCTGTATCAGTGAGCTGATGAGCGGTATACCTGTACCTGTGCTAGCCGATATCAGGGCAATAAATTGAGTTTTTCTTCTTTACAGGGAAGATGAGGTAGTATGGATGATGTCAAGATGCAAGAAGCATACTTTGTAACCTACCTCCTAGTGCCCGTGTAGCACAGGTGCTAATATCGACCTCTTTGGCGTGTCTCTCGTGATAATGATGCCTTTGTGGCCTCACTGGCAGTGCAAGTAGACACTCTACTACTACTATTAATAGTAAAAATAATCATGAGACACTATATGGAGAGACTCTTTTGTCTCGCGCGGATATGCACGCCGTGTCTCATCCCATCGTGTCCCGTCCAAGCCGCACTGCTCGGGTTTGTAAAAGCGATGCTGGCCGCCAAAAGGCGAATCCCGGTCGCAATAAAACCCCCTGTTCACTCCAGAAACCGCAGCTTATAAAACTGCCCGTTGACTGCAAGAAGACGGGACGATGATGTCGTCTTGCAGCAAGAATCCTGAAGCTGGGGGAATCTATTCCTCCTCTCCAGCAAAGGGCTAACATACACACATACACACACACACACACACACACACACATACATAATGCCTGCGGTGTTCGTACGATGGATGCATCGCCCAGCGTCCATCCAGCTCGCAGCCCGCACCTCCAACACGCAGATCGTGATCCCTGCGATTACTATAGCCAGCAAGGCTCTGCGCGCTTCTCTCTCGTACTTGGACTTCCCCGGACCATGGAATGGCCAGAAGTGGAAATCCGCTGCGTTGGCACACACCACCCTTCAATCCCTGTTAATGTGCGTTGGTCCCCTTTTATTACCAGTAGCTTTTTTTTTTTTCTATGTTCTTCTCTATATTGCGATGTAGCATCTTCTTTTGGGCAAATTAATTATTTCGAGGCGTAAATAATTTCCTGGGATTAGGTAGGTAGGTAGCCACACAGAGAGAGACGGAAAAAAGAAGAGGGGCGAACCCGTGGCTTCGGGACGGCTGGATTGGATTAAATTTGGACCTCTGCTTTGCATGAGTCTAGCTTTTCCCTTTCTGGGCGGCACGAACATGATCACGATGCAATTGGGGCATGGCTTAAGCCCGTCGTCGAGAAACGGACTTCGCTTTAGCTTTAGCTCGTTTCGAGGCTTCGGTCAACAGCCGCCCCATATTCAGTCAGTCCCCCAGCAAAACTCCCCGCTTTATGATGCGGCAGTCTCCCAGCATCTGGGACGCTTGGAAACACAGACCTCACTTTATGTGTGGGAGACACAGCTGGCCATCGACAGAAAGCGAATTCGTAAGAGGAATACCTGTTTGGCTTTTCTGCTTCCTGGAGCAGAGGATACGGAACGGGATCTTTGTACTCGTCTCATTATCATTGCTGCTATTTTCCTCGTCAAAGGTGGGCAGCAGACCTCGAGAGCCTGTCTTGTGCTGGTCTCATGCCGCTCGGGCCTCACATCAGACATTCTGCAGGAAACACTACTCAGCCTGCAGCAGATGAAACTGACTTGTCAAGTTGAACCACTAGATCATAAGAGCTGGAATTGCCTGGCCGCTGGCTGTTCCCACCGCTACTTGTTTGAACAGCTGGCAGTATGCAAAGCTCGCTCGAGCCGGTGCAAACGCTAAGATGTCATGACCCTCTTGAGGCCGGCCGCCGTGGGCGAGCGAGGCCAAGACAGATCAAGGCGCTGTCCAAGCGCAAGAGCTCCGACTTTCTGCTCGAGGCGGCGCCGCATCTCCAGCGCCTCAAGAGCAGGAACAGCAAGACTAAGAGCAAGGGCTGGATGAAGCTCGACCTTGCTCCTCTGCCGGAGAATGTTATGCAGTTTACGATATTGAGTCACAGCACGCAAAAGGCCTTTGAGTTCTCACTTGACACACAATGGGCGTACAGGGGGACAAAGCGCTGTCGTCTGGGTTCTGACGTCGAGGGCCCCAATACGGCCACCATCAGCCGCAAGAAGCGTCGTCTGAGAACGCAGCTCATCACCAGCCGGCTGTCTCAGCCCTTCTCTCAGCCCGCCACGCACATCTTGAACCGCAATGGCAGGCAAGTCGGTGATCGGCGGTTCGTGAAGATGGCCGTCACGCTGGACTCTAGCCGACGGGCGGCGCATTTGCAAGAGACGGCGTACCTGAGATATTCGATTATGAACTGCATGCGCAAGAGGATGGGAATTGCGAAATCTCATGACTCGGCCAAGACAGGCCACGGAGGGTCGTCGGTGCGGCAGAGCATGGACACGTACACCAAGGCGCCGTGGCAATCTCGAGACGTCACGGCGGTGCCCGAGGCAAAGGCAAACACTGTCGAGACCGGTCCAAAGGGGTATCAAAGCCCACAAGTGGCGCTGAAGGACGCCGCCGATGCCCAGTCTGCTGAGACACTTGTCAAGGTTCCGGCGTGTCGCCTGTCGAAACCCAGAGCTCTGCCGCTTCCTTCTGCTGATGCTGATGCCACGATTGAGCGTAGCTCGGCGCGCATCGACTCGACAAAGTCTCCAGAGCCGAGGCCGCCGTGGATTTATGACGATAGTGAGGAAGACAGCTTTGCCTTTCTTCACCTGGACGAGGAGCATCTGGACGACGATGCGGACATTTATTGCGACTTTGATGCCTTATTCGGGGCCAAGGCGACTTCGCCCGATCCGCAATCCGCTTCGGAAGAGCATACATATGAGGAGTACATGGATGAATTAGACGGCATATCTTGGAGGTTGGGCTGACATTTTTTTTTTTTTTCCTTTTGCATTTATCCCGTTTGCGGGTTTTCACTTTTCTAGAATGAGACGGCGGAAAGAAATCTCAAGAATTTGCATGCCCGGAAATCACTTTTGTAAGGGCAGGGGAGGGCTGGAAAATTACTGTATATTTATTTATTCGCATGGCTTGGCTGGTGCTAAGCCAAGGATGGGCTGTATGGCTTTTTTGGGGGGGGGGAGGCGTTCTTTTTTGATGGATGAATGTTAAGGCTATGGGCGTTGGCGGCAGGGACCCAGAAAGTATTATGTCCCCCGGAAATGTAATCTAGGAAGTTATGATATCGAATATCCCACCGATGCATATACTAGTGTATATAATTATCGTTCTTTTTTTTTCTTCTTCTTTTTCAGAATCAGTGGCCGTTGGATTGCTTGCGGTTAGTATCTTCGGGGAGCTTGGACGCCCTGGCTTTTGCAATGTCGCACATGGCCTTTTTGCGGGAAGAAAAAGAAAAGAGTTAGCTCCTCAAAACTACCATGTGAGATGATCCGCGCTTGGCTGTGCCTGGCCGTACCTGTAATGCAGCATCGACTTCCATGGAATAGTTGCTTCGTTCGATCCGCATCCTCATGTCCTCCATGATCTCGGGGCGCTCTCGGCCGTTGACGAAGACGACATATCTGAGTCCCGGGAACGCTTCTTCGTATTCCCTGTTGAGCGTGGCCAGCTCTTCTTCGGAGCCTCCCTGGATGTTTGCTTGTTCAGCGACGGATTGCGCCGACTCGATGTTCTTCTCTCCAAGACGCGGATGGGATCCCAGGACGGACAGCAGGACCGGATGCGGCTCTGTCTCGGCGGACTTGGCGGCGAGAGCAAGCAGCCGGATCTGGCATACGTCTATCAGGTCAGGATAGGAGGTGTAGATGGCGGTGCGGATGACGGGCAAAAGCGTGGCGTGGATGGCCGGACTGGGCTCAAAGAGCACGTCGAGCACCTCGGTCTGCGCCAAATCCGTGTACGAGTGGAGAGCCGCAATAGGGGGGAGACGCTCCAATGGCATGATGCAACACGTATGCTTTCCGTGAGAAGGAGAAAAGGCCAACCAGAAACGCTTATGATGAGTGGGTGCTGAGTTGAGGCTGAATCGCGTTGCAGTTTTGGCGGAAAAGCAGTTGAGCCGCTATAACAAACGATGCTGCGGAGGACGAGAGCCAGATATAAGAGCTTGGGCGGGGTCTGTGAAACGTGAAATCCAGCCGCAGAAACAAGCAACAAACTCGCAAGAGGGCCCTGGGACAAAAGTCACTGAACAAAGGTAACAGAAAAAAACAAGAAAAAAACAAACGAATGAATTTGCACAAAAGGCAAGAGTCAGACGACAGGCAAGCTCATCCCCTTAACCCCCCGCATTCCAGTGGAGCGACGAAAAGCAGCGATACCGAGTTGGTAGCTTGTTCTTGTTGAGCGGCGGGCTTATCACTATCAGCGCGTGACGTGCTTGGTCTGTGCGCCAGGGAGCGGAAAATCTCGATCGGGATGCAGGTCGCGCGCGAGGAGCCGCGGGCGTCGCTGAAGAAGCTGGCAGGCAGCCTTGTGAGATTTTATCTAGTATAGCATCAATTCACAGCCATTGGCAGCTCAGAGGCGATTCAGACCCAGTCGCCATGCTTTGCGGAAGTGAGTGATGCACTGCCGTCTTTCTAACAGATTCAACTTTCCGTTCATCACTCATTTGATTCTCTACCTGCTTGCAGCTTTGCTAACTGATGCACAGTCTCCGGAGAAGCTCCCCAAGAGCCTGTCGCGTCCAAGAAGTCGGGTAAGTCGAGGCGGAATTGCAATTCGCATCAGGGAGTGAGAAACGGCTAACCAACCCTTCAAAGGCGTCGTATACGAGAAGCGACTCATAGAACAATACATCAACGAACATGGCGCAGAACCTAACGGCGAAGTCATAACAGCCGACGACTTGCTGCCCATCAAGTCTTCTCGCATCCCCCGACCTCGACCCCCTACTCTGACATCGATTCCTGCACTCCTTGCCACATTTCAAAACGAATGGGACAACCTTGCCCTGGAGACGTACAACCTGAGAGAGCAGTTGGCACGGACGAGGGAGGAGCTTGCCACGGCGCTGTACCAGCATGATGCCGCCGTTCGCGTCATTGCGCGGCTGACAAAAGAGAGGGATGAGGCCAGAGACTCGCTGAGCAAAGTTACCGTAACAGACGGTGCTGCAGCCGGCGAGGACATGGTTGTGGATAGTGTTGAGCTGCTACCAGAAGAGCTAGCAGCACAGGTGGACCAAACACATCAGAGGTTAGTATTTTGTTGTCTTTTTAATCCTGACCCATTGCTAACCATGCAATCTTGTATAGCCTATCCAAGAGCCGCAAGAAGCGCCCTGTCCCAGAGGGCTGGGTTTCCGCCAACGAAGTGTCCGCGTTTGAGCCGACAACGATCAACTCTTTACCTGTCCCACAAGCCACATCACTGGATCTCGAGGGCAGCTATGCGGTGGCGGGTGGATTGAACGGCGAGGCGGCCATCTATTCTATCGACGCGGACAACGTGGAGAGAACCGTGCCTGTCAATGAGCCTGTAACAGATACTCTCTGGGCCGGGTCAAAGGTTTTCTTTGCCACTAGCCAAGGAAACATCAAAGTCTACGAGGCCGGCAACGAGATTGGCACTTTGTCTGAGCATGCTGGAGCCGCCAGTGGCCTGAGCTTACATCCTTCTGGAGAGTTGCTTGCGTCGGTGGGCACTGACAAGAGCATCGTGTTTTACCAGCTGGAGACAATGAAGCGAGTTAGTCGAGCATATGCCGATGCTTGTAAGTTGGACTTGTCCCCTTACTGTTTCTCCCCTTCCCTTTGATCTTTACAGGCTAATACGTTTGGCAGCTCTAACTACATGCGCGTTCCACCCTGACGGACATTTATTCGCCGCGGGCACTGTCAATGGTGACATCAAGCTGTACATGACCAAGACACTCGAGCAGGCCGTGGTATTCAAGCTCGGTGCCCCGGTCCAGGCCATCGTCTTTTCCGAAAATGGCTTCCTGCTGGCGGCCACAGCCAAGGGACAGACCAGCGTTACCATTTTCGACCTGCGCAAAGAGGGAGACGCGGCGGTTTCCAAGGTGCTTGAGACTGGAGGCTCAGTGCAGTCGCTGGCTTGGGACTATTCAGGCCAGTTCCTGGCGACGGGCGGAGCGACGGGCATTACCGTCCAGCAGTACACAAAGTCCAGCAAGAAGTGGAGCGAGCCGCTGCGCAACTCTGTGGCCGCCATTGCGGTTCGATGGGGCGAGTCGGGCAGGAAGCTGGTTTCTCTCAACGGAGAGGGTGTGGTGAGCGTGCTCGGCGTCAAGAACTAATAGGCAGGCTGCGTATCTATGCAAGCCACATTTTTCCGGATTTGCTTGCTCTTGGTTATTTTCATTTATTTACTTTGTCCTAATCTTAAATCTGCACGCCGGGACAAACTGGGAAATTGTTAAATGAGGGGTTTTAGATTGTGTTACACGAGCTGTACATTTGAGAAGAAGAGACGAAAAAAAGGGCATCTGCTTTATTACTGTCTAGGTAGCTCTAGCTATCAGAAAAGAGCAAACAATGATATCAAGCGAAAGACACATTACACGCATTGTCTTTACGGTTCTTTTGGGCAGAAGCTGATGAAATGTGAAGGGGCTTATTTCATTTTATTTTGCTCGCTTTCACACACTGGGTGCCAAATTCTATATCTGTACGTGGTCCCTCGTTGCCGCGCAGAAAGCAGGACTTTTGAGAGCTGAACCCCCGATTTATATGTATGCAAGGGAGGCGCAAAAGGGAGCAGAGACCGAGCACAGGCGGCTGACGCTGAGCGCAGCAGCGAAGCCTGGCCTGGGCTTTGGAGTATAGTCAATAATGAAATAGGGGGCGCAAAAAAACAAAGAAGAAAGAAAAAGCAAAAATACGCCGGAATGTCTTGGAATCATATTTCGCGCCTGGTGTTTATTGGCCGCTGACTTCCGGGTCGAGTCAGGTTGAGCTGATAGTAGCGTCACATCTGTGGCGTCGGCTCTCCCTGCTTTTTATATGCTGCTGCTGCTTGCTGCTCTGCTCTGCTCTGTTCTGCTCTGCTATACGAACATTTAATATCGCTGCATGTGCTCTATACTATAATACTTGCCAAGTGGTGATATCTGCCATCTCATCTCTTCCTTTCATCTCAGCTGCGTTTCCCCGTCATGTGCGCGGTGTAGCACCAAAGCTCCCACTGCTTATCAAAGCCGAGCGCACACCACGGCTCAGGTGCCTCACAAGGGGTACCTGCTACAATTACAGCACTAACAACTTTGCGTGCATGGTTTGACTGTCAACAAACAAAGCCACGGCTGGACTCGACTCGACGCCCTCGCCAGCTGCTGCAGCCGACAAATCCTTTGAAGGGGTCAAGGGGAAGAAAAACACTAAAGATATTAAAAAATATCCAAAAAAAAAAAAAGAAGATAACAACAAACAGTCCTTCGTTTATTTATGCTTCCTACAAGTCTATCGCTTCTTATCTTCTCGCTCATTTTTTTCCCAGCTGCCTGTTATTGCCACCAACTCCATCCCCACTGGCTAACGCAAAAGCCGGCTGCTGTTTGCGTTGAATCGCTCGCAAGTGCATCAATCTCACGGCCGATACTGTGCGGCGGGTTTTTCTTTCACTCCCTCCAGCGCCACCATTCTGGCGAATGCTCTACCCACCGACAACCAGGCTGTAGAGACGCCTCTGAGGCAACTTCGACGACGACGACGACGACGACGACGACGTTGATTTGCCGCTCCCCTCATCCTGATTCTCGCCCATTCTCTGCCGACGGCGCCGCCGACTTCACAATCTCGCTCCTCTTCTCGCCCATCTCGAACTCTCCACATCGCCCTCTTCACGCCGTCGATACCGGGATTCTTCACAGCCAGCCCACGCCCCGATTCACCAGCACAGCACAGAATGTCGCTTGCCGCGGACGACGGGCTGGTGTCGATTAGTGACGACGAGCTGATCGAAGTCCAAGTCACCCGAGCCTCCTCCACGACCAGCAACCGGCCCAACCCCACAAGCTCCATCTTCACCAATCTGCTCAACCCGCAGGGCGTCGCATCACGGGCGCGGGCAACGATGGAGAGCCTTGGCCTATCCATGCCTGGCAGCGGCCAGTCCAGAAGACCCTCGCAATCGCACGTCCGACTTCGACCGCCACACATGCACACACAGCCCACGCTTTCTCGCTCGTGGACGACGACTCCAGACTCGGCCGTGATAGACCTGACGGTAGAGCCAGACTCGCCGGTGGAACGGAGGAGACCGCAGCCCTCACAGCCCTCGCAGCCCTCGCAGAACACACAGCAGCAGCCGTACATGCCCTCCAGGAACCCGCGGAGGACAACTTCGCAGCGGATATCGCCGCCGCACTTGGCCAGGAGCGACAGTACCTTCGTGGGGCAGCAGGCGAGCTTCATAGATCTGACGGCAGACTCTCCCGACGATGACCAGCGACCGAATCGACACGCATGGCGACCACAGCCGCCGCAGCCGCAGCCGCAGCCGCAGCCGCAACGATATCACCGCCAGCGTCGCCACCACCACCGCCATGACCATACCACCGAAGAACATCTGTTGGCCCTGGGATACGCGCATCACGGCCAGGAATTTATTGGCATGGACTCTTTTAGGAGGTTAGCCGGCATCATCACCGGCGACATGCACATGCTTCCAAACTCCTTTACTGCGCATATTCCTTCGTCGGCGTCATCGCAGCACCAAGAGCCCCCGAAACCACCCTTGGAGCCTCTACCCCCAGCAAAGCCGGGCTTTACTCGAGATACATGCACCGAGGCCGATAACGAGCAGGTGGTCATATGTCCCGCGTGTAACGAGGAGCTCGCGTACGACCCTGCGGACGCACCGACCACGCCGTCCAAGAAGAGGAAACGGGTTGCTGGAGAGCATCATTTCTGGGCATTGAAGAAATGCGGCCACGTAGGTGGAATCTCAAGTCCATGTCCTTACTGGCCTATCGTGTCTATATAACATTGAAACTAATCGTATTCGACGATAGGTATATTGTGCCGATTGCTTCGAAAACAGAAAACCGACCAAATCTGCCCCCAACGGCGTTGGCTTTCCCCTCTTAAACAAAGATGCTACCTCCAACGACTTACGCTGCGCTGTGGAAGGGTGCGAGACAAAGGTGGCTTCAAAGATGGAATGGGTCGGCATATATCTCTAGGTGAAGAGAGATTTTCCAATGGAAAGAAAACAGCGAAAAAGAGAAAGAAAGAAGATGATTTCTCATTCTTGGTCTATGTGTGCATATGCATATTTTTTCTTCTTCGTTTTCACACACATATCTTGACGTTTGGTGGTTGCATGGATACAAATGGGACTGATTGGATGGATGGTATTTATATACATATGAGCCTGCATGAACGAGGAGCACAACCTTTTTTACCAAATCATTTGTGTTTTCAAGGGCATTTTACGGAATGGACAAAGACGGATTTGGAGTTTTAGGGCCAGGGAAGGGGGAAGGATTTATACATTTTCCCGTTCATGAGGTAGCTTTCTGTTCTTTCTTCTTTTTATTCTCCGTTTATAGGCGTTGGGAGGGACAATGACCAAGCACGAACAAAGGACGGACATATGGGGGATATTGAGGGTAGGTAGGGACGGTTTAGCAAGAACGCCCCTTTTACTTCACCCTTTTGCTTTTTTATCCTTTTTGCGTTTGTAACTAGACGGACTTTTTCTCCCTTTCTGCTTCGTGTTTAATATTTTGGTGTGTTGTTTTGTAGTTGTGAAAGCGATACCCCCAGGCCGTCTATAATAGGTACTCAAATCCACCGAACATTCTATAAGAGGGTTATTCTTATAATTTTTCTTCTTCTTTATAATACTTCACCACATGAACAAATAATTCTAAATCTTGAAAAATTGCTCCTCTTTCCCAATCAATTGTGAGATTCCGTTAATAGAAGGGGTATATAAATAGAAGTATTTTCCCTTTTGGCCTAGTAGTTGATCCCAAAGAGACGGAAATGGGATGATGCTGATCTTTCAGGCAGGCAGCTAAGCCAGATGAGGTGCTATTTTGCTGAGGGGGAAGAACTAGTAATGTAACTTTTTTTGTTTCTTTGGCATGTGATTGAGGTATGAAATGGAAGAAGGATGGGAACTATTTTATTAGATGATATTGGAAGGATTTTTGCTAGGCTTTTGATGTGTGGGTGTAGACGCTTGCTTATGCGAGTAGCTGTTGGATAATGAAATAATAATATGGCCAATGATAAGAATGCAGAGTAGGTACCTAGATAAACCTTCCAAGGCTGTGTTCACGACAAAACACTACTGCGGATATTGCGCGTCACACGTCAATGGCAAAGGGTGTCATTTAAAATCTTACATGTTACCAAAATGTATTTACAAAGCTCATCTCAATATCTACATACTAGTCGAAAAGAATAAAAAACTCAATCGTCGCTATGAAATGCAATGCAATGTCATCTACAGATTCGCCACTTTGCCCACTCAATCCATGTCGCCTGCAATATATGCCTTTCCCAGGTATGTGCCATAATAATCTGCTGCTCAATCTGGTCGCCAAAGCAAAGGGGTATATCATCTTCTCATCATCATAGGTAGGCACTTTCAATATTCGCTTTCTGTGCCCCCCAGTCCACGTTCATGTACATTATAAGGAAAGCTCCGTCGCCAGCTCGTCCATCCAGCTACCGCCGAATTCCGACTCCTGAGAAGCTGGCGGGCACTTAGACTCGTTAGACTCGAGAGAGGTATTGGCGTCTTTCGGTTTTGTAGCTGATATGATGGGTGTGTTTGCGTGCTTTGGAGATGAGTATTGATGCCTCGCCTCTTGGACCATCATCCTGTTGGCGTTGTGAGGTGTAAAAGAGGAGGGAGACGGTCGAATATTGCTGCCGAGAGAAGTAACCTTTCTGCTCATATTGGCTACAGTGGGTGATTTCGTATCCGGCCTAATAGTCTTTGGGTTTGTTTCGATAAGCGGTGTTCTCTGTGGCGTGGGCTTTATGGCGGTGCGGTTGTCGTTCATGATGAGTCTCTTCCTTGCCGAAAACTGCGATGTCCTTGCAAGGGCTGGGCTCGCTGGATTCGAAAGCTGCGCGTCGTCGCGTCCGGCTCTTGGAGCTGCATGATTTGCATGCTTGGGCTTCAATTTGCCAGCCGCTAGCATCTCTTCTCGAGCACGGCGCTCAGCCTCTTTCTTTCTAACCTTTTCAAACTCAGCAAGCTCCAACTGCGCTGTTTGCCGTCTCCGCTCCTCCTCTTGCTCGGCTGTTCGTCGACTTCGAAGCAAAGCCACAGCCATTCTCTCATTGGACCCAGAAGCAGTAAAGAATGGCTTGGGTGTTTCAGGCGACGACGAGGATAGAGATCCCATAGGTAACGAGCCTTTTTGGGATACCCGCGGTGAGTTCGGAGTCCGAGCTTCTGGCGGCGGTCTCGATTTGATTGGAGAGGTGAATGTAATTTCTTCGTCTTCCAGCTCAGCCGCCTGCTGCGAGGAAGACGGAAAGAAATCGTCCATGTTAAAGAGGATTTGTTGTGTGCTGAGAGGCGGTGCTTGCGATTCCGCAGCTACTGGCGAAATGGAAGAGATTGAGGGCCGCGGAGCCGAAGGTATTGGTGGCGGTGGCATAAGAGACGTTTGGTCATGCTCCTTTTGGCTTTTTGCCCGATGAGTTTCTTTGTCAGGATCAGAGTCGGCGGCAAGCTCAAGATCCAACTCATGAGCGGTCGTCTTGCGTCTCGAATTCTGAGGGCTTCGTGGCAAAGGCGTCTCTATAGAATCCTTGGCAGGTGTTCGCTGAAAAGCCGAGATAACGTCAAAAGCCAGCATTTCCAATTCCTGCAAATCCTCTTCATTGCCGAAAATCGAATCAAATTCTTGGGAATCTCCTGTTTCAAGGTTCTTGGTTGACTTAATAGGACTAGATTGGTAATTTGTGCCCTTGTCGTGTAGATGGCTCTTCTGATTTTCAACTGGAACAATGTCGAGTTCCACAGGAGACTGTAGCACGCCGAAGATCAAATCAAATTCTTGGGAATCTCCTGGTCCAGGGTTCTTGGTTGGCTTGACTTGACCGGATTGGTGAGTTGTAGCCTTGTGGTGTAGATGGCTCTTCTGTGTTTCCAATTCCAAATCCTCATGATCGCCGAACATCAAATCAAATTCTTGGGAATCTCCGAGTTCAGGGTGCTTATTTGACTTGATAGGACTGGGTTGGTGACTTATAGTTATAGCCTTGTCGTGTAGATGGCTCTTCGAATTTCCAACTTGAATAGCGTCTAGTTTCAGGGGGGACTGTGGCGCTGCGTCTTCCTTTCTGTTGTCCACGCCAATATATGTGCCCGTTTCGTTAAAGGACAGCTTTGACATCTCCTCATCAGACAGTATTTCGAACCCATCGAAAAAGTCATCTTCTATGGTAAGCTCGTTTTGCTTTTCCTCAGCAATAACACGAGACTCAACACAGGTTTCTTCAGGCATTGGAGACGTATGTCCCCCATTTCGCTCTACTCCCTCGCCAACTTTTCCATCTTGCTCTTTTTCATTGCATAGGCGTTTGGGGCTTGGGAAATCATCTTCATCCTCATCGTCTTCTTCTGCCAGCTCTTCCACGGCAGGTAATTCCGGGGCTTTCATCGTATCCGTAGCCTCACCCACGTCCTCGCCCTCGCAGCTCCTCTTGTGACCCAATCCATTTCCTCGGAAGAATTTGGCAATGGTGTCTTGGCTTGGCCGGACCGTCACGAGCGGCAGGCCCTTCTTCTTCTTCTCCTGTTTCTCTGCCTCTTCCTTTGCCTTCTTTTTCTCTCTCAGGAACTTGGCCCTGGCAGCAGCCTTCTCCTTCTCAAACTCCTTTCGAATACGCTCCTGTTCGGCTCTCTCTTGCTTTATGCGCTCTGCTTTGGACAGACGTGGCACACGATTGGCAGCTTGGTAGGCCTTGCGTACTTGTTTGGATGTCATAGGGCGATTATCGACGGGGGTCCGCGTGGCCGGCCCGGCGGGCGGGACGATGGTGAATGTTTTTTGGACCCCCATTGCAGCGATTGCGTCAGAGTCAACGAGGGGGCAATTTTGGGCGTGGCATTCTTAAACATTGCACCATGTCCAGCGCGTGGTGATGATGGTGTTGTTGATGTCGCGGGGTAGGACCAAGTACGTGATGATGTTGACGCGAGGCCGATGCGCCATCACGTGATGGATTATAATGCCGGGCCTTGTCTGCTTGGCCTTTATACCGTTGTTGAGCAGTATAATGTTGTTTCATTGGATTTAGTAATTTTAATTTTTAGTTGTTTTTAATTGATGTTGTTTTGGTATTGTGTGCAGACATGTTTCGTTGTTTACCTGTGTCTCAGTGCCTGGTTGGGTATTCATTCTAGCGCATAGCGGACTGGAGCTTAGCAACTTCGAGTACGTAGCCAAATATTAATTATAAGGGACCTCGTCTGTACAACACGTTGCTTCGTTCCCCAGTATCGATCAAATAGGTGAATATCTCACGTACAGAATTGCTACTAGGGCATGCTAAGATATAATAAAGAGATGCTCTTCTATGATTTGGTTCATGTAGCCGCCGTTGTGTACATGAATTTACCTCTCCATACGAATGCAGCACTTTGTCCTCTTAGACAAGCCTTCGTATACACATCATACTAGTACAGTTCTGTATAAACCACTCCGTCTCCAGTCAATCTACCTGTCCAATGGCTCAACTGTAGGGTCCCAAGCTACCGGGGTATACTCCGTCGTCGTCAGATCCTTCACCTCCTCCTCCGTCAGCTCAAAGTCATACAAGCCCGCATTCTCCGCAATACGGCTCGGCGTAACGCTCTTGATCAAGGGAACAAGCCCCTTTTGCAGACTCCATCGCAGCAGCACCTGCGCCTCCGTCTTGCCGTACTTCTTCGCCACGGCCGCGACCTGCGGCTCGCCGAAGCGCTCTCCGCGGACAATGGGACAGTAGGCCTGGACAGCGATGTTTCTCGCGTGGCACCACTGCACAATGTCGTCCCGCGGGAGCCACGGGTGAATCTCCCACTGGCCGACGGAGATGACGCCGCCCTTGCCCGCGCCGCCGCGCTCCGACTCGAGCTCCTTGATGTAGGCCTCGAGCTCGTTGAGGTGGTGCACGCCGTAGTTGGAGATGCCGATGGAGCGCACCTTGCCGGCCTCGACGGACTCGACGAGGGCTTTCCAGGCGCCCTTGCGGTTCTCGACGCCGCCGTAGGGGGAGTGGATCAGTACGAGGTCCAGGTAGCCCAGCTTGGTCTCCTGGAGGGCGATGTCGACCAGATCGATTGTGTTTTTGTAGCCGAGGGGCTTTCCGCGCACGGGGACCTTTGTGGTGAAGAAGACTTCTTCGCGGGGAACTCCAGATGCGGCGATGCCTGCTGCAGAAGGGCCCTGGTTGTGGTAGGCAGAGGCAGAATCAATCTACGACCGTGTTAGAGACGCAAAGTTCTGAGAGAAAATGACATTTGAACGGTAAGAGTTCAGATGACTTGCTTACATGTCTGTATCCAATTCTCAGCGCCTCTTTGCATACTTCAGTTGCCACAGACGCCGACCTACGAAAAGTGTCAGTAAGAACAGCTTACTTTCAAGCTTATTCAAAGCTAGAAGACAAACGTTTGGTAGACCTAAAATAAGCACCACGCCCGTCAGCACCATGCCGGCAAGTTTTGAAGCTAGCAGAGACGAGAAGAGTCATCAGGTACTCACTCCATAGCCCAGGAGGGGCATGGTGTAGCCCGAGTTGAGCTTCACCACAGACTGGAGCGTGAGTTTCTGCGCCATGTTGCCGAGTTATTGTCTGGAAAGGGAGAATCGCTTGGGGAAAGGTAAAGGACAAAGATAGAACAAATTACAAAACCAGCAGTCTATTTATATAGCCATGATAAATGATGTCAGTTACGCCATTGAGGGGTTGGAGGGGCAATTCCCCGATTAGCTGATAAATCGCCAGGTCCTCGGTGTTTGGACGGAGAATAGAGCGATTCTGCCTACAAACCCCCAGGATCTGTGGCATCTTTTCTCCTGTTTGGGCCCGAAGAGCTGCTTAACGCCGAACTTCAACATCGGCTAATCAAATGATGGAACGCGGTTGATTGATACTTGGGCGAATACCCCTACAAGATGCATTCATGACCTCCAATACAGTATCTAGCTAGAACGTAGGTAGGCAACAGGTAGTGCGCGGCATTACAAACAGTGCATCGTGAACGTTTTGATTCATCATTCGCTGTTGGTTTTAAACATCTTTGTATGTATCCAATTTTACTCTCTAAATAACGCTATCCAACATGTCTATTTCGTCCTCCTCGTTCCGTCTATTGGGTGTCGGCTCCGTCTCTGCTTCCTCCTCTTCCTCCTCGTCCAGGTCATGCATAGGGTAATTCAAAATAGCTGCAATGTCTCCCATCATCTTGAGCCGCTGCCCGCTCTCGTGGTCGCTGCTTAGTATTCGCGCATCACCGCCGTCGAGCTTGACCTTGTCTACCAGCGCAACGTACTTTTTCCGTACTGCGAGATCCTGACTCCTAAAGAGGGAGTTGTTGATTAATAGGACTCCTCCGCCGGGCCCAACTGCGCCGTCGGCGATGGCCTTTTCCACGGCCCTGCTGCCGTACCACGCTCGCCCATCGTCGAGCTTGAGCAGATCAAAGAAGTTGTCCATGTACTGCGCCTCCTTTGCGTAATTCATATCCTTCATCTTCGCTAGGACTTCGGGGCTCTTGAGCACCTCGTTTAAGCTGTGGATGTGCCCTGAGTTGGCGTGTATTACCGTTGCCTGCCTTGCGATAGCTGTGAGGACCTTGTCTGACTTATCCCGACCCTGCTTTGCAATGTATTCTTTAAAGTCCCCCGCAACGAAGCCTGGGCTCGCTAGTAGTAGAGGTCTTGACTCGGAAAAGTCAACGGCTCTAAGTAGTGATGATAGTGTCTTGTCGTAGAATCTCTTCATTCCTGCATCTTGGTCGGAGGCAGTATCGCGCTTTTTGGGAACCACGCTCTCTACGCGAGTCTTGAGGACCGTTCGGAACTGTGTGATCAGGCAGATGTTGGCGAGGCCTTCTTGCATGACTACAGCGGCCATGGCGCCGTTCTTGTCGTCTGATAGAGCCTGCGCCAGAGTGGCCTTGGCCACGCTGTCCCAGCCATCGGGCTTGACAACGGTAAATGATCTGTTAATCTCGATGTCCAGGGTATGATGGGCGCCCATGGACACATGGTCGTTCTCGGCGGCAACGACGCCAGACACTCGGAGCGACGAGACGGCGGGATCGAAAAAGGTTGACTTGACGCGGATGGCTAGATTTGTGTGGACTCGTTCGGCGGCCGGGACACCCGTGCCCGGGTTGATGTTGACGACTTTTCGGACGGCATGCGCATGAACGAGATCGCCGGGAACTATCAGGTTATATGCATGCCACTGCGATGAGAACGATGCTGTTAGTAGCCGTGGTGGAAGCAAATGTCACGATGCCCTCATGTCACACTGCGGTATGCGGCGGGGCGAGTGCTGCGGCTCACCATGTCCTCTGGGTCCTCGGGTAGGAGCGAGACCTGCTCGTCCTCAAACTCTTTGGGTATGTGTCGCGATACGAGCTTCATGGTGATTTTGTGATGAGATCGTGGTTACAGCTCTGGTATCCTGATCTGCAAGCAGATTTGATGCGATGGTTTGTTTCGAACTGAATGCCATCGTTGGGGCGAGAGTCTTATCGGGCCAGGCCTTGCCGATAAGCTTCGGTGGCGCTGCGATCGCTGCCTGCAATGGTTTGCGCTATGCGTCATCGCTAAAGGATGCAGTCCACTCAGAATGCATGCATTCATCAGCCTTGAGCCTCACTACCGATCCAGTGCCCTGGTGCTTGGATAGGGCTAGGGTGGTGATGCCCGTGATATCTTTGTATCCGCATCTGATGGTATTTTCTTTTTTTCTTTTTGATTTCTCCATTGTATTTTTCTTTTCATAATATGTATTACTGTTATATATTTTATCCGGTTTTATCCCTTGGACTATGAGCGTTGCTGGATGGTGATGCCTGCTTGGCACTTACACTCTACATGTATCTACACTGCCGTAGTCGAAACACTTAATTTTAACAAGCACAAGACAAGAGAGAGCCAATAACCACTTGGTGTTTTATTTAGTAACTAATAGAGAAGTAAACTCGTCTCTTTCACATGTACTGGTTCGTTGATGTTTTTTGAACCCACAACGGTCTAGTTTAAAATCATTTGATCTTTGGCTGCTGTGCATTTGTTTCAACAATCCTGCACGTCAAGCAACTTATGATCCTACTCCAAGCTTCTCCGCCAGCCGCTTAGAAGCGACCGTCGGCCGGTATCGAAATATCTTTGAGTCTTTTTCCTTCGCTCTTCTGAAACATGGTGGTGGATATACCAAGATAGGCAGCTGCGGGACATCAAGACAAAGCGTCAACCACCTTGTATCCTCGCATTCAGCTGCTGTTAATTGGTGCCTCGCTGTGATGTCCCTTTCCGGCGATGAGACTGACTGCTCAGCCGTTCAGCACACCTTGCCCGAAGAAGCCTCTCCATTCGAGGACCCTCATGACTTGCGCAAGCAATGGGGCAGCCGCGTCATTAGATGCAGATGAGAATGCCATGTTGGTTGCTGTTTACTGCATGCAAAGTAAACAGCATGCAAAGCAAACAGAGGCTTGGCCCCATATGGCAGCTGTGGACATGCTTTTCCCGGTTAATTCGATCTGGTGTAAGTTCTAATTCTAGACTGAGGAAACGCAACTGTGACAGGTTTGGTGGGAGCTCTTGGGGACGGAGACGGGGCTGGAATGGGCGCTGCAAGGATCTGGAGTTGGGGGTTCAAGAGTGGATGAGATGAAGTCATTGGCAGTCATTGATGCGCGTGGCGGGCTGCAGAAGATTTGCGCCGCACAGCAGGGCCCTGAGATTGACAGCAGGCTGTGCTTGGTATGACATGAGATGCCTGTAGATACAAGAATAGAATCATCCACTGAGTGATATCTGCTTCTCTGGATGCACGTTCTGCGCGTATCATCACGGCGAGACTCATTTCGCTTTTTGCGCTCACGGGCCCCAGCAATTCTTGGCGGGGGGGACTGGAAGCTGGTCGGACCGAGGCAGCTTTGGGCGGAAGTGATGAGACAATTGATGGAAGAGAGGCGGCTTTACGCGTATTTGGATGCACGAGAGCAGCTCCGGAGCAACAGTCCGGCACTCGCCCGCGTAAATCGCCCCGGTCCTGCAGTAGAGAGAAAATAATTACGGAGCATCTGCACACGGTCTGGCGGCCAGCTTGGCTTGGAGCTTGGCTGATGCTTTGGGCTTTGGTACTGTACAGTAGTTGATACTCCAGCTTCTCCAGGCTCACAGACTCCATGTCTTCTAATCGCTCACTAATCCACCAACTGCAGCCCCTAAAATAAAAACGCTCACTGGCAATAGCAGTGCATGGATCATGGGACGGCACGTTCCAAGGGGCGCCGATGGAATAATAACTGACAGAGTAAAATAGACTCTCTCCACAGCGACGCATCGGCAAGGCAGCCTTGGATCCTCCTGCAAGGCGCACAGTACTTGTCAAAACACGGACAATGAATGCCCTGCGTCATCATGCCACGGGGCATCGGGCTCTCTTGGCAGCGGGTCGTACACGGCCATCGCCTTAGTAGTTTAGTCGTTAGCTGGTTCTGGTACTCTTGCTTCGTACAGCACTACCCGTTTCTAGCCATCGAGATTGGGGGTTTGGCACCAGACTTGAAAAGGCTCCTGCGCCAAGTGCGACTCGCTTTTGAATTTTCTCTCGCCTTCGTACTCGGATCGGGCCTTGAAATAATAACTAACTGCCGGTGGCCTTTTCTTTTATCCTCTCGTCATTCCACCTCGGCTTCTTCTCTCACCAGCTTCAGCTTGTATTTCGTCCCGCCTGTTTTATTCTATGGGCTGCATCACTACATGACCAAGCGATAATACTATCGTGCCCCCCATTCATCGTGCCTTGAATACTACCCACCTACAACTACTCCATCTGGGATATTAAGCTCGCCCTGCGGCCCCTGGTTCGCCGCTCCACCATCGACGTTTGAGGTTGGAGATCTCGAATCGCAACTTGGCCTCTTCAACTGCTTTTGTCTCAGCTCCGCAGACTGCGCGGATTCAAGGCGTCAGAACGAGAACGAGCCGCCTTGATCCTTCACAGCTGTCCCTGACAAGGTACCCGGAGCCCGCGGATTGGCTCTGCTTATACACCTACTATAGCTTCTCTACTAGGGGCTGAAGAAAAAAAAAAAAAGAGAAAAAAAGGCTCCCGCTTATAAAGAAGCTTAGTCGGCCCACTCGGACCCTGGACGTTGTCCGGAGTCCGTTTTACCTGCATTTGATTTGACTTGATTCGGATGTGAAGCCCAGGCCGGGGCCAGCTCGTGACTCGACCTTCTCGACTTTTCTGCGAGGCTCCCAGGATTGGCTGCTTCGAGCCAGCCTTTCGCTGACTTACGGTTCAAATCCTTTCACCTAGCCAGGCCCCCTTACACCGATTCGACCCTCTGGACCTGACTCAACTCAACTCAACTCTTAAACTGCAGCACCACTTACACCCACAACTTGCCATCATCGCCCTCGGGTTGCTGCGACTTCCCGGCGAGGCGCTTTGTTTCCTCCACAACCGTTGCCATCACAGCATGGAATATGCCTCCACCAATACCAGCACCTGTGGACAGCCAATTGGCCCCCAAGAAAGACGGTAGCACCAAGCATTCCGCCAACGGAACCTCCGGCAACTCCGAGTCGCAGCCCGTGCCCATTGTGAGGCGATCGACAACTCGCCTGTCGCGCATCTCGACCCAGCAGCTGCAGAATGGAAAAGACCGCGAGACCAAGAATGTGTCGGTCAGGACGCTGTCCTCGACCCCGCCGGCCGCGGCGACGCTGGATCCCTTGAGCAATGTAAGCATATATACCTGTATACTTGCATTTGTCTTAGACGGCGTTTATACGATGAGATTACTGACATCAACGTCATTGGCTATAGCAAATCTTTCTGAGGACTAACAGCGGCTCTCTTGAGACAGCGACATCCCTCGCCCAGCGCTTGCGCAACTCGACCAAAGCCGACAGTCCCACGACAGAGAGCTTTCCCAAGAAGAGCATAACCATTGAGAACACGGCTCGCTTGGCAAATGGCTCCGCCGACCTGCCCAAGGATCGAAAGTATGTTGCGCCTTGGGCTTTTAGTTTTAGATAAAGAATCCAGCAAGCTCACATCTTTCTAGGAAAGGAACTTCGTTTTTGAGCCGCCTGGCCATGCGCAGCGCCTTCAAGAAAAACGACGACGATGCGCCCGACTCCGACTCCGAGCTCGGCGAGCTGCGCACCGAAGGGAGCAGCGCTCGTGCTCCCATGTCCGTCATGAGCGATGGCGGCGGCTACATCCCGCTTTACAAAGAACCCCCCCGTTATATTCGCGTGAGGGCGCATAACAGCAAGCGTCGAGACTTCAACCGCCTCTTCTTGGCCCAGGAGCTGCTGGGTCCCAAGCCGGAGAAGGACGACGAGCCGTCGCAAGGCCGCGTCCCTGCCACTGCGGTGGGAACAAAACTCCTCAAAGCTGGCGATGCGATTTGGGCGGCCGAGTTCAGCCTTGACGGCCGCTACCTGGCTGTAGCGGGCAAGGACCAGGTCGTTCGAGTCTTTGCTGTTCTATCGACCCAGGATGAGCGCAAGGCGCATGAGCAAGAGGAGGAAGCAGAAAGAGAAGCGCAAGGAAATAGTAGAGGGGAGCGGCTCAGCGCACCCGTATTTCGAAACAAGCCGATCCACGAGTTCAAAGGCCATACCGGCGAAGTGCTGGCCCTCTGCTGGAGCAAAAACAACTTCCTCCTGTCGACATCAATGGACAAGACTGTCAAGCTCTGGCATATCAGCAGAGACGAATGTCTTGCTACGTTTACGCACCACGATCTAGTTACTTCGGTGGCCTTTCATCCTACCGACGACCGGTTTTTTCTCGCCGGCTCCCTGGACGCTCAGCTCAGATTGTGGAACATACCAGACAAAACAGTCGCCTTCTCGGCGTCTACAAACGAATTCATCACGGCCGTGGCTTTTTCTCCCGACGGAAAGATGGCCATTTGCGGCGTGCTGAATGGCATGTGCTCGTTTTACGAGACGGAGGGGCTTAAACTAAAGTTTCAGATCCATGTCCGATCCTCAAGGGGAAAAAACGCCAAGGGTAGCAAAATCACAGGCATCAAGACAGCCGCTAACCCGGGAACTGGCGAGGTCAAGGTACTGATTAGCTCCAACGACTCGCGCGTGCGAATCTATAGCTTGAAGAGCAGGATGCTCGAAGTCAAGTTCAAGGGTCTTGAGAACCAGTCCAGCCAGATCCATGCTCGTTTCAGCGATGATGGCACCTATGTCATCTGCGGTAGCGAAGACAGGAAAGCATACATTTGGAACACAACCACATCTGAAGCCGAGACAAAAGACCGTCAACCTTATGAGTGCTTTGACGCTCACCCAGAAGTTGTCACCACCGCTCTGATAGCACCGACGCGGACAAGGCAGCTCCTGAGCGCCTCGGGAGACCCGATTTTCGACCTCTGCAATCCACCCCCAGTTTTGCTTCGCAGTCTTGATGAGGCAGCGCTGAGCCAAACAGAGGTTTCGGAGACAGGCACGGAGATCCACCACCCACCGCCGAGCATCAAGAAGCCCGAAGAAAGCCCAGCCTACATTGAACGTTGCAAACACAGTGACGGAAATATTATAGTTACAACGGACAGGACCGGCACCATCAAGGTATTTCGACAAGACTGTGCATTCACCAAGCGCCAGCAGAACATGTGGGAGATTGGCTCCAAGTCCTTTAGCAAGGTGAGCGGGCTGGGACGAAGCGGAAGCATCATCACGAGAACTAGTGGAAGCTTGTCCAGACGGACTTCATTGAATCTGAGCCAAGGCCAAACTGCCCAGCATCCATCTGATCGAATTATTAGCTGGCGCCAAGATGTGGATGACGAGGGTCGAGCCAGCCGATCCGCTTCTCCAATGAAGGCCGGCAAAACACCTGCCAACATATCCACGGCAGTCAATCTCTCAGCCGAAGCCCGAAGACGACCTATTCCAAGCGGCTCGCCGGTTCGTGCCGCCCAGAGGAATAGTCTCGTCAGCCCTGTAGGTAGCGTGCGGAGTAGGCCATCCATTGGAGCTTTGGACGGAGGATCACAACCGCCGACGCCGAGCTTCAATCTAATCAGCGTGGCTGATGCCGAGGAGTCCGACAAAGATGGCAGTTTTTGGAATCTCAGCCGGTGGAGGGGCAGCTTTTCGGGACTACGATACTCGATAAGTGCAAACTCTCCCACAGAGTCTACTCACGATGCCGCCGCCGCCTCTTCTTCTGCTGCCGAAGCAGAACAGTCCAAAGCTGCCAATGAATTGCTGAAGCCCCCTAGCAAGGCAGCCAATCGGAGGAGCATTGGGGTTACCGACCTCAACAGGCCCAAGGTCGTGGAAGATCAGACCAATCGCAGGAGATCAATGGGGCCAACGATTCGAGCGAGCAAATCCCAGGAAACGAATGCGGGAATGGATGTCATTGATGAAAACAAGTCTGATCCGTCGCTGCCCAAGAAGCGGGCTGATTCTGGCTTGGGGAGGATGAGTGATGACACGCCAGAATGATTTTATGGGATGACGTGGGAGAGACTGTGAGAGAGAAAGGAAAAAGTATAGCTTAAAACTCTCTTCGGAGCAAGCTTTTTGTTTTCTTGGGTATCCAGGGCATTTGTCCTGTTGATTTTGGAAATCAGGAGCTGTGATGCTCGATCTACGCTTGTTGCCTCAGATCCTTGTCTCCCCCTCTCTTTTTCTCTTTTAACTTTCTTTCTTCACTACGGCTGCATATTACAAGCGTGGAGTTTTTTTATTTTTATTGTCTATATCTTTCTCCTTCTTTTTTCCTTGTTATACCCAGCGGTGGATAAATTCATGATGGTGGTGGTGGTAGGATTAACAATGATGCTCTCTTTCACTCTTTTGCCTTATGAAGTTGGAACAAGGAACAAGACTCCTCTTTTGTGTATTAGTGGGGCGCATTGTATGTAGAATTTGGGGGTAGAGCAAATCAATGATATGATACGGTTATGTGGATATGAGGGATGGGGATAAGGCAGATGAATAGAGTGATGTTACAGCGATACTAAATGGCTCTCTTTATTTCTATACTTATCCATGAAGTACTGGGAATATGCTTGTAAAGTTTCTCTTGTTGAGACTGGAGATCAGATTGCGAATTCGGATCTAATGACCTTTGTTTCATTATCTTCTACTTTGCATTCTGTAGCTTTGGGGTATCCTCTCAAAAGCAGAACCAGAAGATAGGTAGCTTCATGTTTATGTGACTTGATCTCAACCAAGTTTCTCTTTCCATCCTTCATTCTCCATGTCAATTTTTGTATCCTCCTCTGTCACTCATTTCTCTCTTTGTTTTCGGGTTTTGCGTTGATCTTTTTCTTCTTGATTTAAAAGTCCTCGTTGGTGCTAAGCTGTCCCTAAATGAACAAAAGCCGCGGAATTAGCGTATTGTAAACCCTTGAATCTTTCGTTCTCCTCTATACTTTTTTTTTCTCACAGCAACGAATCCTTTCGTCGAGCGCCATCACCACTTCCACTCCCACTCACCTCGCTCTTGGCCTTCTCGCCAATCTCCGCCGTCAACTTCTGCAGCGCAGTCGGGTTCGCGCCGGTCAGGTTCTCCGTCTTCTCGCCGTTCTCGAAGAAGAAGAAGGCGGGGATGCTGCGGATGCCGAGCTCCATGGCGAGGTCGGCAACGTCGTCGGTGTCGAAGCGCGCAAAGGCGTACTTTTCGTTGCCGAAGCTGCCGGCGTGCTTGTTGAAGAAGGGCGAGATGGCCTTGCAGGGGCCGCACCAGGAGGCGTGGGCCTGGAGGGCGACGTAGGGGGTTGTTTTGACGAGTTCGTCGAATTGGGCTTTGGAGGTGATGTCGACGACGGTGGCCATTTTGGTCGTTGGAGTTTGGCTTTTGAGAGACTTTGTATTGTAGGTTTTGTTGGAAATGGAAGAGCTGAGGATGCTTTGGATGTTTTGCTGGTGGAGATGTGTGAGACAGAAAAGGTTGGTTTGTTAGGGTGGAAGCTTTTATGCGGATTTTTTTTAGTGGTGGAGAGGAGGGATAAGGTGGTGATGATGTAAGTGTAGCGGTTGGTGAGCCTCGGTATGAGCTAAATATTAATAATTATTTAGGAGGATTAACAGTGACTTAGTTTGTATGGAGGAGAATAAATGTAAGAGATATTCAGATGGCTTGAATTATTTATATATAGATTAATCTGCTATGACTCTGGATATATTGAATCCATCTACTCCTTTTCCTTCCATTGTAATCACCAGCATTACAAATGCCATCATCGCATTTACTTGCGATCCAAATGGGATAATGCCCGGGCACTGCCATCTGCACTGCAAGCGCTAAAAGCAATGCTGTACCTACATGGGATCTGCACGGGCAGCAAGCGTGTTCCTTTTGTATGATTTTCAGGGCTAAAAGATACCTATTGCCTTTTGGAATACCGGCAGAGTGTACATTGTTTCCCTTTCTGGTGGCGGACGAATGCGGAGCTCTGCTGCTTGTCTTCTGGCGGGGGGGTTTAGGGCGCGATTGCGTGATTGGGGGAGCTGTTGGCCAATTTTGCTGACAAAAGTAGGCGCCAGACTGGGGTTTGAATCAGGGAGACGGATGGAGTCGGTGGTTCGGGGATCGGATGTCGCAGAGCTCGATCGGATTGTCGGCAGGGGATGGTTTGGTCTTGGATATGACGTAGGGAGCTCAAGCTGTTGATTTATCAGATGCTGCAGTTATTTGATAACTATTGATAAGTTCGAAGCTGTGTAATGAAGAGATTTAGGACTGTGGAGTGGCCTTCAGGCTATACCGGCGGGGGGACTTGTACAGTTGGGATATGGTGCAGTGTCATCGCAGCTATTCTCTTGGTGGATGCAGTCATGGAAAGTATGGGCTGGTATTCGTAGAGCATCAAGCAATCTAACAGAAGGCTGAGGTAGCTTGACTAACATGATTTTTTTGTTCGCTTTTGATTCATAATGATTTGCATGTGCGACAGAGATTGTTTACACAAGTCGCTGTTGCGACGTTTGGACATCTTGGCATATTCCTTGCTCTAGCTGCCCTTCGATAAAACACCTACATATGCACGGCTAAAATATATTTTTATTATCCCTTCATTGTTTGAAGAAATAGCTTGATTCAAGTACCTAAACATAACTCTTATCTTAAGGCAATCAATTGAATCATCCAACATCCGCGCGAATAGGTGAATCTGCTATTTTTATCTTCGAACGGGATCATATCCGATATAGATCATTCAACCGCCATAAACTTTATTGTAATTTCCAATGATACTCATATCACGTAAGCCGCTCAAAGAGTTGTACTCTCTGTCAATATTGTGTTCCTACTGTTTCTTACCAGGCTATAGATTTTGCGCCGACTCCTTGTCGCCAGCCTTTATTCTCTTTGGACACACGCGGCTTCAGCCGACACATATCAGCATTATCCAGCTGCTCAAAGCTGAATCAGAAGAAAATCATAGTGTAAGCTAAAGATCGTCGTATTTATTACGGAATCCCAGATCCCCCGCATCTCATATCGCCTGGCTCTGGGGTAACCTAGAGCCCAATTGTCGCTGCAGTATACATGACCAACATCACGGTACATGCAGTTACTAACTAACGTTGGCTACAGGGATGATCTGCGTGATGAATAGCATCATAGGTAGGTTTGGCGGGTGAGACATCGATTGAATATATAGAGCTATGCATTGCTGCCGTTTCATCTCGCTTCTTTCACCGGTTCTCGGTTGCCACTGAAAGAACCACTTTGTTACATCAATGGCGCCCCGAAAGTCATGCGAGAACACTGAGGGTACTGCCGCGAAAGCAGAGAATACGCATATGCTTCTAGAAACGGAGAATATCATCAGTCATGATCCTCTTCTCGCCTGCGCTGCTGATTCGCAGCAATTAGGTGTGTCGAGTCTCATATACACGTACATCAATGATGTCTATCATCCCTTGTAGTAGAGGGTTTGCAGCGGGATTTAATGCGTAAAGCAGCAAACATCGGCTATAAGTAAGAACTCAAGCGACATTATTCCAGTATCCAGGTATTCGCTATAGCATTCAGCATTATGGGGCTACTTCCGTCTATTTCAGCAACGCTGTGGTTTTCTGTCCCTGCAGGCTCTGTTGGTATGGTGTGGGTAAGTCAATTTGATTACTCCTAAAAGTATATCATGATGCTGACTACTCTCAGGGATGAGTCCATTCTATCTGGGCAGATTTAGTGTAGTTGTGTCAATCCTAGCACTGTTTATTTGACGTTTGCTGCTATTCTTTGCATGTTTCCTACGCTCCTTGATCGTGAGTCAACAGTTCTCAGCTCTTATCTCCTATGTTGTCCGCCATACTTCCCTTTATCAATTTTTCTTTTTTTACTCAACTGTAATAAACGTGAACTGCTAGTATCTTCATGACAATATGCTAACTAGGAGCAAGCAACTGTCATGAATTTTTCTCCAATTGTCAATGGAGCGATCTGGGGAGGTGCGCTACAATACCAATTCACATACGCCCACACCTGGTCCAAGGGTCCTGTACACAATTCCCATATTAACATGGAGGAAGAAGAGAATATTTCGGCTCTTAATTTTGGGGCATGTGTTACGGACAATACCCCTCAAAGTTAACTGCGATAGCATGCGACATACAATTGAAACATGTCTTCAACTCTGCATGTCGCCTGGTACTAGATAGCCCGTCATAGTAACCCCGATCTCTTGCGGGCGTAATCAGATTTGCAGAATTCTACCCCGACGAATTTAGGCCCAGAAACAGAAAATTAGAAGCATTCCATAGTATGCGTTATTTAGATTCTGCAGATAATAGTTTCCTATATAGCGCCAGTTAATCGGAGCCTATTTAGTTTGGTACCAAGAAATAAATTCTTGCGCAGAGAGTTTCCAATGTTGCTGCAGGATAAGTAAACATACAGAGAAAAGAATAGTAATACAAATCCATAGTGTTAAAGCTAGAGCATAGACAGCTAGATCTGCTTCTTTGGTAGGCCACACAAATAGTGCAATTCGCTGGTAGTAACACCTGGAGGGCGCATGATATGCGCTACAATAACTCCATATGTAATCTTCAAGTTACCAAACGCCAGATAGACATTATGGATGAACAAGCCAGCAAATTGAATAAAACTGTTACGAATGCATTTGTAGATTGCTTCATCACGAGAGTATACATATTTTTACAAGTAAGATTGTCATTCTCTTTTCGCGCTGATACGTCGACGTTTTTATCAACAACTTTTTTAACCAATACGGGTGTCGGCTGTAATGGTGGGGGAAAGAGATTTGCTAGTGAGGGCAGAAGGTAATAAGTAATCCAACTACTTGTTGCTAAGCCCGCTATTAATATTAACCCGTGTAGAGCCTGTCATTTCGTTTTGGAGGAGCGTAAACGTTTCTTTGATATACCAACAGTAGATTGGCCACAATTGGCGCAAGATGATAACATTATCCGCTACGATCGACGCATTGAAATAGGTATTTGAACCTAAGCGAAAAGCGCATTAACTCATACTTAATGTAGAAGTATGTCTATGAGGTCAATATTCCCTTTTGGATGCCCATGTAGGCCTACGTCGTGACTTGTCATTTACGCTTCGTAGAAGCGTTGCGTTACGAACCCGAAGGTCAGCGTGCAACGCCAGGATTACAACAGGGGCTGAGCGCATCACAACAGAACAGGGGCCTACTTAAAGGGACTATACGCTTGTGCAATGTTAAGGATAGATGGGAAATGGGAACGCTTTTGTTAATACTGAGTATGTAAGACTAAGTGAATAGATATATCCTGAAAGCACAACTAGTAAGAGCTTCGTGTGGTTTGATCGGATAATAGTTTAAGCCTGGGTTGTGTGTCAAACAGCTAGTCAACATATTATGATCGAAAACGTGAATGAGCGTTGGAAACTCGTTTATGAAGTTGACTGGCTTCTGTTAAAGGAGACAACTCACAAGGAAAGTGCACAACCAGTAGGCGACCAGTGCTCTCTTCCCCAATTAGAAATTCCTAGAATCACTTACAGAAAGTGCCCCGACCGGCAACTATCCCGAGTAGTAAGTATTGCGAGCATATGATACATCACACCGGAAAGAAATCAATGCTCTAGGTGACCAAAAGTGGACTTTCAGCCAGCCTCTCCATGTCCACGAATCCACAAATGCGGCTTCAACAGGGGCGCCGCGTTGGATTAGTCGTGAAGCGGCCGCAAACCCCGCTTATCAGAAGTGTTGCTAGGATGTTGGATGCTAGAATAGAATATGTCTAGTTTTGGCGGATTTGTATACACTTATTGCCCAATAGGTTATAAACTAGCCATTTTCCCATTTGGTCTTCAAGTTCCGTACATACTTAGGGGCCCAATAGACTCATTGTTGGCATGTAAGAGTGCTCTCATGAGGTATGACTCTTAGAGAAAGAAGTCATTTCATTGCAACTAACTCTACATCAATATGGGGCTCATACAAGATTCAAATACTTCTTTAAAGCCCAGTGTGGCACTGCCACTGCTAGCAGTCATATCGGTACGATCTTCAATTCTAGTCACTGCTGAGAACCACTTGTTACCTGACACAACAGAATTAGGGGTTACTGTATATCACATACACTGTGATTTACAATCTTTTTTTCCACCCTCTCAGAAAATTTCCAGGTCCGAAACTCTGGGCACTTCACTATGGATTTTATGCCCGTTTAGAGCTCTCTGGCGAAGGCCACCGAAGAATGGTGAGAATGCACATGAAGTACGGCCCAGTCATTCGAGTCGCCCCAAACCATCTAGCTTTTTGCCATCCTGATGCGATGAATGATCTTTCATCTCATCGAAAGCCAGGCCAGCTTGAAAATGGCAAAGAAGAGTCCCGCAGCTTGAGTGTCCCCCACAGCATCATTGGCGCATCCCGTACCGACCATACTCGAATGCGAAAAGCCATGACAAACGGATTTTCTCAACAGTCAATGATCAGCCAGCAGCCTCTGATCAAAGTCTACATCGACAAGCTATTTGAGAAATTTAAAGAAGCAAGTAAAAAAGGGGACAAAATTGATGCGGTTGCGTGGTATAATTACACGACTTTCGATATCGTTGGGGACTTGGCTTTTGGTGAACCATTTGGGTGCCTTCAGGAATCTACCTACCACCCCTGGGTGGATCTTATTTTTAAAAGCATTAAAGGTATAGCATTTGATTCATCTTTTAGACGTATGGGCTATCTTCATGCTATCCTCATGTCCTTGATTCCCAAATCGATGAAGGATAAATTTGAACAACACAAGAAGCTATCGGAGGAGAAAGTTTTGAAAAGATTGAAGTCGGATACAGATCGAAAAGACTTCATAGCTTCCATGGCGTCCAGGAAAGGGAAAGATGTAAGTGATGGAGGAATCTGAGTCTTCCTAGACGAAGCTCTATCTGCTGACTTCATCTAGGAATTAACTTTACAGGAGCTTGCTGTCAACGCTGGTATTCTAGTCATCGGTGGTTCAGAAACAACAGCAACGGCACTCTCTGCGGCAACATACTTCCTTGGTACGAATCAAGAACCTCTGAAGAAGCTATGCGAAGAAGTCCGGTCTGCGTTCAACAATGAAGCAGAGATCGACTTGTTTAGCGTTGGCCGTCTCAACTACATGCTCGCCGTTTTGGATGAAACAATGAGGCTTCACGCGCCGGTTCCAGCCACAACTCCGCGAACTATTAATGAGTTGGGAGACACCATTGCAGGCTACTATGTGCCACCAGGGGTACGTGTCGTTCGAGTCTTCCTCCAAAAGCCGTAATAACTTCTAACGAACAGATTTTACTCTAGACAAATATTGATATCTGGTACTGGACCATGTTCCATTATCCTGAATATTGGACTCAGGCAGAAGATTTTATCCCAGAACGCTGGCTGGGGGATTCGCGATTTGAGCATGACAAGAGACAAATCTTCACTCCTTTTTCCGTTGGGCCTAGAAACTGTATAGGCAAGAAGTAGGTTCATCGCAAAGGCCTCGCTTTTAACCGATGCTAATACATGACCGATCTAGCCTTGCGTATGCCGAGATGCGACTCATCCTTGCCAAGCTCATTTGGAATTTTGATATTGAGATTGCAGAAGAAAGCATTGACTGGGACAAAAAGTGCGGATGCTATATTCTATACGAGAAGGGGCCCCTTTACGTTTATCTGAAGCCTAGGAAGAATAACTGAAATGGAAGCTAAATGAGCAAGAGCACGATTGACGCATCAGCCCTTTTATGCTAGATAGCACAAACTTATAACCGGCTGAATTAGAGACATTCAATAGAGACATAGTATTGTTTGTCTGATCCTTGCAGGCGCAATGCTCTCGATTCGTCCGCTATGAAGATGGGTATCACGATCTATGGAGGAAAATGTCCAAAGCAGCGATATACTGTGCAAGTTTGATGTGTTTTAGGATGAACCGATAGAATCCTAGTGTAAGGGAATATTGAGCAAATGGGGAGGAATGGTAGAGAGATATCAATTAGAATTGTAAATGGACTATCTGCTCCATGCTTTTATGTGCTTAAATTGTGATGAATGGAACTCCATTTAATTTTACAAGATCCCCTAGTCTGTAAATGAAAAATATGCCTTAGGCTACTGATATCTACCTACGTGGCATCAAATTTGTTGGTGGTGTTCAAAAGCTACCTTGATCTGAATGAGCCAGAGCAATCTATTTTACTTAGATCTTATGCAAGTTACCAAAGTTGCCGCACTATCTCTTCATCTCTGCCCCAGGTCTCAGTCGCCGTCTTTATTACCTCCTCTGTGATAGGAATCTGGCCATAGCGTCGATCGAGAAGTAATTGTATAACTTCTTTGCCTTGTTTTATATTTTCTGCCGCCATTTTTAACACCTCTTCCGTAATAGGGACCTGGTCTCCGCGCTGGACAAGGAATAGTTCTATAATCTCCTTGGCTTGGTAGGGATTTCTTGCTGCCTGTTTTAGTACCTCCGCAGTCATAGGGACCTGACTTCCACGCCGGCTGAGAAATAATGCTATGACTTGCTTGCCATGGTGGTAATTGCCTGCTGCTACTTTCAACACCTCCTCAGTGATGGGGACCTGGTCCTCATATCGGTCCAGAAGTAGCTTTATAACTTCCATGGCTTGCCCGTAATTCCCGGCCGCTGACTTTACTATACCTTCAGAAATAGAGATTTGGTCGCCGCGTTGTGATAGGAATAATTCTAATAGTTTCTTGCCTTGGTAACGGTTATTTGCGGCTGCTTTTAATACCTCTTCGCTAACAGGGACTTGATCTCCGCGCCAGTCGAAGAATATTGTTAATATTTCCGTGGCAACTGAATCATCTCCCACCGCTGTCTTCATCACTGCATCAGTGATTGGGACCTTGTCTCCGTGTACGGCGAGGAGTAGTTTCAACAATTCTTCCCGAAATGGTTTTATGATTTGGAGTACTCCTCTCTCTGTGACCTCGAAATAATCCCCTCTCCGCCCTAGAATGTCAGCCATGATCCCCAGCCCTTTAGCCTTCCGGCGTAGAAACAGGGTCTCCCAACGCGCGGAGAGTGACGGCGGACGAGTTATCTTGATTATCGCTGTATAAGTTTGGTACCATACTTCGAACGTCGCTTCATTAGCTTGATGCCTGAGTCTGTACATTCTTCTGTAAGTTTTTATGGCTTTTTGGAAGTTTTTGATGGCATTTTCATAGCTTTCCGCGTCTTTCCATAGCCATCCAACGTAGTGTAATCTGGCCGCTTTTCCCCAGCGATCATCTGTCTCTTTCTTCGTCTTTGTAAGAATGAAATCTCGATTGTTCAAGAAACACTCGTAGTCAATCTCGTATAACTCTTCACAAGGAGTTTCCCAGTCCCATACAAGTATCATTTCGCGATGGAAGGCTTGTATTTCTCGCGAACAATCCAGCCAGTCGAAAGGTGTCCCCTCAAGCCGCTTGTTTCCTATTGGGGTAACGGCAATTGCGACAACGACACAATAATCCTCACATGGCCTTATGATTGTAGGCTTTGAAGCGCCTTGCAAAAGACAGATAACGTCACCCTGCTGGATGGATTTTGCAGAAGCCTGGAGAGTCCAGCAACCATCCCACCTCCACCGGTCGTCAGAGCCGTTGTCTACAGCAATATTAACATCGATACTCTGTCTCTCGTCCCAAGCGCCGGCGCTGGATACCGAGACTACCTTTCCAAGAACGCAGCCTACATGCTTGATAACTGCGACTTGCTGGTCGTCCCAGGTCTCGACAAGTGCTTGCTCACCGATGAGAGAGTGAACAAGTTGACGAAAGAGGTCTCTCCACAACATGTTATAGTTGGGTAGTAGGCCTCTTGGAGTATCAGAGCTCATACCAAGCAAGGCATAAATCTTGTCCCGCAGATCTTTTGCCTTGCGGTTATGATACATATCTACTAGCTCCCCGAGAGGACAGATATTAAGAGAAAATCTGTCTGAGAAGGTAGCCAGATGTTTTGGTCGCAGGCCTGCGCCCTTTATTAAGTAGGCCGCCGACCGGATACGATTTCGCGTGGCTGGATCTTTAAAATCGTAGTTAAGTTTGGTTAGACTCGTGCAGAATGCAAATCCGTCCATATCCATGGAGTGAAACATCATTACAACGTGCCTAGCCGCAGCTACCTCCTGGAGTACCTAGAGAGAGAACATCAGCAAGTGCCTACTGACTCCATCAGATGTCTGGAGCCTTACCCAGATACGCTCAAACCATGATCGCTGAAGAATTGTCTGGATTGCAAGGCGGGCTGCCTCGTCGTCAGAAGGCTTTGCCGGCTGGCCGCTCGCAGCGTTACTTATCTCTTCAAGCGCTCGACAGGCATTGTCTAGGATCTTGCTGTCCTCTGGATGGCTGCCCATCGCCTCTTCAAGCCAAACTATTACACGGCTTGCTTTAGCGTATATACTCGCCATAGCTTGAACTTGGCGATTCCGCTCTTCGATGTCATCCTGGTTGATGCAAATAGCATCGACCCATATAATTCGTTCGAATGAGCGATCCCGGAGTCGTAACAGAGCCGCGTGAAGGTTTCCGTAATATACAGATCGCCTTCGTCGGTTGAAATACGCCTAGGCTTCTCTTCAGAGCCCCATACATAAGATAAAGCCTCGTAGAGGTGAGTCCCTTTCCCCGAGTCCAAAAGAGGATACTCGAAGAGTTGACAGTGCACCGGAGCATGTTCATCTAAATGCGGCTGCAGCCGAAGTAGACGAATAGAATTAGGTGGCAGAGAAAAATAACGATACACAGCTGCAGGATTAGAGACCGGATTTGCCGTCATGGCACACCCAGTGCCGCATTCCGCATTCTCTGCCCGAGGCGGAGAGAGGGCGTTGGTAGTTTCGCATTCTATACCTTCTATACCAAGAATTTCGCTCTCCGGAACTATACCCTGCTCTGATTGATTCGAGTGCAGTGCTTTTGAAACCATGTCTTTGATCAGAGATGAGGCGGGAGCGTAAGCATAAATCTACTGAAGTCCTGGCAATATCGTGGTAATGGAGGGGAAAGTGAGAATGCATAAGGTAATGAAAGCGAGAATACTAGTAGGTAGGGTAGCTGTCAGAACATGATCCGAAAGCTATGGGGTGATACGTTAAATAGCGGCTTAGGCAGCCAAGCAGCTAACAACTGGAGTGGTACATGTACGCAGTTAGCCAGCATGTTAGGTTAGTAGCCCACGAGTACCAAGGTGCATGTAGGGTGGGGCTCTCTGTGCTTTTGCATCGCGAATATGGCCTTTTCCCCAATCACCTTGTCTCTTTTGAACTTGGCTCTATTCCGGTATAAATCTCTAACATTAGGAAAACGGTTTTCCGGCTACTTTGCCACATTGCTTGAAAGTTAGGGCTGTATAAGAAGGCTGAAGAATCAATGTGGCAGGCAATGACTTATAGCTTTTGGAAATTGAGCAGGAGGGTAGATAGTCTATTTGTCCCAATTCACTGTCAAGATACTTAGAATGATGTATGACTGAGGATTTTCCCATGCATTCATAATACTTCGCAATAGTGAAAGAGGGCCTTTCAATCATTCCCTTGCTGAGCACGCGATATTTTGAGAGTCACATGTTACGTCTTTCAATTGTCTGAAGAAGATGAATCTTTGCTGTCAAGAGGACAACTTATAAAAAGAGTTAAACAAAGGATTATTGCATTATCAAATAGGCATGTTGAATGCCCTCATAGCAGACTATCAGAATAGACTTTAAAAACTCTTTCGAGGACTCTGTATCCTCCTTCCAACTCGCTTAGCCGAAATCTAATCATCTCGTGATCACTCTATGGAAAAAGTAAGCTAGTTTCGTCATTGTAGCACATGAATTGTCTTACCAGCATATTTAGCATAGACCCTGGCTCTGCGCCAGAAACTTGATGCCGTCCTGTTCGAATTCGCCGAGGTCGACACTCTCATCCAGCCTTCCCAAGATACCCGTGCCAGTGAGGTGAAGTTTCAATCCCAATTTGCAGTTCGATCGGACAAATCGACTTTGCAAGTCGACATATAGCGTAGGTCCAATAATGGGAATACTAGCTTCCCAGCGATGGGCATCCGTCCAGTCATTCTTGAAGTAAATATTCACCGTATCCCACTGGTTTATGTGAACGGGGCTAGCATTCGCTATGATGTGAGTAGGCGCCTCAATGTGATCGGGTTTGAGATTGATGCCTGGGATGGTAACATCGACGTCAACAATGCCGTAATCATGATAGAAATGAAAGTCGATTGGAATGTCGTAATCTTCCAAGGCAGCATCTATTGCCCTTGCCAAACCGCCATCGGGCATTGCCAGAGCAGCGGCTTGTGGCAGAGCGATGATGCCAATAGGAGCGAGAAAGGTGCTAAGACGCATGATGGCTAAAAAGCTGACGAGTGTATAGTAGAGCTTCTGATCCAACTATCGCAAAATGATCTGATATTCGCAACCAAGTACGAGCGATTTGACCGGTCTATATATACACCGCCAGATACTTGTTATTACGGCTGACATGGTGATCTGAGTAAGAGTAGTACTGAATGTCTCATCTTATTTTGACTATCGAGTCTTGTGTCTCGATTGCAACAGTGACATATCTAACAAAGATGTGTGGCTCTGTGTTGAAATACTGTCTCTGGCCCGAACATATGACGTTTACATAGATTTCGCTACATAAGACGCATGGTGCTCAGAATTGGAAAATGCCCTCTGTAGAGAGATGAATAGTTTGAGAGTTTAAGTCTTCAGCTTCAGCTTCAGCTTGCTACTCCTAAAATCTATTTGTACGCCGTTTATCTAATAGAACTTTCCGAGGCAGTTTATCATCGCTCAACGCCGCGCCGATGTTCAGAGAAAAAGGTCCCAAAAACATGACGGAGATGTCCAAATCAATCTGCTATTTCTGACAGCTCATAAAGACAAATCACTTTTCGAAGCCCTTTGAGCTTGTATTGAGATCTTTTCGCTGGCCATATCCGACACTACGAGCCGTTTGTTTCGGTTTGTTTGAGACATTGTGTGGGCTTATTATAATAGCCATCACACGGGGCATCTTTATGAGTAATATCGCGGGAATGATGACGTATTTCCAATGCCCCTTGGGCTACCATTTTGCTCGTTTGCGTAGTCCTACAGCCTGTATCAATTAGATTAGCCTACATATTGTGTATATGTAAATGAAGCCAATAATTTAGTGTCTCGGACTTGAAGGTCAAGTAGTTACGAGTATCACAGAAACATATGCTATAGGCGAATGAGAGGCCATATGATCTCGAAATATTGCATTAATTAAAGCTTATAGCAGCTAAATGAAACGGAACGCTGGAAACTTATAATATGTCTAAAACTGAGCAAAGGAACAGGGTATTTGTACAATTAATGAGTATCATCCCAGCGGCACATTTCCGACAACGGACCAACTTGAGCCATCGTATTTTACCTCTCTTATCCGCCCATCTACCAAGTAGTAGCAGCGGGCCATGTCGTATTTCGACTGTAAGGGGGTGTAAGAGAAAGCAGACGGCATGAGGCAAGCTATATCTGTGCCCTTGTCGGGATTGCCAAAAGAATCTGGTGCTGATGTAGTTTGCCAGCCTTTATCATCATCCATCCAAGTTATCTGAATACCGTCTGTTTTATCTTGCCACAGAATGTAAGTATTCATTGGGCTATCTGCCTTGGAAGTTCGCGGTACGGAGAAGGCCCCAATGGGAGACTCGGACGGGACGGCAACAGCTGGAGCATCTGCGATTTCAAGTTAGTTTGGCAAAGATGTGGTGACATTTACGGTCAACTAACCCGCTTTCAATGAGGTAGTCGAGCTACTTCTCCCTTCGGCTTGGAGCTTCTGGTCATCACCCTGGTAGATGAAGTTTCCGCCGCCTTTCCTCGCTGAGCTTGCTGAGTAGACAATCTCTGCCAGGGCTGAATGATTCTGTGGAGAGATACTCAGAGGGTTCTGTAACCATTTGCTGCTCGTGGTATAATAAGTTTCTTGTAACTGGCCAAGATCGTCTTGGAAGATAAGGCTAGGCCAGTATGTTGCGAGTCTCGAGTATGGACCTGGCTTCAGGCCGAGTGAGGAGATGGTTCCGTTCATGTTTCTGGTTGCTGCTCCCGGCGTCTCTTGGACCTCCCATTCCTGTATTTGTCCCAATTTATCCACATAAAAAACATCAGTTTGTGTATAATTCTGTGTGATGAATATGAAGTATTAGAAAGAGAGCACACAGCCACAAAGTGTCCAAGGACAGGAGAAGACTTACATTTCCAGAATTGACTGCAGAACTGAAATACACGGTAGTGTTATAATTGCACGTCGCAATAGGACTACCTAGCCTAACGTCTGGGCCGGGAAGGGTTGTTACTGTTGACCACATGCCATCTGTGGAGTCGTAGCCTATCATACGTAAATGTCCATCCTTTCCCTGATAGAAAAGGCGGATGCTATAGCTGGACGTGGTTGTCCACCAGCCGGTTACTGAAAGGCTTGAACTGGAATGAGCAGCGTTTGGCGACGTTGATGAAGGGGTTGGAGAGGGCGTTGAAGAAGAAGAGGTCGAAGAGGAAGTTGAAGAAGGATCTGATGAACTCGAGGCTGTGGTGGTATTGTTGTGATGTCGCGATCCCACAACGCCACCTACTACGGCGGCCACAATCACCAGCACGAGAGCAACGGCTCCAACAATGAGCCACAACTTCTTTCTTTGCGGACTCCTTTGTGGCAACGGCTCTTCAACGGCTGCTTCTGTATCGGCCTTGATCTTGTTGCTCGCATCGATCATTTCGCCATTCACTACCTCCAAGCCATCGTAGGCGCCGTACACCTCAGGCGCGGTCGTGCCACTGAGTCTGTGGTTGACCTCCAATGCTGAATAACCACCTTCTGAGGGCGCCCCCAGCCCCGCAGCCTCATAACTGGGTAGCGTGCTCATAGGAGCGCGAGGTGACGGAAGCAACTCGTCGTAGATAGATTAAAGACAAAGCGCAAAGAACAGAGAATAGAGAAGAAAAATAGAATTGCACCCGAGGTAGATCTTTGAGTTGGGCTGGGAGATTCTACTAGAGGGAGACTCGCGTGGGCGAAATCAGCCCGTTTGCGGCTCTCAACCGCGAAATCCACCGCAGCTCGTTAGCCATTGTCATGGCCTGGTCAATAGCCAAGGATAGGCAGAAATGCATCAGAAAGGGGTTACTGAAGGATTCAGGATTCCTTGCAAGAACCAATTGTAAGGCTGCAGAGTGAGGCGCGAGGTTTAAGATCGGCGGCTAAATGCCCAATAGATCACAACTCACCAGACCCCATACGGGCTGGGGTGGTTCGCTGCTTATGATAGACCCCAACATTCAGTTGCTGTGCTTCATGCAGATACTACTGGGTCTACCTGCTATTTTCATAGGCCTTGGCAAGTTATCAATACCACACTGGATGCGTTTATGATTGAACTATGAGGTTTTCAGCCGGCCTATTCGGGACGTTCTCTTGCCCTTCAAGGCTAAGGGCGGAATTTGCCATTCATAAGCAAGGCGGACAAGCTAGGCACAGTTGACATGGATGCTGCTTATTTATTCAGCGAACCCCATGTCTGAGTTCTTAGCTCTTGATTTTGGCTTTTCTTAATTTAAGATTGGCGTTCCTCCCCTGCCTGTTGTGGCACTCAACTAGGCAAGCCGCTCGTGGTTAAGATGCGCTTCTCACAGTTTCACTTTTTCACATCCTGTAACATACTGTGGCTGACTTCAAGATAGTCGCATCTGGATTTAGGCTATGCGTCATGAATCAGCGAAGTATTCTACAGGTACTACATGCTTGCGAAAGCGGAGAGTTGCAAACAACAATTAGAAACGTAATGTGGAAGCGGAAAATTTGGAAGTGGGCAATGGACTGAGGGGAGGATTATAAACAATCACCTTGCATGCCACCCTTGCTCAGCCCGTACAGATGGGCACGCAGGGGACAAAAAGTTAAAAGAAGAATACAGCCATAAAAGCACAGCTCCTTTGTTAGGTGAACTGTTAATGTGTTGTAAGAGTTGTCAGATATACTCTGGAATATGTAGCTTTTACTTCTCCTTTTACTACAGTTGCTTCTGATACTATCTCTACCGCTTCCACCGGCAGAAAGATTCACAACTTTAGCGTTCGTTTTTCCTACTTGTTCACTTTGGGGTCCCTATTGTTGCCCCACCCTTGACGGAGCACTTTGTCCTCGCCTGCGGGTTAAGATCATTCGCGGCGGCTATCTTGGCTAGTTCATCGACTCCGAAAGACTCAACAGCATCTGTCGTGTCATCGCCTTATTCAACGCTTCTTCAAGCTCAATGTTAACCAGCATGATACAGGCCTTCGACGCTTTAACCGCTTCTGTTACTCTCCAATCCTTCACTATTAAGCGTAGTTTTACTCCGCAATCCAATACATACAAAGGCATACCTAGTTCTGTGCCTCAATTTTAAAGTGGGCTGTTTCTTCGGGTAAGCTTACAAGGATGCATCTTATGGGCCTTGTTACGCACGATCAAACCATTCAGGCCTAAATCTCATACACTAAACCGAGAGTTGGGTCGACGCTCCCACTGCACAGCGTGTCCCAGCCTTGTGAATATTCCTGTAATCCTTTGCCCCATTGCAGTTTCATCGCTTTGGCTGCCACATCTTCCTTGAATTGACTCCATTCGCGCGCTGAATTCTCAAAGTATGCCGTTGCTCCATCAATCTTCAGAGCGGCATCTCGCAGGTCAGAAGCACTGCATACAACGGCACCGCTCGGCATGCTGCCAAATCCAGACCCATTGCCTGTCGGATCGCCGCCCACCATGAGTGTGACAACGCTCTTGGACACGCGAGTCACGGCAGTATGCAGCTCTTGATCAGCTGTGCCTCGCCCACCAAAGTTGGCCAGTAGCACCTTGGTGTTGGCATCGATCCCCAGCTTGGCGACAACGTTGGCACTGGATCCGCCAGAAACTTCCTCGTACAGCAACACGTCGCTAAACAGACCAGTTCCCTCGGTGAAGTCTCGTGATTTGGCCGATCCCACGGCCACGAGCTTGCGAGGCTGGTGTTCAGCAGGCCTTGCTCGGCGGAGCTGGTGGGCGAGGCCAAGAGCAGTTTTGCCAGATGCCCCGAAGAAGACCACCACGGCGTCTGCCAAATCTGCGTCTTCGGAGGTCCATGGTACTGGAGCACCCGATGGATGGACAAGCTTTGTCTTGTCCCAGCCAAAAGCATAGCGGTTCAGCAAGTAACTGGTCTCGACCAGAGGCCGCGCAACCGAGTCCCACGCCGCGGATGACCTGTCTGCTGATAATGGGTCAACCCCTGGAGGAGACGGCAGATAGCGGTTATATATATGCATAAGTCCGGCTCTTCGCTCTGTAGTCTCCAAAACATGACCAGTCTCATCATCTACAGCCACCTGAAGGATCTCCGGGTAGTCTCCAATGGGGAGGTAGCCGTATAGCTGAGTCCCAACAGGAATCTTGTCGTTCTGGCTCTCAGTTACCTCACAATAGCCCCAAGCCGAGATGCGACCGTACTTGGAAGAGTCATCGTACGGCGCTGGTAGTGATGGGATTGCGGGCCAGACATTCCACCAGCCCAGAACATGACCCAGCCGAGCATAAGTGAAGTTGTTGGTAGTGAGAGAGATAAGACGGCTGCGGATGCGAATGTTGCCCTTTGCTAAAGACGGTAGGGGGTACGCATCACTGAGAGTGACGACATACTGTTTTGTATGATCCGATTTGTCGATGATTTGCACTTGAGGCGCTGTTGAACCCATGGCGGATGTGTTTTGCAAAAGGCGTCAGACGTCGGCAGAAAGCGATACAAAGTTTCCAGTAAAAGTCGAGGTTTTAGAAGGTGCATCAGATTCACATGCAATAGGAGCCTCTTTATATAAGGTAATGAAGCGCTTGGCAGAAAAAAGCCGCATCTCAAGCAATTCTTTCCTTTAGAGTTCTAAACTCCGTGCGTTCAAGTAGGTAGTTTCGGGTAAGCTGCAGGTAAGCACAGGCTGACTAATGTCTCATCCTTCGGAGTGGCTGTATGCTCTCTCTATTGGAATAGCATTATCATTTGCCGGATGTGGTAATAACTGTCGAGTATCTTGGAATTGCGGCTAGATTGCCGACCCAGCGCTGGGCGAAGCCGGAACAATGTGGGTTGGGTGGAGGTTTAGGAATTGTAGACTTATTAGATACCACCTAGGCACAAGAGAATAGTATGATTCAGTTAGCAAAGATGTTAGCTAGCAAACAGCAACAAATCCGAGAATTAGTAGCCTATATCGTATTATAATGACGCGTAATCTCACAGCCTCTATATACAAAAGGGCAAGTGAAGGGTGTGAAGAGTAATAGGGAAATACAAACGACTGGCACCCAACTCTTAGCCTCAAGAGTCGCAGTGACCTACCCGGCATCCATTGACTATATCGTAAAATAGAGCTCATGCTTTTACCTAAGGTGAGTACTTCCATTTCGCGAATCCTTTTTTCCCTCGCACCGCTTTGGAAGCTCATTGCAGGGGTCTCTGAATGAGTTGGTACATGTAGTAGAAACATAGGTAAACACATCGAGAGATTATCAGAAGAATTTGTCTTAGATTTGAGTATTCTATATAGGTGCATGCAGATGGTATATCTCCCTATATATTGCTCTTGCTGGCTCCGTTCTTTTTTTAGCGCAGCATGACTGATTATAGTGCGCCGTTTCTTGTTAGCCCATCTCGGACTTCGCCTCGCATCGCAGGCCGAACGACTACGAAGGCCGAAAAATTGTACGAAAAGTAAGATTTGACCACCAAGGAGAGAACAAACAAGCAATTGCGCATTTCTTCTTCTTCTCCATTTCTTTTCAGTTATCATTGTATATTCAACATTCTTGAAGCAATTCACCACCTTTTCACTTATACTTCTGAGTTAAGACAACAAACGCCACAATCCGTCAGCCGGGATCCGATATGCAAAACCTTCCTACGCTAGTCTTCATCCCGGGTGCATGGCACCGCCCTACATGCTACGATCTGGTTATCGATTTACTACAGGAGAAGCACGGTATAAAATGCACCGCAGTCACTCTCCCTTCAACAACTGGAGATCCCTCCAAGACCCTCAAAGATGATCTCGATGCCGCCAGGAAAGCAGTTTCCGACGAAACAAGTTGTGGACGAGACGTGGTAGTCATTGCCCACTCATACGGTGGCCTGGTTGGAAACAGCGTCATCAAGGGTTTCGCTCGAAAGAGAGCCGGTGTTCAGGATGCAGATGCGTCAAAAAGCCCAGCCGCTGGTCACGTCATTGGCCTTATCCTGATCGCCTCTGGATACACTTTTACAGGACTTGCATTCATGGATCCATTCTTCGGCCGCGCACCTCACTTTTTCCGCGTGAATAAAGCTACTGGGTTTGCCGACCTCGCTGTTCCTCCACGCCAGTTCTTTTACCACGACCTGCCAGCAGACGAGGCAGAGTACCGAGTCTCCCAGCTCACGCCACATAGTCTCAAGTCTTTGTTTGAGGGAGGTGAATACTCATACTCTGGCTGGCTGGATGTGCCTTCGTTCTATCTCGGCACGATTGAAGATCAAGGGCTGCCAGTGATAGCGCAGCGCATGAATGTAGGAATGGCGAGAAGTATGGGAGCTTCTGTCGAGCACAGGGAGCTGCAGACCAGCCACTCCCCATTTCTCAGCCAGCCGGAAGCGACTGTTCATGTCATACTGGAGGCTATCGAAGCATTTTCTGGAAAGCGAGTAGGAAAGGTGGCGATTAAAACGGAGCAAGACAAGATGATAAAGTTGCCTAACCCTAGACTGTGGCAGCCTTTCACTTGGTTCAAGTATGGGCTACCGCTGGTTCTTGGTCATGTCATTGGAAAATGTGTGCTGGTGTTTAATTGGGGCAGGACCATGTGGAAATATAGGTAATGTTGTTGGAACGTGTGCTAGGCGTTTTACATTGCAAATCACCACTTTTGTTCTTTTGTTTCATATATAGAGTAATATAGAGTATATACACCAATCGGTCGAATCTTTGACACATTCAACCCTATTTTAGTATGAGTCGCATTGCTTGTAAATGATACTAGAGGCGTATTTGATTTGTCAAGTAGAATACCACGGGGTGCTACCTATATAATTGGCAGAAACGTCTCGTGATGAGATATGTATTCCGCTATCGAGGCTTGTCCATCAACGGAGTCTTTCTGATCCGGAGTCATGAGATGTTAAACGTCGATGCAATTGTCAATAGTTACTCTAAGTCGATGTTAATGATAGCCATGCTATACCTAGCTACATTAGCTAACCTACTTAATCAAGCTCGAGTCCTCTTTTCAGTTAGCCTTATCGTTGTTCATTAAGCTTTCCATATCATAACAGTTTCAGTCGCATATAGCATATAGATTTATACATTGCCAATCAAAAAGTTCATCATTTAGCTATGATAATGCGCACTCAAACTCGTACTTCTTTCCATGCACTCTTCCGCGTGTGATATCAATACTCAGATCATAGTGACCCACTAGGCCACTTGAATGGCGGCCAAGGGAATTCGGGGTTGATCTTGAGTTGCAAAACCATTGTTCCCTCAGGAGACTCCTTCATCTTCCCATTGGGCATTCGCAACGGGCCCGCTGGATGAGGCGTTACCCAGTCGTTCAACACGCCCTCTGCTTCTGCGACCTCATCTTTTAATCTTGCAAGTGTCCTTGGCGGCGCGACATAATCTCCAAACTTTTCGCCGCCCTTGTTGTATTCGAATTCGTGGGGTTCGGCTCTGACCCATGTCGGCTGGCGATATTGCTCCTTGTGCATGTCCATGTCCAAATCGTATACTTTAGGCTGTTCATACCCCGCCTTTACGGGAAACTCGACGCCGCAGCCATCCAAATCTTCTTGAATAGACATGTTGCCGATGTCGTAGTTTACATAAACCATTCCCAGCTTATCAGTTCGGACGAGTATTTTCCACAAAACGTCTGAGCTCTCAGCGCCGTCATCCATGGGCTCATCATCCGCGAACCATTTAATGTACCAAACAGCATCGTTCTTCACAGCTCTGTCATCTAGAATGAGAAAGTGCTGTTCGCGGCCGGCTTCATCCTCTTTGCGGCGGATGTATTCATGAGATTTGCCAATGTAGTCCTCGGGCGGGCGAACAATCTTAATGCTCAGCATGGGAGAGAATCGTGCGAAATTTCCGAGCTCAAAGGCCGCCTTGAACGCCTGTAGCTGTTCATCAGAGATGTCGGCGAGAAGGTAGCATGTTAGCACCTCCAGGTTCACTGCGCGGTTCTGGTAGACCATGTTGCGGCTGTGCTTGTGCAAATTCAAATATAGAAGTAAAAAGCCTCCTTTGTTTCTTCAGCTACAACATTCTCAAACAATGGATTGAGTCGAAGCCTCATATATATGTCGTGACGTCAAATCCTCGCATAAGTAATAATCTCGTATTGTGTCAGCCGGGAGAAAGACGATGGCACTAGTGAGACAATCGGCAGTCCTAGCGGCTGCCAGCTATAGCCACTCTTGGAAGCAGTGGCTGCGCCTCTTTTGGGCAATCTGCTTTATACTAATTAGCATCCGTCAAATAGGTTCATTTTTAGAAACGCTGCGGATCCAGGTGCAGTGTAGCTTCGCTAAGCCCGATTTAGAGATCCGAGATTCTGATGTTGAGGCGAGTGCCAATAGAGACATGTATTCGCAAGGAAGAAATGTTGATGTTGCCGCGGAATACAGAATGCCAGTAAACTGGAGCAGATCGCCAGTGGCGACAAACCTAGTAATTCTTAGCCCACAGCTTCAAGCACGGCGAACGTTTATTCAAAAATCAAGGGAATTTGTTCATCGCGAATCAAAATTATAAAATCATAAATGTTCAAGGATAGAGTGAAATAACAAGCCAATGTTTCTCTATCTCAATGGGCGAGGACAATCAGCTTATAATGTATTGATCGAGCTTGCAATCTACCTGTACACACCAACTCAATGTTTTAGGTAATGATGATTATTTTGTCCCGATCTAAATAAAACACTTGACTAACACAGTTGGTGGCATCGATTTGAAGAGCAACGAGTTTGAAGATCAATTTCTTCCTTATGACTGATTTGACTGAGCTATAATTGGTATCTAATAGAAGTGTATATTCCAAGAAAGAAAGAGAAAAATATCAGGATGCTTCAATGTCACTCCCGACCCCAAGATTGGGATCCATCCCCCGCTCCATCAGCACCCGAACTATGTCTTCTCGTCCCTTACTGGCAGCTACATGTAAGCTACTACATCCCTCGCCGTCCGCCAGAAACGGGTTCGCTCCCAGAGAGAGCAGCATGGTCACAGCCTCGAATTGACCAGCCTCAGCAGCATAGTGCAGCGCAGTTCGCCCATATGTGTCTTTAATGTCTAGCCTAGCTCCCCTGCTAATCAGGAGGCTTATGGTTCCTATATACCCACCCCTTGCTGCCAAGTGCAGAGGGAACTGGCCGCCAATAGGTCCCTCTGGGGATAAAGAATTGCTCTTTTGCCTCCTCAAGAGGTCCGGTGATACGTCGTACGGCAGGGCTGTTGCTGAAGACTGCGAATCCTGAAAAGGCTGAATATCCAGTGACGCTGAACTCGGGATGGGGCTGTGGCTACGGCTAGCAAGAGCGTCTCCGGGCGGCAGGATATTAGCGTCGGTGTCGAATAACGGAGAAGTCGCTGGCCAAAATGGAGACCAGTGGTTGGGGAGCTCGTTGCCGATCACCTCCCTAGCGGAGAGGCTGGAATGGCCCTCATAATCAGAAAAAGCAGAGGGTGTGAGAGGGCCATACGATGAGTTTGGCGATGTGATGGACATGAAACTCTGGCTATAATCCTCTGTGCCTACATCTCCTGAACGCCCTGCAACACAAGAACAGCAAGGCCCAGTGTGGGACGGCATTCGAAGATCGGGTGATTGGGACATGGCAGATAGCTTCTTCTCGGCCTTTCGGCGCCCTGTATGATGAATTAGTTAGCCAATGTTTACGTAGCTTTCTTAGTCAATGGTATTTATTATTCGTCTACTTACTGTGCTTCCGCTGAGCAATTCTGTTTTGAGCTCTGCGTCTTTCTTTTGCAGCAGCTTCCGCATCGATGATGGTATCGATTCTAACCTTTTCTTCAATCCCCTCTTCGTTGTGAATAGAAAGCCTCAATACATTTCGACTGCTGGAAGCTCGCTCAGAAGTCAACGCTGACATTGCCATTGTGTAGATGATAGATTGGCGTCATGTAATAGACAGAAAATCGTGCGTGTGCAAGTTTCTCATACCTACCATCTCGAAAGCAAGACAGATATTCCATTATTTAAACACATCTCAACCGACAAGGGTCTCGAAGGAATCTGTGTGATAGACCCCTCAAGATTGGGGGCGGGCACACCAGCGTGCAGCATCTCAATGCCACAAGCCACACCTCAGTCATCGTGTGCGTAGCCGAGACCCGGGATGCCATCGCTTTGGCTCAAAACGGATCGTTTATGGCTCTACGAGGCGCTCGTGCAAAGGCTATAAACACCTACGCGCTACCAGGTCGCAGCTCCAGCGGCCGATTCGTCCAATCTTGGCGGCCCATTTTGCCTTTTTTGCGTGCGTGGCGATCCTGCAAGGTTGTGTACTTGATCTGGGTTAGCGAGGCTACCGCAACGAATCCCAGGGTAGCGGGTGCGGCTTGGACGACTGCTAGGAATAGGCAATGGCGAAGCCAAGCTGTCCAATCCGAGCAAAAGTTCTTGGGGCCATCAACTAGTTTCGAAGCAGAATCAGCAGAGCAGGAAGCCGCAAGTATTGGTGCCAGGGGGCGAATGGGGCCCGTTGGGGCTATTGGGATAACCATAAGGCTGGCCAATCGGCGGCGCGAGAGATGATCATCAAAGAGGTCTTTGCTGGACAGGGAAGGTTCCGGAGACCAAAGGAATGGCAGCAGTCAGATGATGGGAGTAAAATCGGCTAATAATTCCACGCTTGGTTCGTTTGTTCGCACCGGCCAAGACGATACTCTAACTCTGAACGTACAAATTAAGTTGCTGGACACGCAATGACTGCCGTAAGATACGCCGCGGCAGTTGCTGGCCAGGGCCATTCCAGCTAAAGCAGTGTGGCGAATGCCAGATCCATGTCGGTTTCGCGGTTGGCCCAATAAGCGCTTCGGACGAGGCGCAGAGAACAGGAGGATCTCAGGAAGGATTACCCCTGGCATCAAGGCATACTTCCCACGATTTGGTCACGGGAATCGCGGCTGGGCATAAACCAGAGCTGCGGCGCGCCTATATGACGCTGCTCGATCGTGCGTGGTATTCAATGTTCTAAATATGAACAACTACACGCCGCTTAGCCCCGATGGTATCGAGATGCCAGGCAGACTCTGGCCGTGCCTTGCACGATGCGCAGCGCGCTTTATTAATAACAACAGCAACAATAAGAGGAGAAACAAGAGATAGAACACCTTCCTGAATCGACAAAAAAGAAGCCATGTGTTTTGTATGCGATGCAACACTGCAGCAAGTCTTACCTGTAGCTTACAGCTCTCCAGCGTCTCATTTCCCCAAAACGGGAAATTCGATTCATAAATTGGGGTATTGGGATTTGACAAAAGAGCGGGTGGTAAAACGGAGTCAGTGCCTGTGCGTGTTCCTTCGCGGCCCCGACAGACTGTTCTCGGATATAAGTGGCCGAGCGGTAATAAAGAGCTAAGATTTAACCCAAGGCCAAATTGGCCAATGGGGCGAGGCGTTGCGACACTTTGGGGCGAACCAAAGGATCTTCGATTTGGAATGTGCACGTAGACACATACGCATTCGTTGCACGTCTCTGCAGTCATGACACAACCCTTTCGAGACATCGATTCGAGTCACATTGCGATACGGCGACATCCGATTCGGGGGAAAGCGAGAGCGAGAACGAAGTAAACGTCATGAAACATTGTGGTCTATTCTAGTCTATAAAAGTACAATGTGTTCTACAAGATTGGCGTCTATAACCTTTGGTTGCCCTGCCCATAAAAAAGTCTAATAAAACAATCCAAACATGTAACTGCACGAGTAGTTTGGCGTTTGGCGGAAAAAATAAAAGCCTTGATGTCTTGTTGGCTACTTCTTCTGAGATCCAGAAGATCCGCCGCTGCTACCACCCGAGCCGGAGGGTGTGCTGCCCGAATTGTTTCCAGATCCAGATCCTCCGGACCCGGAAGATTGACCAGCAGATGAGTTGGTGCCGTTGGCATCTGATATCGATGTTAGTTGCTTTTCTGTAGATTACTGTGCCTATATGCAAGATATCAGGGCAGATACAGAGGAGAACCTACCGGCAACTGAAGCCATAACTACAACAAGAGGGAGTCTCATTTTGTAAATGGTTGCGAGAATCAAAAGATCTAGTAGATATATAATTGATAAAGAAATGGTGTAGCTGGTTTGATCTTCTAGTGAATGTTATTCGAATGCGCTGTTGGTTCGAGGACCAACATGTTCATTCCCAAGGCCATTCTTATATCTTCTTGCACCGGTCAGCGTGACGCGGCCGTGACGGACTCGTTCAAAGGCCGAGTTCAGTCAAGCTGAACGAAATAGGGCAATGCATTTACCGATTCGTCCCATTTTGCCCTCCCGAAGGATGGAGGTTCGCCGAACGGCGGAATAGGCTGAAAAGCTGACAGAAAAGCGCACGTCTATGTCAGCATCTCGGTAGGCATGACTGCTGACCGACACTACTTACAGTGCATTTAGACGAGTCACCTCATTATACTGAGCCTCATGATACACCTTTCAAACTTGGGAAATATTTTTCTAAATGGTAGTTATCTTTCAAGTGATGTTATTTTTACACCAAGCTCTATGATGAGGCGTATTTGTTGTATATCAAAATCAACGTTATGACCATTGATAGAGTAGTTAATTGAATGGAAGAAGATTTGAAGCATATGAAATATTGTATAAGCTTGATATTTTATTGTCTTTGATATAATTCTATGTATATGCATCCATTTTCTTTGGCTGTCCAAGATGCCATGATTCTGGACAGATGCCGCACGCATTGGGAGAGAGTTTTACATTCTACAGTAGCTGAACCTTGGGATGATAGGGCGACCCCTTAGTGAAGCAATATATATGATGAATGTGGCTGTTGCTTCTTTGTGGTCACAAAGTTACCAATATAAGATTTGAAAACTTGAAGCCAAGTGGAGGATCGAAGGCTAGAAAGCGTAGGTAGGAACTTAGATAGAGATTTATGCCTTGCACATTAGTGAAAATAGATGCAATACACTGCAGAATCGATTGAAAGTCAAGACAAAAGATTAGCTGACGCCAACACTGGGAGCGCAGTATCCTAACTGGGCGACCTTCCACGATTGATAGGCTAGGATATCTCCTAGCCGTTGGATTTTTATCAAGCTGACAGAGGCTTTGAATTGCCCTTCATATTCCTCTCAGTCAACTGTGGCTGTTCATTCTGCGTCGTCTGTTCAGGGATATTGATCCAAGTTGTTGCATAGCTGAGTCGTTGCAAAAACGTTACATTGTGCATTAAGGATTACCAGGCTCTTTCTATCTTACCAGAAGCCGTCTGCATCCAGGGAAAATTTTTATCCCCACACTTCCTCGCATCAAGTGTACCTGTAAGCCTCATACATTAGGCTGTCATAGCGGAGCTCATCCATCAACAAGCTTAGCCTTGTGAGTTAGGAGAAGTTTTAGCCCCTTGATGGAGAGAAGGGATGGCTGTACAACGTGATAAGCCTTGTTCATGAGGCTAGAATGTCTTAACGCCGACATGTGTGCGTTTAATTATCGCCGGCGTCGGGTTATCTTGAAAAGTTTACAATGGATGGATGCTTCGTATCATGAGCGCATGCAGCATAAAGAAATAAGTGAATTTACATTTAGTATGTATACCGTATAGGCACTATCTCTCAGTTCTTTATAAGGACTATTACTCTCGCTAAACCTCTCCAGCATCGCTTAGATCGTGAAATTCAGTTCAAACTACTGAAGTGGAGCTATTTGTGAGGTTCACAGAATGGAGGATGGCAGCGAAGAATACATAGCAGATCAATCCTATTAACCATCTCGCCATACTTTATTCATAATATATTCTTTCGATCTACCTAATGTCTTTCGTTTCGCCATGCCTTTCAATTTCAATTAATTGGAGGTCCAGACAACCTGCACGATGTCATCTGCGATGCCCTAAGTTGAATTGCTATGCCTTTACATTGGACTCCCTACCTCAATGAGTTTCCGTATGTTTCTTCCGGCAGATATCGTCCCTGGCTTATCCCATAGGAATGCATACAGCTGTGCTTTGATGACTATCCCATGCACTCCCTACTTCCTTTATTTAGACAGACGTCTAACTGGCCGATCAACTCTCGGGGCTATTCTTCTTCCCTACAATAGAGTAGCTAGCCCACGCACCGAGGCCCTCATCATAATGGCCCATGTTTGGCTAGCTGCAGCTTGGGTTAATATGGCAACGGTTGGGTTCATCACCAGCAATTATCTTTTATGGTACTATGTGGGAATTTGGGGTTTTCACTTCGTCTTGTGACGCGACCAGTCTGTGTCAGGCTTATACTCAACCAAAACCATATCCTATTCTCGAAAACATAAAACTTGCCATTGCCTCAGTCTACTTGCATCAGTTGGTTTACAAGCATGGGCAAGTTGTTGGCTGTTTTTCCTCGTCGCTCGGGGCTTCACTCGAGCTACTCTATTTGCGGAGCCACACTGAAAACAATTCACACTGCTCTACTCTTCCCACGATTTGATCGTACCAATTCGACCTCTCAACACACGTTCTGAAGCTTTCACTCTCCAACAGCCAGCATGAAGCTCAATAATCTAATCGTCAGCGCCGTGCCACAAGTCAGAGAGACACTCTGAGAAGGCCCTCTTCATTTAAAGACGAACCATACACACGCTGTGGGCACGCCTGTGGGCCACAAGCAGAGGGACACAGTCTCAAAATTTAGCAAGAAAATCGATGATAAGCAGAACAGCCCCTCGTTAAAACCGGCACCGCAGCCTGAAAGACCACCAAGCTTGTAGTCAGTAATAGCATCTCAGGTCACTCCAGCGACGGGGACGCCATGGCTTACACTAAAGCGCCAATTCAATGCGATCATTCTAAGATAGAGCCAGGAAGATCTCTTCATAGGTCAACAACAAATCTTTAGGTTAGTTCTATGAGAAAAAGGCCTGAGCTGGTAC